GCAACAAGGCACGGAGTCGACCAAAAACACGATCCACGGTGTCAGTACGCCTTCTACCCGCATGGTCATTGTACTGAACAGAACCTTGGGGTGCTGCATAACAGGCTGCTATCAGCAAACTACGCCCCCCCATATTAAGAGCATGCCCTTTCACCCTTAACCAGATACTCTCCATGCCCTTAGGAACCTTAGACACACCAAGGAGCTGCACATCCCTAGCTAACATACGATTTACCCAGACAGCTACCCCACCTCTGTTGGGCGTGCCATCTACTGTGAACAGGAGCGTACCCGACGGTAGCATCTCCTTCACTACCGTATCTCCCACTAAATGCGTTTCCGTAATCACCACAATGTCATAACTACCCGCTATACCCCGTAACTCATTGTTATCAAGTTTCCAGTCCTTAAGCCCGCGAATATTCCATTGTACTACTTTCAACGCACCAGCCCTCTGGCTCGGACTCCTCTAGGTGTCCTCCATGGTGTCCGCTCCTGCCGGGGCCCCGTAGGGCCCGGTGTAGGGCACCAATCTCCCATCTGCTCCCACTATCTTGATCTCCGCTCCGCGGTCCCAGCGGGGCTGTTTGCCCTCGGCCTTGAGGCGCGCGTACGTGGACTGGCGTCTCGTCTTCGCGTCCACCCCGGCCTTGGTCAGGCAGTCCTGGACGTTGATGCCGTAGCGCTCCCGGAGTGGCTTGCCCAGTGCCGCCGCGACCGTCTTGCGTGCGTCCTCGTGCACCAGCAGGTCTACCCGCGTCATGGGTGCCTGCTGCCGGCCACCCTGCGCCGGGGCTGCGGCAGCCGCGGCATCTGCTGCGGCGCCTCTCGCTCCCAGCTTCGGCGGCACGGTGATGAGCTGCACTCCGATGACATCGTGCGGGCGTACCTCCTTGAGGATGCTGGGAACAATGGTGTGCAGTTCCGACACGTGCTGTGGCGGCACACGCAGGATCAGCTTGCGGGGCTGCACGTACTGCTTGGTGCTGCTTGCTTCCACCGCCTCCAGCCTCCCCTCCAGGGTATCCATTCGCGACTGCACCTTGGCCAGACCAGTGCACATCTCATCATGCCTAGTCTCGATCTTCTCAAGCCGCTTGTCCAGCCGGTTCTCTAAGTTTTGAATCGCCGCCATGAGATCAGAGAGGCTCGGCTGCGGGTTGCTGCCCGCAGGCCCCGATCCATTGCGGCTGCCGGACATTCCAGCCGCCGCCGCTTCTATCGCGTCTCTGGCTTCTTTAGCTCTTTCAACTAGTTGTGGAAGTGTTATTGTCTTAAAACGTGCTGTTTTGGGTGCACTAGAGCTAGGCGTCCCTGAAGCGTGTCGCTTTCTTAGATGCATGCCTCATCTCTCTAAGGCGCTAATGTACGCGATAGGCCTACAGGCTTACCTCACATCCTGTGCCGCGGGGGCGACAACGATGTCTAAACACAACACAGCGCTAGGGCAGAAACACGGGCACCGTGTATATTGCTTGTGCGTTTTTTATAGGGAAAAGATCGGAGCCGTTGGTCAGCTGTCGTATACGTATCATATGCAATGTCGGGGCCCCGCAGTGGAATACGTGAGCACCCGGGGAACTGTAAACATGCAGGGGAGTTTGAACGAGAACTCGGTGTAAAGGCACACTACAGCACAAAGCTAACAAAACGCATAGGTTGCGATAGGTTGTTCCTAGCTACCTGAACCACAAGGCACTTTATGCGCCCTGGAAACAAAGCTAAGGGGCTCACCAGTGGGCTCACGCCGGGACTTTAAACGTCTTTGCGCGCTGAGTATCTCGAATACCCACGTGGCACGCGGTAGGTACGCGTTATAGCACAGGTCTTCCTCCTCTTTGCTCCGCCCAATTTCGGGTGCACACCTTTGGAGCGCAAGCTAACGGCTCAAGAATGCGGATGCACCTGCGCTTTACTAACTGCGCTTGCGTTTTAAGGGAGGACGGCGTACGCTTCTGGGTTGGCCGCGGATGATGCGCCAGGCCAGGCAACCGTTAGTCTGGCGCTGTGTCATGGAAGAAGTGCAGAACCTCACCCTGCAAGCCCATGCGTTTAATTCCGGTGGCTGCCCGGCCTCTCATTGAAGGTCACGCTCCTTGCGGAACAGGCGCCCACAGCTCACAGCCCACTGCCCACGTGCCCAGCAGACCAAGACACGGTGCAGTTCCTTACACGGCAGTTACAGTCCAACGACCTCCGCCCACTCCAACGAAACACACACACGTGGTCCACACCCGCGCAACGCTGCAATAGTGCCGCCATACAAATCCTACACATACTAGCCCGCCAAAGCTGGGAAACGCTGGGAAATGATGAAGAAAAGAATACCGGTAAAGCAAACGGCGCCTATTGCAACGCTAGTAAACTGGTGCACCGACCATGTATCCTACCCATCCTTTGCAGCCACGTGAGGAAGGGGCGGCCGGAAACACCGCAAGCTTTCGGGCCGCACCCATCCCGCAAGGGCAAGCCGAACACGCGGCTGTGATTGCTGTCCTGGTTGAAAAGGAATATGAGTATGCGTCAGGCAACATGTGCCATCCTACCAAATGAATCTTCGTTCTGACAGGCCCAGCCCACGACTCGCATGCCAAGCAAGCAAACCGCGGCCCTGCAACCCTCGCGATATCTTCATGATAAGCAACCAGACGCAACAGCCGCCTCATTTTGTATGCTCCAAACCCAACAGTCGGCATGCACACCGCATTTTCCCCTCTACGGCCGATCGGCGTGCATCAACAAACGTGCCAAACCCGTCTCCCAACGCGCTAAAATACCTCTTCAGTGGTCTATTTACCAGAATCAGCTCAACTCCACCCCGGAACATGCGCGCACAACCTCCTAACAAGCCTCCCACTCAATGCCAGGGTTCTCGCGCGTTGGCTAGTCTCGCGCTGAGGGAAATGCCATGCACAGGGGTAAGCGGTGGGGCTTACACAAACCTGTCAGAAGCCGCTTGTCCACTTGCCTCCGTCCACTCCTTACTGTACGCCACATATAGCAACAAGCACGCACGTACACTGCAGCAAACCATACGTGTTACGACGTGGCTCAAGAATCCCCAAACTGCTACCCGCTACCCTCCTCCTCCAAACACCACTCCAGGCAGCTCCGAGGCCGCCTCCCTCCCAGCCCCTCATCAACTGCTCTCCATGCCGCGCGACACGCAGCCAGCAGGCCAGCCAGGCCGCGAGCCCAGCCTGCCGCCCGGCCCGCAGTGCCCGCTGCACCCCCAATCAATCGTTGTAGTCCAGGCTCCCCTCGTCGTACCTGCATCACATCATGCGCATGTCCACACAAGTTGTTAGCACCAGCCTAGCCCAGATTCCTATTAAAGCCCCTGTGGTGGCGCTTCGGAGGCCAAGTCGGAGCATAACACCGCCTAACGTCAAGGCTACCCAATCCTTCCCATCCCCCCCCCGCCCGCTTTCCCCTGACACTCACATGTCGCCCATGGCGTCGTCGATGTACTCGTCGGTCTCCGGGTTGACGAAGCCCGGCGCACCCGCACCCACCCGGCGCGCCTCCTCCACCAACCGCTTGATGTCGTCCACGCTCTGCAAGCAGGGGGGGTGTTGGGCAGGGGGGGGGTGGGCGGACGGGCAGGGGCGGGGTAAAAAATAAGGAAACTGACGAGGCAGCTAACGAGGGAGGGAGGGGTGGGGCACAGGAGCGGCAATCCAAGCGGGGAGGGACCCAGAGTGAAGTGCGCCGCAGAGTGGGAGCTTCCAGGCCCTCCTAAGCCCTGCACACAGCCCACCGTACATTGCCCGCAAGACACAAGACCAACACCATGCCGGGATCCCACACCCTGTGTCACAGCCGGTCGCGTGCAATGACAGATGCCGATTTGCAACCCTGCAGACCTCCCTCCGCTCCCTCCTCTCCACTCCCTTCAGCCCCCCCTCCGTCCCCGCCCCACCTGCAGTCCCTCCGGCGGCGGCTGCACCCGGTCGTTCATCTCGCGCACCCCGGGCGGCAGCCCCTTGAGGTACCAGCGGTGGCTGTAGATGCCGTCCACCGTGATGCGCTTGTGCGGGTCCGCTACCAAGATCTTGGACAGCAGGTCCTTGCAGTCGTCCGAGGCGCGCACGTGGGGCGGGATGTGGTAGTCCACGTGCAGGATGCGCTGGGGGGAAGTAGAGGGGGAGCAGAGGGGGAGGAGGAGGGTAAGAGGAGGAAGCGGGGAGTGGCAGGCAAGCGAGCAGCTCGGGACGTAAGGGGTGCCCAGCCCGCAAGCATGTAACGCCGCACCCCTGACCCCATAACGCAACCTGAATAGCGCCTTCACCACCGGGTGTAGGCTGCGGTGGTATGCAACGCGTGCGGTCCTGCCCAGACGTACGTGCATGCGCGCCTAACGGTGGCTGCGTGCCAGGCTGCTTCTCCAGGCTACCTCACCCCCACCTGGATCATCTTCTGCAGCTTCTGGTTGTCGTGCTTGTCCTCGGGCCGCTCGAAGGGGTAGGCGCCCACCAGCATCACGTACAGCATCACCCCGCAGCTCCAGATGTCAGCGATCTGGGGGGACCCGCAGCAGCAGCAGCAGACAGGCAGGCAGGTCAACACATCCACAGCAGCAGCGGCGGCGGCGCAACGGCATTGGCGGAGAGCCGCACACGCCGTTACCAAAGACATGGCAGCAGCGTGACAAAGCGCACAGGCAAGACAGGATACAACACTCCGGCCAGCTTCTTTTTGGCCCCGCCGGGCTACTTCGCCAGCTGCCTGGCGCCACTAATACAGCCGTCCCCATGGAGAGACGGTGCCTCGGGACATGCATCGGCCCCACATGGCTGGCCTCTCGCACTGACAGTGCACAGCAAGCACATGCATGGACGCCCTTCACACGGAACAGCAAAAGTGACCCGTGGGTCCGCCCTTGACAGGGAAGGAGCCCAACGGGCGGTGCGGCCGGTGCACACCCAGCCTGCGGATCGCAAGTGCTGGGACGCGACCTGCACCGCACCCAACCGGGGCTCAGTAATGGCATCTTCGGGGCCGTGGCAAGGCCTCGGGGCTTCACCCACGAGACTCTTCACCCGAAGCCGGCGCAGGGCCGAGGTAGAGGAGGACTGGGATAACGTGGGCAATGTTTCATCGAAACCAGCCATGCCGGAAACCAGCGTGCTGCGGTCCTCGCAAGCCCCGTCCCTTGCAACGCCTCAACCCTCATGCCTGGCCGCTTCACACTGACGCATGCTCGCAAGGAGCCGCACGCGTCAAGAGCCATGTGTGCCAGCCCCAGTTGCACCAGACCTTTCAACAAGTCCTCTCCCGCACCGCACCCGGGATCCCCAACCACGCCCGGTGCGGTGCAGGGCGCAGCGCAGCGGACGGAGGACCGCAACCGGGACAACCCCGCCTCCTCCTCCTCCCACCCCGCCTCCCAACACTGCGCTGCGTTCGCTGCCCGGGAGCTGCCGCCTAGCGGCATGTGACAGTACCTTGCCGTCATAGGTCTTGCCCTTGGTGGTCAGAATGACCTCGGGGGCCAGATACGCCGGCGTGCCCACGCGTGACCCCGGGCCGACTGGAACTTTTCGTGCTGTGGGCGAGACGAGGAGGTGGCGGGAGCCCGGCGGGGCAGCGGCAGCGGCAGCGGCACCAAGGGCAAGGGGCGCGGAGGATGAGTGGGGGGGAGCGTTAGGTGGGCGGCATTACCTTGGCATCATACTCGTTCTCGCAGAGGAAAACCTCTGGGGCGGTGTAGTATGCGGTGCCAACCTTGGATATGGGTGCGGAATGCAAGGTTTCGTGCTGCGGCAAAGAGAGGGCCGGGACGTCAGCTGCGGGCGCATGCAGTACGGGTGGTAGGCGCATGCGGCAGAGGGCAGGGTAACGACAGAGCGTGGCAGAGAAGCCGGTGCATGCAGGCGGTGTAGCTAGGGTCACTGCGCAGCAATGGTGGCGTGTGTCTCACGATACGCCACGCAGTGTGGGCGGTCATCAGGTGTTGTGCATTCAGAGGGCTACCCGCCGTGTGTACCCAAACCACGGCTGGGCGAGGCACACCGATGCACCCGTGCAACCACAAAACCTTGGAATACCCAAAGTCGCAGATTTTGACCAGCGGCCGCGGGCTGGAGTCCAGCAGCGTGTTCTCTAGCTTGATGTCCCGGTTCACAACGCCCTGCAGCGGGAGACGATCGAGGTAGCGCTATGTAAGCGAACAAGCAAAGGCACTTGCCCTCCGCAGCCCAACAACTTCTCGGGTGTAACCTTAATCTTCGCAGTGCCACAGCTCAGCGGTTCGCCTCCTGCATCCTGCCCCTACCATGCGGTGGCAGTAGTCCAGCCCCACGATTAGCTGTTGGAAGAACCAGCGCGCCTCGTCCTCTCTCAAGCCGTTCTTTTTAACTACGTACTCGAACATGTCGCCACCCGGAGCGTACTCCATGACAATACAAAGGTGGGTGGGGGTGAGGAAGACCTGCATCATCATTGCGCAAGGTGGCGGACTGCGTTACCGAAACACAACCAGCACCATGCCCCTCCAAGGACGACAGACTTACCTCGCGGGAACTGTACAATGTGTGGATGAACAAGACACCGGTGGTTGATGATTTCGCGCTCGACATACTTCGTAATCTGTGGTGGAATGTGCAAGCAGTTAGTCACCCAAAACGCTTTGCGGGCCCATTGGGTCTCGTACCTTATCCCCTCGCTCAATGAACTTAACGGCCCACGTCTCTCCTGTGAACTTGTCTCGTGCTAGCTGGACGAAGCCGAACGTGCCGCTGTTAAGGTCCCTGATCTACACGCCAATTTAGAGACCAATTATAGGGTCGGTCCGTGTACAGAAAGTCTACAGAGGATCAATGGGGCTGGTCGAAAACAGCTGAGGTGCCCAACCTTCTCATAGCGAGGGTGGCCCGCAAGCGGCTCAGGTCGCCCTGTCTGGCCTCTCTGCATGGTGAACTCTCAGCTAAAAAGAGTGTGCTGCTACCAGGGAGAGCTCTCTGGTATCGGGAGCTGCAATAGTATAGATGTGGTCATATGCTGCCCGTTAAATGGTACCAAAAATGTGCCAGACAAGGAACAGTGGGTTATGATGGACGCAAACAGCAAACGTGCCAGAACCGGGCTAGATGGGATTTTTACGTCAAGGCCGATGTGCCGTACTGGACCTTCCACTAGGTCCTCAACAGCTGCGGCCAACGACTGCCTGTTGACAAGAATATCGTTCCAGACATTATTTGCACACCATGTTTGAATTCATTGTTGCATCGGAGCCTACTGGGTTGACCTAAATTACACCTCTTAGCCATACCAGACATAGTGCGTAGGGCAGCAAGGAATGAATGCTCGCGATCCTCACTACCCTAATCGACCTGAGTGGTTAACCCGGCCGGCAAGAAAACAGGTGCGAGCTGGGCTTGACCCTGCCAAACCCCAACTATAGCTTACCACCCCCGTCCCGGGCCCCGCTTCCCTATTCGCAGTGCCTGTCCTGCCTTTCCATTAACCCCATTACCACAGATGAATGCCGTCTGTATGCATACCTTTGAACCACCTTTGGGCCAGTGCCCTTCCCTCAAGCACCGCTACCAAGCCATGCCGCTACCTGGCCCCTCATCACCCGCGGCACTATTTTCTCCGTTATACCCCCCTAATGCCGTCCAAATACCCAAAGCAAAACAGCAACCCAGCCCGACTCCCCCGAACCTCAACCGCCATCCTGCCCCCGGCACCTCCTCCCACCCCATGTCCCCTGTGCCAGGTGGATGATGCCACGCTCCAAAGGGAGATCCAGGCTCGTGGCGGGCTGGGAGAGAGAAACCTCTGGTCGGGGCGCCGCGTAGGGCCCTCAGGGCCGCCGGGCGGTGACAGCAAGCGCGGCGGCCCCGGCGGCCAGCGTGTCAAGGACGCGTCCAAGTACCGCTGCGTGCTGGAGCTGGATGTGGGGCGCACGCGAGGCAGCGACGCCAAGCAGCATGTCTTCTGCCTCTACTTTGCCAAGTGGGTGGAAAAGTAAATGAAAGAATGAAGCAACGGAGTCCCAATCCCAGGTCCCGACTCATTCAGTGCGCGCATGCCCAATGGCTGGGGGTTAGAGGGTTGCCCGGATGAGCCGGGAGGGTGGGAGTGCGGTGGCACACAGCTTGTCAAGGCAGCCCCGCTCCCTCCCTCCCGGTGCTGCTGTCCCACCCGTCCTTCCTCCCCGCCCCCTCACATCATCCGCACATCCGCAGGGGCTGCTGCAGCCAGGGCTCCGCCTGCACCTACCTGCACCGCCTGCCCACCGCGGAGGATGAGGCGTACGCGGTGCGGGACTGTCAGCGGACATCTTCGGCAGGGAGAAGCGCGCGGAGAGCGAGGGCTACAGAAAGGGCGCAGGTGGGGCGGGTGCGGTCGAGGCGTGTTGTGGCTTTTGTGGGGAAAGGGTGCAACCCCTGGTTATTGGTTCTTCAAGAGGCTCAGTACGACATGACTCCTCGTGTGTCCTAATCTCCTAAAGCACTGAAGCGCTGCCCGTCATCACATGGTCTCCTGTGTCGTCCTGGTTATTGGTTGTGTTAGGGGCTGTTTCAGAACGGAACTTGTGGGCCCGCTACTTCTTGTGGGCCCGCTGAACCGTTCCGTGTTTCCGTGTTTGCTGCTATCTTCGGGGGCAGGCACGCTTGAGCGCGACAACCGCACCCTGTACGTCAACTACGAGGGAGCTGGCGCGTACGACCTGCCCAAAGTACGGCAGCTGCTGGAATCCAACTTCCGCGCCTTTGGCCCCGTCAACAACATCTACATCGTGCACAACAAGACCATAGCGTTCGTGAGGTAAGCGAGGCTGCTGAGGTGCTGCCCGCCGCCTACTGCGGACTTGCAGGCCGTGCCTGCATCGGAACCTGTTGTCAGTCCAGGACGCATGTGCCCCCTGGACAGCGCCCAGTCGGCCCGAAGCAGCCCACCGCAACCACCACCACACCACCACCAGCTGCACAGAAGACCAAGTGCACACACCCGCCAGTGTCCTTAACGCTCGCCAAAAGCCCCAAAGTATGTTAAGTCAACTGGTCGCGAGCACGTGTTCACCCGTCTTGCACCTGCGTACCATGGTCACCCGTCCTGCACCCGCCCGCCCCCCCCCTCGCCCTCCCCTGCCTGCCCCCGCCCGCAGGTACGACTGGCGCAGCAGTGCGGAGTTCGCCAAGGAGGCGGTGCACAAGCAGGGGCTGCAGGGCTCCACCATGGGAGAGGTGGTCACGGCGCGCTGGGCCAACGAGGACCCCAACCCCGTGGCGGTGCTGGCGCAGAAGCGGGCGTGCGAGGTGGGTCGTGTGAGGGGTGCTGGGAGGGCTGGGCAATGCGCGCCGAGGAGGCATGGGGTCGCCGTGTGCTGCTGCTGTTGCCTGTGCGGTAGCGTGGGTAGTGATAGCCGCGCAAGCCCGCAACATGTGCCCTCCCGGGTGCCTTCTCGGTAGCGCGCTGAGTATCGCACCCATGTGGGCAGCTTCCAGTCATACCAAGCCAGCGAGCTACCAGATTCCCTGGCCTGCACACTACACACACCACTCCCGGCCCTCACCCTCACCCCTCACCCACGCAGGAGGCGTTCGGGCTGGCGGTGGTGTCCTCCTTCGACGCGCTGCCTCCCGAGCAGAAGCAGGCGCGCATCCTGCAGCTGCAGACGCAGAGCGCGCTGCAGCGGGGTGCCGCCATCGGCTTCTACCCCAGCACGGAGCAGCAGTTCGAGGAGCGGGAGCGGCTGCAGCGGGAGCTGCAGCAGCAGCAGCAGGCCGAAGAGGAGGAAGAGGACATACCGTATATCCCGCCCGACATTTACGAGGAGCAGCAGCGACTGGTTGCGCAGCGCAGGGAGGAGGGGCAGGGCGCTGGGAAGCGGGAGGAAGGGCAGGACGGCAGCGCCGCTGCGGGCGCCGCAGCTCAGAGCTCAATGGAGCTGCTTGCTCGGCCCCGGCTGCTGCCGCCAGTACCGCTGCAGCAGCAGCAGCCAGCGGCGGCAGAGGCAGGGGAGCAGGAGCAGGGCGGGGGAGGCGAGGCGGGGCTGGCGGGTGGGTCTGTGGCAGGGGGCGGTAGCGTGCAGGCTGCTGCAGGGGGGGTGGGTGACGGCTCGGGTGCCCCCGAGTGGGAGAAGGCCTGGTCGGACCCTGCGCTCCGGGAGCAGATGCGGGCGAACCCCGAGCTGCGTGAGCGCATGCGGCGGCAGCGCAATGAGTCGGTGTACTGGTCGGCCTACCAGGCCCACTACACCGCCTACGCCAGCAGCTACGGACACCAGGCGTGGGAGCAGCAGGGGCAGCAGCAGCTGGATCCGCAGCAGGCGTACCAGCAGGGGCAAGGGCAGGAGTACGCATGGCATGAGTACTATGGGTGGTATGGGCAGCAGGGAGTGGGCGAAGCGGGTGGGGAGGGCACGGGGTATGGTGCGACGGAGGCTTACGCAGCAGCGGGGGTGTACGGGTCTCACGACCGGCTGCAGGGAGGGCAGGCGGATGGAGGGCAGGACGCGGCTGGAGGGGCAGGGAATGGCAGCTCGGGTGATGCAGCGGGAGGGACTGGGGAAAGGGCAGGGGAGGGTGCGGAGGCAGGCGAGGTGCAGACGGGCGACGGGCTGTCGCTTCTTGGCGCGGCCTATGGAAGCGATGAAGAGGAAGACTAGGTTCGCTCGTGTGGTCGTCGTACAGCTGTGTTGCTGTAATGGTGCATGACAAAGATGGCTTGCTGTAAAGCGTTTGTCTATCCCTGCCTCAACGTTGTAACCATACAACTCGCTCTGATTAAGACACGGACAACGGCTCTGAGCACAGACTCTACATTTTTTGCCATGGGGACAGAGACTGAAGGCGCTAAAATGGACCTTGTAGTGCGCTGTCTGTACAAAACGATAGTAATGAACGGTGTGGATGGAGCCTGCGACGTTTCGGACCTGAAGGAACTGCTGCATGCTAAAGGCGTCCAGGAGCATATCCCTATTCCAGCCCCTGCAAAGCAGCGTCTGGTAAGAGTGGTGCTTGGTAAAATTCTTGATGCATAAAGACTACGCTCCCTGTGGCAGGTCTGCCTTGACGAGATCTGCTTTGTCACCATGACTTGTGTAGGTCCACAAGGGAAGTATCCTAACGTCTGGCAGCCTACATGATGCTGGAGTTCACAGCGGGGACCACCTTGTCTTGTTGCTCCATCGTCCTAACATCACAACACCTGTGAAGCCTGTGGACACCACACCTGTTCCAACTGCGGCAACTATTCGCTCCGCCATTGTTGCCGAAGCGAGGAGCCGTGGACTTGAGCATACCATTATGGAAGAACCGCGGCGCGCAGGTAAGGTTGCTGCGGAGCCCAACTAGGGTTGCACGGCTCGGGCCCCGCGTCCAAACCCTTATAAGAAAGTCATTATGCCGCAAACTACTAGTAAAATTCCAATACTTCACGCCCATGACCCGTCTACAACGCCTGCCTTCACCTGTCTTCACGCCCGCGTCGTCCCCCGGCCCATCCCCAGCTCGCTCGTACGGCATGCCCATGGAGGCCATGGCGCTGGAGGTTGACAACCAGCTGCTGCAGCTCATCCAGGCGCTGCAGGGCAGGACGCAGGGCGCGGGCGGCAGGGGCGGACAGCAGCAGGCTGGCGGGGCCGCGGCGCCGGGTGGTCAGCAGGCGCAGGCGCAGGGGCCCGCAGCTGCAGGAACAGCCCCTCGGTACCTGCAGGTACGCTGTGGGGGCTGGTGCTCTCGGATCCTGCTCAAACGATTTGAAGATCTGTTGTGCTGTCTTGAGATGCAGCGCAGAGGTTGGCAGTCGTTCTTGTGCTGTGACATACGGCGGTTTGCTAGTATGAAGGTTGCCGTATTCCTAATGGCTTAGCAGTTCCGGTTTACCCGCTCACCGACTGAGTCCCCCTGGAAGCATACCCCACGTCGCCCAACCTGACGACCGCACCCCTGCCGGTCCGTTTCCTCTCCCCTTGTCCCCCCTAGCCACCCGCCGGCGGCCCGCTGCCGGGCATGCTGTTCTTCGGCATGCCGCCGCCACCGCAACCCGCACCCCCGCCCCCGGCTGCTCCCGCGGCGCCTCCTGCCATTCCCGAGCCCGACGCGCAAGCCTGCTCCCAGCTGCGCGACATGGGGTTCGGCGACGCTGTGGTCCGCAAGGCGCTGCTGCTGCACCGCAACGACATGGAGGCGGCACTCAACTGGCTGCTGCAGCACGGGGAGGACCCCGCGGCGGCGGAGCCCCTCACGGAGGAGCAGCTGCGCCAGGTGCGTGTGGCGGAGGGGCGGGGGCCGCGGGGCTGCCAGGTTGTGTGGGACCCTTGGATGCAGTTGCATCCTCTGGGTAGCCCTGGCCAGGGGCGAAGTCCGACCTATTCCTCTGGGGTACCGGTGAATTGTCAGGGTTGCCGTCCAAGTGGTTGCAAACCAGTTACCACCATTCTGCGCTGTTACCCTCACGGTAATGTCGCATCCGCGTATGTTGCGCCTGACGGTTTGCCCAACGCCACCGCAGATCTACAGCCGCGGCCCGCGGGGTCCGCCCTCCGAGCCGGAGATGGTAGAGCAGCTGGTGGCCATGGGCTTCGAGCGCAACCAGGCCGCCGGCGCGCTGCGGCGCTTCCGCAACATGGACCTGGCGCTGGCCTACCTGCTGCGGGCGGCGGAGGAGGGGGAGGGGGAGGGAGACGCAAGGCAGGAGGGGCCAGGCGGGCAGCAGGAGGGCGCGGCGGCGGCGCCAGCGGCGGCGGGGCAGGGAGGAGGCGAGGCAGGCCAGGGACCGCAACAGCAGCAGCAGGGAGATCGGGCTGCGGCGGGAGTGGCTCCGGCTGAAGGTATGCTGCACCGGGGATACATGTCCGTATGCCGGATGGAGCGCAGAGTGTTGACTCGAGTACAGCGGCGCAGGGGCGGGTCCGGCGGGGGGTCCTAGGGGCGGGTCGCCATTGCAGTGCGCATCTGCCGAACAGCGATGGCAACAGAGATTAAACGTGGCGCTTCCTTGATGCGTTTACTGCGTTCCTGTAGCTACTCAACTAGGTTTCCCGTGCGGTGCGTTTGCAGGCGGCCGTAATGGTGAGGGGCCCGGCGACCCGCAGCCTGGGGAGGGCTACGCTGGCGGCGGCCAACAGCAGCAGCATGACGAGGCGTTGCACCCTCTTCCCATGGAGGTGGAGCACGAGGGCGAGCACGACGACGACGAGGAGGATGAGGACGAAGGCGAGGAGGAGGACGAAGAAGACGATGAGGAGTTTACTGGTGGGAGGGGCAGGCAGCCATGGGGTGGGAACACACCCGCACTCGCTTGCAACTGGAACCCGCCGGTCATGACACGCATCGTACACGAGGCAGAGGCGGGGACCTCTTCGGTATGAAAGAACAAACAGAGGTATTTTATGTTCATAATCCCTCGCAACCCCCTGCAGGAGATGAGGACATGCCGAACGTGATGGAGCAGCTGGCGGGCGCAGGTAACGACAACAGCAGTGCGTTCGTATGTCATTGTTTTGACACATGCATGCTCGAGGGCAACCATAGGTGTTTGCCTCACTGACAACTATGGTGTACATTATGCTAAACGCCTTCATCCGCGGCCGCTCCCTTCTTGCCAGGCGCCAACCGAGGTACCGTGCTGCGCATTCCTCTGGGCGGCGGGGCCCTGGGCTTGGGTGGAGATCCCATGCCCGAGGACGTCCTAGGCGCCTTTGGCGCGCCCCTCGCGCTGCACGGCATGGGCGCTGCTGCGCCTGCCATGGCGGTGACCCGTGGGCCCGACGGCAACGAGCTGGTGCTGGGTGCCGCGGGAGCCAACATGCCGCCGCTGATGCCCACGCGCGGGGTGATGCTGGGCCAGCCGGGTGCGGCGGGCATGGCGGCAGGCGGCGGCACAGGGGGCCTGGGGGCGCAGCTGTTGGACCTTCCCGGGCTGCTCCAGGGTGGCGGCGACGCGGGAGAGGATGAGCTGGTGATGCAGGGCATGGGGCTGGTGCAGCAGCTGCTGAATGCGGTGCTGCGAGATGCGCTGAACGGCGGGGAGGGCGGCAATGCAGGAGCTCGGGGCCAGCAACGGTAGAGTTGCATGCGGGAGGCGTTACACGCTGCAGCGGCGTGTACCCAATCGTTGGATTCAAGGAGGAGAGATTTGTGAATCAAGATATGTACAGGACGAAAACAGTTGTAATTTGCTCCACAGAGGGAGGTTCTGCGAACGCAACTGGCCTTGTTTGGGCCATAATCGAATCCACACCATAATCGAAAGAGTCCGTGTTTATGCGGTTCTGCAGTTTTAGTAAGACCAGGATTACTTTTCATTGAAGCAACCATGAGCCCATGATGCATACTAATGTACTGATGCCTGTTATGCACCGCTGTTTCGAACTCCCGTGCCAGTCCATAGCATATGTTGTGCTCGCACGCCAGTCGCCAAGTGCCGGGCTACTCCTCGCCTCGCATGCACTGCTGGATGCACTCTAGCCTGCCCTTGGGCGGGTCATTCGAGCGGGACAGCCCTCGGTCGTAGTGCTTCTGCGCGGACAAAAAGGCAATGCAACAACGGGATGTCACGTCACGCATAACACGTAGAGACCCACGGACCACGAAACCAGACAACGTCTTCAACCACCCTAGTGTGACCGGGCGGGTTTCCGCAGCAGCCCTAACATGCTGCAGCAGGCGCCACTGCAATAGCGGCTACAACGTGACACGGCAAGACACAGCAAGGCTCATGTGCCCCTGGAGCTCCTCTCCTCACCCGCCGCGCCCACATGACCTCCCGCCGCTGCAGCGCCTCTATGAAGGTGGTGGTGTCCAGCGCCCCGCGGCCGTCGTCAAACACCACAAACACGATGTCCACCACGTGCTCCGGCAACGTCACGCCTAGCAGCTTCTGTAGCAGCTTGGTGAAGTCGGCCTTGTGCACGGGGCGCCCCACCTGACGCAGAGGCAGCAGAGGCCACGCAACGGAAGGCACAGAGGGTGCAGGCAGCTGAACGCAGGAGTACAGCCGGGAATATCACCAGGGGTAGGGTGCCCCTTGCATGAGTGCATAGCCTCATTCACGTTAGCCCCTCCAGCCAGATTCCCACCCACTGCGGTGCCTCATTCAACACATTGGGTATCCTTCTTTCCCCAATACGGTGCCCAGCCTGGCCGCATGCAGGCCTACCTGGTTGCAGAAGTCCAGCGCCACCGCCAGCGTGTGCAGCCCGCGGTGCAGCTGGTGCAGCAGCAGGAACTCCTCGTAGCTGACACGCTGGCGCCGCAGCTCCGGGCTCATGGCGTCCACCTACGTGCCGTGGGACGCAGGGCAGGACAGGGCAGAGTGTACCAAACGCATTGTACGGCTAACCCAACCAGTATAACCCCCCCCATCATGCCTAGGATGCTCGTCAGCGCCCATCCCTGCTCCCGGCCTAGGGCTACGGCGCTTGCATTCCTGCAACCCTGCACTACCCCGGCGCTACTCCCCGCCCCGCACCTTGTCCAGCAGCTGGTCCACGTGGCGGGAGTCCGCGGCGGTCACCAAGCTGCGTGCAAAGTCCAGCGCCGGCATGGAGCCCGTGCCCGTCACGTCGTAGTGCGCGAACTCCAGCCGCACCACCTCCCGCTGCAGCGCTGCCAGGAAGTCGCGGAACTGCGGCAGGTTGAGCTTCTTGCTGCCGTCGCGCCCGAAGAAGGACAGCAGGATGCCCGATTCAGAGGTCCTTGAGGGGGTGCAAGCGAGGCGCGGTTACGATAGGGACGTAGGGTACGGCACCATACGGGAGGTTGGGAAGGGTTTACACGCCAGGTGTGTATGAAAGCGATCTAGGCTTCGCAATGAGGAGCAGAGAGAGGGAGTGTTGCGAGGGTGGTGGCATGCAAAACGTGGCGTGGGTGTCGGCCCAGCAACCGGTACTCACATCGCCAGCTTGTGCGAGCGCCCGACCTTGGAGGCATGCACGTTGGCCATGCCCTGCAGCAGCTCCATGACCACCTTGAACTCCGCAAAGTCGATGACGCCTGCAATCAGTGCGCCGGACTACTGTATGGCCTTCGGTGACCGCCAACCACTGTCCATGAAAGAATAACGGCAACACGACAGTACCACAGGTGCTTGCTTGACAGTAGCGACTTGCGGGCAAGAGCTTCGAAGCCCATTCCCAGCCGCATGTCCCGCCCGTTCGGCGGTGACCTTGCCCAGATCTCCTACATGCTAAATGACGGCCCATCTTAGTACTTGGAGTCCAACATACCGTTGCCGTCCAGGTCCACCACGTCAAAAATGGTCTTGACGTCGCTCTCGCGAATGGACAGCAGCGTGAGCACAAGAAGGAATTCGGGGTAGGAGATCACACCATCGCCGTCCACGTCAAACTGCATGGGTTGTGGTGAGCGCCAGGGTCACGGTTCCCGTTATACCCAACCCCTCAGCCATTTGTGAACAGGGCTCGTGCAAGACTCTGCGGTGCACCCGGGGGTTGGCATGCTTGGCTGGCCATGTCTGACAGGTTGCACATATGCACACAAGCATGTTGGCTTGGCATGCCGTTACCTACGGTCCCAGATATGGGCCGTCGTGTGTGGCCGTCGTCAGCTATAGATCACATGTGCCGCCCTGATACCTGCTGAAAGAAGTTCGTCTGATCCTTCTTCCATGCGGCCTGTAGGGCGCTGCTGCCCCGCTCGCCTGCATCGCAACATACAACACTTAGTCGACCACCTTTCAACCGTTCTTTGTTTTGCACATACCATCGAGGAATCCCGACCGGTCCAAGGTTGACTCGCTGGGTGGGAAGGTGGGCACCACCGCACGAAGCAAGTCAGCGGGTGTCATGTACTTCAGCTTGTCCTTCTCCTGGGAGCTGAAGTACTCAAACACCTTGTCGAGTGAGCTCTTGTCTCGTATGCGTCTTTCATACTTAAAAAAGATGCGCTGGCGACTGGCTAGAGGCAGAAGATGGAAACTTTCGTCTTGCGGACTGTCCTTAGGGTCAGCGCTGGCAACTCCAGCAGCGGCTAGTCCTAAAAGCGGTAGCGACGCCAGATGCCAGTATTTTGGGCCTTCGTGCCCCGAAGTGGAAACGGCAACGGACGAGAGCTGTCGTTCGGTCCATGGACCATAGGCAGCAACCGTCTGCACGCCGGATTGGCAAGCAGCAAAACAGCGCAATACTCCTGGTGCACGCCGTAGCAACTGTTGCTGTCGCATGGCTGGTCGACTGTGCGAAGTGTTGCTGGGATGCCTGCTGTAAAGGGAGATTACTTATCGATTCCAGGTCATAGTTTGAGCTCGACTAGCTATTGGCAGGTTACCTACGTTGTCGTGGATTCGCGAGGAAGCGAGTAACGAACCTCGTGTACGGGCATAGTGTACGGCCCCTAGCAGGTGCGGGTTACGATTTTGTACGAGCTTGTCGAGGCCTTGCAAAGGATCAGTTGCCGTCAGAGACGCAAGAACCTGATGACTTTACGCCCTGCTATTTGGAGGCGACACGGAATCCCCTTGCTCCTATGCTGAGCCCCTTCCTGCAAGCATAGTTCGGTTCACCACCTGCTGCACACATGCAAACGAAGCCATGCAGCACCACCAGACATGGCCTCTCATCACATATCCCTTAATACCATGCGCATAAACCATCCCTCATCCCTTCCATACCCCCTCTATGTTATGCCCTTGGTTGCTAGTCAGCATCACAGACACACCACCCATAAGTCTCACCCTCGTACACTGGTTGGTCATTCGTCATGCAATGCCCGTCTGCAGCAATAGGGCATCGAAACAGAAGCAAAGACCTCTAACGCGTTTCACACAAACGGGTTGGATAACCATGACGTGCACTGCGGCTTGGACCGACGCCGCGCAGGAGCAGTGACATCCCCGTCGTCGTTTGCCCGTCCATGATACCTCAGTCGCCCTCACTGTCCGTCTCGTCGCCCCCACTGTCCGTCTCGTCCCCCTCACTGTCCGTCTCGTGGATCTCGCCATTGGAAAGGTAGACGACCTCCCTGTCCAGCCGCGCCAACCACTCCACCAGCTGCCGCCTGCTGCTCGGGTCGGCCGGGTCATGGGCGGCACTCCACGTCTCCTGCATCACCTGTGTGGGTGGGAGTGGGCGGGGTCAGAGGCATGCTCAGCAGGGTCAGGAGCGCACACGAGCGCAACACGTGAGAAGGCACCTCGGCGAAGCGAACCCGCACGGGCCGCTGTTCGCAATGCCTACCCAAGGAAGCGCGCAAGACCGCGGCGAAGCGTGTGTACGTCAGGCAACACGGCCAGCACGCCTATAAAAGGTGCAGCGGCCTACTACCGGCGACAGCGAGGGCCCACTACACGTGCAACATGCTACCCGAGCCCAAGGCCGTGTGCAACAACAATTAACCAATGCCTACCTCCGCTATGCATGTTTCCATGATACTGGCGCAATGTGAACAGCGTGAGCTGTCGATAGGGAGCACGTCCACTGCCCGCGCATTGGCTGCAGCCGCCACCGCCGCCGCACTTTTGCCATTCAAGCAGGTCACACAGGCATAGACGGTGCCGCCGGCTTGGAAGAAGTGGCCGAAGACGGCCACATCTCCCCTATCCATCGCGTCGCGCGGCAGTTGCATAATCCTCCGTCTCTTGGACGCAGGCCCGCGCATAATAAAGTGGCGCTGACAGTAGTGCTGCGGCACCGACGCTCCCGGTGCCGACGCTGGAGGATATGTAATGCTCGATGTGGCCTCAGGCACCATACGCTGCACCGCCAAGGACAACAGTTCTCCTCCTGACGGCAGCTGCAGCGCCTGGGACCCACCCGCCGCTTGCATTGGCTGCAGGTCCGACCGCCGCCGCTGCTGCTGCTGCTGCCCCTCTCCGGAAACCTGTGGCACACGGACACCCGCGTCCTGGGTGCGGATAGCAAACTGCACATAACGGCCTACAACACTATAGCATATGATTTCGGGAAGTCCAAGCTGCTCGATCAGCTGATTGACGATGTCTGGAGAGGTGCGCTCCCAGAAAAGCTTCTTAACGTGCACTCGCGCAAAGATGCTCCCCAGCTGCCGCAGGTCCTCCATCCTTTCCGGCCGCTGGACGTGCGACAGATCCACCACCCCAATGCGTAAATCCAGCGCCTCCTGAAACGACCCGCCCTCCGTAAGGCCCGACATCAGCTGGCGAACTTCCCGCAGCATGTGGTGCGCCCCGCCGTAGCACTGCAGCAAGTCCACGGCGACCAAGCGGCCGGTGTTCAATCGGACGTGCAGGCTGCTAGCGCGGAACCCACCCACTTCGCCCCACTCGTCCAATACCAAACGCTGTAAGGAAGCTGGTAGGCTGCCCCATAGGAGCTGCCACGTGCTCTGCGGAAGGCTGCAGCGGCGGAGGTGCAACTCACGGAGCCCTGACAGCATCGAAATGGTGGTGATGGCGGACGGATCCAGGTTATCACGCATGCGCACCCTGTAGTGGCCGCTGACCTCCAGGTGCCGAAGGTTGTTGCCGCCCTTATTGGCCAGGAAAGCCAAGCCGCTGGCTGCATAGCAGCTGGGAATCGACAGCCAATGGAGCTGAGGCAGGCAGGCTGCAAGGCTGCCGTACATGTCGCGTTGGTGAGGTTCGGAGTACGACATGCCGTGGAACTCTCGCATGTCCAGCTGCTGCAGCCCAGGCAGCAGCTGCACAAGTGCCGACACGATGATCTCAGCACACGGCACAGCATCCTTCTTGTCCTGCACGAGCTCAAGCCGAGCGACGCGATGTCGGGCCTCCAGAGAAAGCTGCTGGAATGGTTGGGTAGCCAGCAGAACGGCGTCTGACGCGCGGAAGCGTCGCCCCAGTTCAAATTTGAAGCACACAGTTGCCAAGTTGGCGAAACGCGTTAAGGATGGCCGCTCGCCTTTCAAGAGCTCTTCAAGGTGATCCGGCAACAGGGTCATACAACATTTCGTGAAGCGCCTGTCGACTAGATCGCACATGGCCGTACATGTAACGCGGATGGCCAGAAGGCTGTCCACATCCTTAGTTAGGAACCCAAGGATGCCCTCAACGACATCGCTGGGTAACCTTCCAAAGCCGCTGCGCTTGCCCTGGTCTGCTGCCACCACGCCAGCCATGACTGTCTTGCAAATTTGTGCTTCTTCAAATAAACCCTAGTAAAATGGGAAAGCCTCTGTAGCAGATCACAGGCTGCAACAGGATGCTTGCCTAAAATCCTAGAGGTGGCCGGCCCCGATGCCACGACGAGCTTGTTCTCAGCCCAAGTTCCCCTCTGCGCGTGTCGACTTGCTTTCTTTATGGGCATTGAGCAAATGACGTGATTGCATGTATACGGGTTGTGTACGCTAGGTCGCTAGAAGGAGATTTAAACCGTCGGCATTGCCGTACATGATACCTGGAATCGATACCCTCCGCTGACCATCACACACCAATAAGCCCTGACGCTGGGTGGTAAACGGGAGGGGGTGTCGCACAGGCTTTTTACGTCAAGCCCAAGGCTTGGAGTGAAGATGCCCAGAGGAGTCCCGAGCGCGCGCCCCATGCTGCCACCTACCCGTGGTACCGAACCGCGGTCTCCGATATCCTGCAACAGGGGGTACACCTCCCTTGTCCTCCCTGAAGTCCCTGCTTCGCCACCTGGCCTTGCCATTAGCTCCATTCATGCCGTAAGCGCTTCCCCCTATCCATCGTATGGGCACAATGCACGCGATGTATTGCTGGCGTCTGTCTGCAAGTTACCATGGCAGTGCAGCCGTGATAACGCCAAGGGGCTCACACCACCAACTTTGCTGCTGTTACCGGTGTTGGAACCGCAGGGGTCCCAAGAAGCCCAACAAAAGAGAACGGCCCAAAGCGCCCTACCTTCGAACCTCCATCTGGCATTGCAGGACAGTGCCAAAGCACAATCCCGTCAACAGGCGCGGCCACGCGGCCAAGCCTGTCCTCTCGTCCACTTCCAGTGCCCCCTACCCTAGCCTCAGGCCCCCAAGCCACATCCCACTGCGCTTGCACACCACAGCGCCCCAACGCTCGGCCCCCTCTGGAGCTACTCGTGACAGCGGCCTCCCACTTCCACAACAATAGTCATTAGAATCCTTACCCCCTGCTCGAACACAACGCCCCCCCCCGTTATGTTGTGCCCGTTTACATGTACCCACGTAACCTGCCTGGCCAGCGTCACTCTCTCACAGTCATTAGCCACCCCGCCCACCAAACCTTGAAACGCCTCCTATCCCAACCTTCCAGACAGGTATCTGCCTCCGGCAAGATCCGCCCTGTCCATGTTAGCATGGTCAACGGAACCCCAGATAGCGCACCGCATCCAATCCATTTCCGCATCCAACACCGCGACCGCCTTACGTGCTATACGGGTCTAGCACGCATGATCTTGACCTCACTCATCGGTCGGTCCATGTTGTCGGTTTGTACGTTGCCCAGGCGCTTAATCACCGCCATGCCCGACACGACCCGCCCGAAGATGGTGTGCTTGCCGTCCAGCCAGGCCGTTGGGGCAAGCGTCACGAAGAACTGCCGGGGCGCAAGGCATGCAGCCGGGCCACAATGGAGCTGTCACGACAACTGAACATCTGGCAGGCCGTGTTAGGGAGGGTAGTGTATGACATACTGCATGCGGCGCACTGCGGAGGTACACGTCACTGCTTTGGAAGCTCATTCAGTCCATGCCTATCTAGCCCATGCATGAAAGTGAAATGCGGGGAAGTTGGTTACCTAAGCTAGTAGAAGTTTCCCAGTACGATTCTACTGCCGTAGCACTGCCCCATCCCAGCCTTCAATACAGCCGCCCACCTCACCTGACTCCCGTTGGTGTTGGGCCCTGCGTTCGCCATTGAAAGGATGCCCGCCCCCGTGTGTTTCAGCTCTCGCGTGATCTCATCCTCAAATTTCCCTCCGTAGATGGACTCGCCACCTCGCCCGGTGCCAGTCGGGTCCCCTCCTTGTATCATGAAGTCTGGTATGATGCGGTGGAACTGCAGCGGCCGGGCAAGCCAAGGGGGCAGCGACGTACGGCGCACAGGTTGAGCACGCTACGCTCCCATTTAAAGGACATACATAGCTCCCCCTTTCACTTATCAACAGCAATTGGCAGGCCAGCAGTACTGAAGACTTGTGTCATCCTGAGACTGGGGCTTAGTAGGTAAGCCCGGCTTACCACTGTCCCATCGTAGTAGCCCTTCCTCGCAAGCTCTTCAAAGTTTTTGCATGTCCTTGGGGCATGTTTATAATATAGCTCAACAGTAAACGTTCCCAAAGTCGTGTCGATCTGAACTTGCGGTGCCTCCATTTCCGTAGAAAATTAGAAATTGCAGTGTATTTGTATTTTAGTGGCTTTCCGGAAAACGTCTATGGCACTGCCTATTGTAATGCGGTGCAACAATACCAAGTTTCAACGAATTGCGTAACACTTTCTGCACGCCAGTAGCTTTCCAGGATATTGCCACTCGAGTTATTAACACGGACCCCTCGTCACGTAGCAGAACGCCGTATGTGATAAGAGCGCTAGTAAAGCATGCAGTTTTACGCATGTCGTACGGACGCCTCCCCGGCGTGCTGCGACCTGGTAGCCTCCAGGAATGAGAGGTTAGGGCGTGTTAAGGCATAACCAATATGCGTCTGCAGACCATGCACCCCAGAGGCATCGCAGGGGTAGAACAGACACGTGTTAGTGGCTGGCTGCGAATGACGCAGGGCCACCACACCTCCCACGCTTTGCCCGGTCTCTCCACTGAACCCAAGACATAGATGGGTGGGTTGCTGAATCCCCGTGCCAAGCAACCCTCACCAAAACAGTGTTGAAACCCCAAAAGGTATGCGGAGAGTGGGGTTTGAACCCACGCAGTCTTGCGACTAGAAGATCTTAAGTCTCCCCCCTTGGACCGACTCGGGCATCTCCGCAAGTGTACGACAATAGGAACCGCAGTTAGAAGCGGATGTCAAACAGCTTCACGTACATCTTTATGTACGTGACTGGCGAACACGCGGATGGATTTGCACATTTCGTACGGCGTTGGCGGCCGCAGTACGACGTCCATTTGTGCCCTCGTTCCTCGGTGTGCGGTTTTCCTGCGGCTATCCTGCATGGTCAGTGGAGGGTTCAAGCGCTCACCCATGTGACCGTACGTACGTCAAAGATCATGCCCTTGCAATCGCACCGAGGCGTGTTCGGTGGCGCCCCGCAGGAGACCTCGAGCAGTTTTGGTTCACAGACCCTTGGCACAGGAACCTAGGACGGATAAGTGGATGCGCTTGCTTGTATGAGCGTTACGAACTGTGCTGTTTTGGCTGTTACTGCGCTGCGCTAGCAAGGAACAGACAGATTATGATGACGACGACTGACGCACGTTCAAGGGAACCTTAAAAGCCATAAGCATACTGGCGACGTTACCACCAGTCCAAGAGGCCGCGTCTGGTACGACCCGGCTTAGCTACACCTCGGTTGATATAGGCACGCACCGTGGCAGCTCCACCCTTCCATTTGAAGAAAGACATCTATGTTACCGATGATGGTATAACTCCTGCAAACGTAGAGTCAGGGGCACCAGTGCGGCAACCCTCACACAGCATCCGTGCATGCACTCACCCTGATACAGGACAAGAGGCCAAGGTAGCTACGTCCCCAGCCCTCGAGCCCCGCATGCTCCCTGGAGTACGGCAACCGGTATGCAGTCCAACCCAACCCTGCTGCAACGTACCTTCCATGGCAAATTCCTACAAAACCCACAAGGTTACGTGTCGTGCAGCCAGCCAGGCACTCCTTACATGACTAGGTACATAATGTACCTAGTACATAATGTTGGCAACAGGAGCGCAAAGGCCAACCCTGTCATAACTTGCGATGACTGAAAAGAGTACGCGCAACCCCTCCGTACAATACCACAAGTTACAATAACAAGTCAAGCCCTAGCGCCCGCCAAAACGACGAAGTCAAGATAACCACACCGCCATGCTGCATTGTTAATGACAGTAGCTGTTAACGCTATTCGTATTCAAGTACCGGTCATAACCAGTGCTCAGGTACACTTTTAAAACCACATGCCCATGCTACAGCCCAAAGTAACCTACCCGCTAGCACACCCTGAAGGCCCGGGATTGAGTTCAGTAACAAGGTTTTGCGTCCACGGCTGTTCATCCCAGCTGTGAACGCCATGCAAAGCGTTTCGTAACCATAATATGCTTCCATTCGTACAAGCATGTCGTTCATTGTTAGTGCACTCCTTGGCGAGCTCCGCACGCCAGCCACCGCTTTGAAATCCAAAGACTTCATGCGTGCAGTCTGCAGTCTCAGCTGCACGGAACAAATCCGCACCAAGGCAGCACTTAGTTTGTGTCCGCTGTCCGCAGGAGCTTGCGCTGCTTCTTGTCCTTCATCATCTTTTTAACCGTAGCAGTGTTGGTAATCTACAGGGCGCAGGGAAATGCATAGGGGGTGCTCAGGATGAAAACATGTAACACAGCAAAGCGGCAGGGATAGCTTATGGCGCTACATCCCGCTCCACATAGCATGAAAGTGCTACTCAGTCCGCCATTTGAACGGGTACTTCGCCTGACCAAGAAGCCAAACCTCGCGGCTGTCTACGTGTTTGCAAAACTCGGAACTGGCGATGAAGGAGTGACAGCACTTTTTCGGTGGATGGAGGGGGAAGACGACGGCAGCTCCCTATTCCCTCACGGGGATGGAACACACTCCCCATCACACCCACCACACCCTGCTTGAGAATGAGACACAACTTTGTCTCGCTTTGCAACCCACGTAAGAGGTCATGGTAAATGCCGTTGCATATGACCCGCAGGCTGCCTGGTCGCGCGTGTGCATGCGCCTAACCCTTATTGGCCACCTATTGGCACCCCTGCAGGATTACATACCTTCTGCACCACGGCACTCTTCTGTTGGTTGGCTGCCTTGCGCTCCTTGGCCGCCTTCCGCTGGTCCGCCGCAGCCTGTGTCCACGTTTCACGGGTTCACGGGTTTCACGAAAGTAAGATGCGAGGTAGTTCGCACGGGGTATAACGATTACACCGGGCATGACGTTGCCAGCAGAGGAATGGGTCCGTGCATATGTGCAACAGCCGTGTATGTAATATAAACCACCAGGGCCCAACACACCTTGCGTTTTGCCTTTGCTGCAGCGACAGCCTCGCCCTTCAGTTCCTGGAGGTTTTTCCGAGCCGCCTTATCTGCCATGCGCTGATTCCAGCTCTTCTTGCCGGACGTCGATGGCTTCATTACGGTGCTGGCTCGTTGCCCAGGCAGTTTCCATGTCCTCCCGGATACCTGTCAGTACACGTTGCACCCAGATGTTACGTTGGAAATTGCGGCTAAATGTTGTGCAATTGTATGCAGCGCAATTCGGGCAAGTCCTGCCAGGCGCCGCCCAACTTACCGGCCTGAAAGTTGTTTCGTCGGCTTTTTGGCGCTTCTCGGGCTGCTTCAACTCCTGCTGTTCGTCTTCTTGCATGGCCGCCACCTGCTCGTCGTCCACCTGCTCCTCTGCATCCCGCTTCCGTTTACCGGCCGTCCGCTCCTTGAACCCTTTAGGCTGCACACCAACTAGTCGGCGCAGGTCTACGTTATCCATATCTTTTGGGTACTGTGCGGGGACCCATTCCCCGGCGGCGTCTACGGCCATTTTGTGAAAGGAAATACTCAAAGATGAAGGACACTCACACAAGCAAGGCTTCGTTAAGGTCTGTCAGTAAAGTGTCTGAACTCTTGCAAGGACAAAGGGAAAGCTTTAGACAACCAAAGTATGCCGTACTATGGAATTACCGATTCTTCTGTGATGCAGCAAGACCTTCTAAGTTGGAGTCGGATATGATGATGTATTTACGAATTTGCTGCGTAGCAGCCGTGTAGATCTGCCAACATCTTGAACTATAGTTTCCTGGAAACTCTGACTCTTTGCTCGTAAAGGACAAGATGGCCGATGTGCCGAAGGGATACATTTCTATTGTCGTAGAAGAGGCAACTGGAAAGACGCAGCGTGACCAGTTCACCTGGGACACGAACGCGGGAGCATTTGAGGCGTTTGTCAAAGGCAGGTTCTCAGAACAGTTGCTGGCCCGCCGGGTCTTACGAGTCACAAATTACATATAAAAGCAGCTTGTTTAAGGCTGCAGCTGTCTTTCTTTTTCCCACCTGCAGTGGAAATCCGCGGAGGGCTGAGGAACATCAAGGTACGTCGTGCGTCTTTGCAGTAAGGGGTGTGCACTGGTCCCAGCATCTGAAGCGGCATCATGCATCATATGTCCTTGTGCCGTGCGGTACAGGCCCAGACCAAGAAGGCGCCTCTTATCGCTGATACTATAACATGGCGCGAGGAGCTGCGCATGTAAGTGATTATTATTGTAAAGTCATTGTTAGCTGCTTACTGGGCAGTGGTGTGCTGCAAAGTATTTGTAGGTGCAAGTCGCCCTAACCGCCCACGACGTGCTTATTGCAAGGCGGTCCCTTGCGTTCACGCTTGCCTTCTGTTTCGCCGTCCTCGGACTTCCAAAACCCGCGGTGTTTCTTGCCATGCCACCAGGGAGGTGCTCGAGGGTTCCAGCGAGCTGCGCCTCATGCTGTGCCGAGAAAAGTTCCAAGGCAACAAGAAAGGCACATCAGTGGTAGCGGCATGCGGTACGTGGGGACGCTAAGGCGTTGTCCTCAAGGGACTCCGCATACTACTTGACATGCTGCAAAGTGATGTTAATGTATGGGACTTTACGTTTGTTTACCCGCACCCAACATACCCCACACATGGGTACCACACAAGGGGCCTGCACTGGAATGGGCCGATGCCCAGCGCCGGCCTGTGTCCCGCCACCGTGCATGGAATTGGGTAGTCCATGCTGCTTATCGGGCGTTGTTCAACGCATGCATGTCGCCCGCACGTCGTCGTGGATGCACCTGCGATTTGGGACGACTTTAGCCTGTACTGTATGCTATCCCCTGGATGGTCTTCGCCGTTATCCTTCGTTGTGCATGGCTTCTTGCAACCGTGGCATCACATGCCCCCCTTACAGGGATTTACGTCAACGACATCCTAGAGGCGGTCCCCATCGACAAGTACTTTGAGCTGTTCAAGCCCAACGCGGGCGGTGAGGGCGGCTTCATCCGCATCCGCATGAACTTCGTGCGGGACCTTGCGGAGCTTGACAACCCGCGACCAGGTGGGGGTGAAGGAGGGAGGGGCAAGGGCACTGTTACTGGGCCTGTCAGTGCTGCACTTTTGAATTCTCTGTTATGGCGGCTGATGGATGGATTTTTGGGCGGTGGATGACTAGACATGCGGCGGCAGCCTTGCTACAACGCACGTTCGTCTCCCTGTCGTTGCGTGCCCGTCCCACAGACGCCAGCTTGCAGCCCAGCGTGGCGTTCGGCCAGCAGCCCACAAACACGAAGGACGCGGCAGGTGAGGCACAGGCGCAGGGGATGCCTAATCGCCAACTCCAATGCCTTCTGCATCCTGCAGCACGCCGTGGTAGCCTCCTTCCCCTTGCCCTGTGCATATCCTAGCGGCGTAGCAGCAGCGCACTGCGTTTGTCCGTCGCTGAAGGGCGCTAGGACACCCTATCGTTGCAGGGCGGCTGCAAGGTGTGGTGTCGCCGGATACCGTGGAGGAGGTGGCCCGGCGTGTTGCCACCCTGGGGACGGAGCCGGAGGTGCCGGGGCCAGCGAAGAGCGGCGGCAAAGGCCGGAAGAAGTGAGTGCGGGACTTGGGGAACTGGAGTGGGGAACACTGCTACGGCGGCTTCCGTGGATAGAGGCGGGGAGCGGGGCTCGGCTAGTGCTGCCCAGGGACTTCGGGTTACGGGCTGGAGGCCCAGGTAGTCGGTCCTCATCCCGCATGGCACAGGTCAACGGCACGCCTAAGCACAGATGTCGTTACGAAGGCGTTTGGAGGCCTACAAACGTTTGCTAACTACACCTGAGTGAGCGTCATTTGCTGACATGCCCCCTATGATCTCCGATGGTCCTGTGCCGATCGCAGGAGGGGCATCGTCCCTATTCTCATTGCTGCGGCGGCCACAGGCGTTGTCATCCTCCTGAAGAAGAGAGGCCACAAATGATGTTAGCGTTGCTGTCATGGCGTTGTGGCGTGCAACAGCCGTGCAAACCTGTCAGCGGCAGTGGCGCAGTACTCAGAACGAGGGATAGCTTAGAGAGAGGAACAGCTGGATGGTAGTTAGCAGATTGATTGGTTGAGGTTGTGCGAGGGGTGTAGTTTGAAGCTTTAGGATTGTACAATTGACCTGCCCGCTCAAGGGACATTCTTTTTCATGGCGGGTTGCTTACTTCAAGGAGTATTGAGTTGTGGAGTGGCACTTGCCAGCTCCACGCATGTCATGTTGCATGCACGATGAGACCCCCATCCGCGCTTACGAGGGTCACGCTAGCGTCGTTGTTGTCGACGTTTTTCCAACAGGGGCTGAGAAAAGTAAGAGAAAAGTGATCCGCTGGAACACTTATCCAGAATAATGATAGCTGTCCTGCCCGGAACATTTGGTATGTCTGGCAAGTGTTGTCTTGCTATCTTGCGGGCTGATTATGCGCATGCAAAACAATGTAATGCGTCTGCGGAGCGTTGAAACATGGCACAAGTACTGGTGCCGTAGTTTGGCAGGGATATCAGCCGACAGGACCTTGGCGTATGGGTCCAAAACTTGAAGCCCACCTATCTGTGATCACGGTGTTATAATACCTGCAGCAACGTGGTAAGGCACACCCAGAAAGGGAAAGCCGTCACACGTGTTGGTGCTGCGCGGCCATCCCATACCCTGGATGCAGTCCGAGTTACCCCCATTAGTAAGGGGTTGGGCTGCACATAGGACATCGTGCTACAACACGGCTTGCTGCTTTACTCCGAGGCCGCGTGAGGGATTGCACTTCCGACATAGCAATGCCCCGTTAGGCGTCTCGCCAAGCTCCGCTTTCTGCTGCCCTCTCACTCCATGTTTGCGGCCAGCATGTACCGCACATGGAGCCAGTCATCACTAGACTAATAACGTATCATAGGGCAGTTGGTGCAACACCCTTACTGCTGCTATTTCGAGGAACATGGTAACGGATAGGTAAGGTGGGCCCCGTAAAATCCGACTACCCCAGGATTGCATATGCAAACCCATTAAACGGCGAGACAGCAACCAAAAAGTAGGCAGGCACTGCTGGACCAGCAAAAAGTAGGCCACAAGCGCAAGAGTTTGCTTTTTGCGAGCAACCATAAGTAAACATCCCCAGATGTAATAAGCCAAATAGGGTGCGTGGGGTACAAGATAAATATGGGATGTGGATTTTGGCGAGGGGCCTGCAAAGTGTATGAAGGGGCACTACCAATCATCACATTCCAACAATATATATCGCATAGTGTGTAATAATAAAAAGCTAGCTGTGCGCAGGAGGTAGTGTATTGTACAGTAAGCTCCAGGAGGGCCGCATCCTGCGCCCCCAAGGCGCGACGACGGAGCTTGTTCATTCTCTTTCCGTGCATTCAGTGGCGCTCCACAGGCCCTAGGTAGGTTACCGCAACTATATCCATTGCGCTGGGTGCACCTTTCACGCCGACGAAAGCACTCACTCAGAACTTCTAATTTCCGGATTTGCAGTGCGAGCACCACAATGGTTTCCGCTCGCAGCAAGAAGATTGTGAAGGAGAGGGGGCAGGAGCCCGATGAGTTCGAGGAGCAGGTGGCCCAGGTGCGCCACCAGGGCGCCGGCGTTCTCTCCATGGCGTGTTAGGTTTTCATTAGCGTTGTAGGAATTATAACATTAAAACTAATATGCAATGGGTGGCGGCTTTAGCTCGCGAGCGCGGCTGGCGGCGCATGGATAAATGCAGCAGCAGAGGGAGACCAAAGTAACAGCAATATCCCATTACCTTACAGGCTCTGTTTGACCTGGAGGCTACCAACGCGGAGCTGAAGAGCGACCTGCGCGACCTCTACATCACCTCTGCCAAGGAGGTCGATGTCGCCAACGGTGCCAGGAAGGCCATCATCATCCACGTAAGCACTTTAAACACGTCTTCCAGATCTAAGGCGATGCAAACGGCGATAGGTGCAATGCTGGTCTTATCCCACAGCAAAGGCTTGGTGTCTGCGGTGGCCTGTCTCCTGAAAGCTTCAGCCCTTTGCCAACGGTCGCAGGTGCCCTACCGCCTGCTGAAGGCTTTCCACAAGATTCAGCAGCGCCTGGTGCGCGAGCTGGAGAAGAAGTTCAGCGGCCGGGACGTGGTTATTGTCGGCACCCGCCGCATTCTGCCGCCCCCTCGCAACGGCAAGACCAACGCGCGCCCCCGCAGCCGCACCCTCACCGCGGTGCGTACCTCACAGCACGGGTGTTCCCCTCTTGCCACTATCCAGCGTTTTATCCAACTCATGAGTACTAACCCGGAACCCCCTCCTTCACCCCTCAGGTGCACGACGCCGTGCTGGACGACCTCGTGTACCCGACGGAGATCGTCGGCAAGCGCATTCGCTACCGGCTGGACGGCTCTAAGGTCCTCAAGGTGCGACCTAGAGATAAAAGGATATCTCATTGTGGGGCATTTTAGTAGGGCATAAGACGTGGAGCTGGGATCACCGGTGTGCTCAAACGTAAAGGCGGCAGGGCCCATGCGGCTGAGCATGCGGCTTTGGAGGAAGCAACCTGTACAGCGAGGCAACTGGATGTGCAGCAGCCACTGCCAAAGGCCACATGGAGCATCAGCAGCTGCCCAGTTAGGCAGCTACGGCTCTTAGCCTTTATGCTCAGCTCAGCAGCAGCGGATGCTCTGGCGGCAGCAGGCGTTGCTACAGCAGCCCCCGTCCACCTAATTGTCACGCAGTAGCAGGGGCAAGGACGCTGGCTAGCCGGCACCAGCGCCTGGCTGGCCTAAAGCTAGATCGGATTCGACTCTGGCAGTCCGATTCATCGCTGCTGCGTTATCCAGCAGCGGGTAACCTACAGCTGCGGCACAGCCCTTGTATCCTAGGAGGCAGCGCAACGCAGCATGCTAGAGTGCTTGTTGGATGTTGCTAAGAGGCACCGGCATGGGGAGTTGACGGAGCGGCCTGGGATTCGTTTCTCATCTTGAGAAATGAATGTTGCTGGCACGTTTGGGGATTTGATGTGACTGGCTTTCTCGTGACGAACGATTCGTTCACCTTTGCAATACCTAAGCGCGCTACTGCCGTCCCCCTCCTGCAGGTGCACCTGGACCCCAAGGACCGCAACACCACCGAGTACAAGCTGGAGACGTTCGCCAGCGTCTACAAGCGCCTCACAGGTGGGCCGTTCGGGGGTCGTTTGGGGTTTGCTAAAAGGGAACTATAGCTATAATGCTACTGCCGTCTGGTCCACGCTACAGTCACGCGGCTAGTGCTGACTTCTTTGGCTCCCACTTGGATCTAGCCGTAATGAGCGGGCGGCGTTGTTTCGTTGCATGATGGACGCTGCAAATTTCACACTCTGTATCTGAGGCTTCACGATGTCTGTTACCTGCATCTAAGGTTTCCCTACTCTTTCCGACCATGCAGGCAAGGACGTGAGCTTCGAGTTCCCGGTTGCCGAGTCCTCGTAAGCGTTAGGGTGTGGCGATGCCCTGCGGAGGAGTCACATCTGTAACGTACCAGTCCGGGAGTGCTCAGGACTAGCCAGCATCCCTCCATTGCCTAAGCCAGTGGCATTTCAACAGTGTCCCCGTGCATGGCCAAAACGCGCAACATTGGGGGCGGATCAGTCAATAACAGTCCCGTGATGCTTACCGCACATTCCACCGGTTAGTCAAACACTCGCCCCCCAAACTTACCCCTGGAGGCTACCTAGAAAACCCTTCAGCTGGCGTCTGTCCCTGACCAGCATTTGACATGCGCTTCAGTGGTTGTTAGCGGAAAAGGGCCTGCTCTAGCCATTTGGTTCCTCATGTGTGGCCCGGATAGCGTTGTGGGGCAATTGTTTAAAAACAAACCCTGCACCTCTTTCCCTGCATTGTGAAGGGGTGATAGTAGGCAACGATGGAGACTCTGCGCCTAGCACGCAAGCAGCCACACGAAACCTTTAACTTCCACGGCGCAGTATGGCAGTCCTGCATAGTCAAAGCTACGAGCCCCACAAACTGGGGTGATGGCGACTACCGGTAACCGGTGATGTCTGATATGGCCACACATACGAACAAACATGCATATGTTTCCCTTCAGGAGAGCCCGAACTAACAAAGATAGACATACAAAACGGCAGCCATGGTGTCCGTCGGCTTGCACACCAATGTAAGCACAACCGTTATCCGAAGCCGCCCGGGTTAAGCGGTTCTGGGCAGGTAGGCTGGGTTTAGGTACCTGTTGCACGTTTGTGTTTTAGGATTGAGCACTACAGAGTCACTACGGACTAGTCCGCATGAAACCAAGGTGTACGGATTATGTAAGGCCCAGCCGCCCCATAAGTTTAAGATACTTAAATGTCGCCATATCCTACAACTTACAAACCGAACCCATTCAATGGCGTCTCAAAACGGTGTGGCGCTGCTGGCGCTTTTCAGTTTTTGCCTGGTCGCATTGGCGACGGGCAAGGTCGTTAGCTTCACTGCGACCGGACGCCAGTCGCGCTTCGCTTCTGTCATCAGTAGAAACGATAATATCTCGGACCTGATGTAAGCATCGTCAAGGAAGCGCTCCTAACATACTAAAAATATGGCTATCAACGCCACCAGGCCTGACACGTGCCCTCGTTGACTCTTTTCATCCTGCTTTACAGTGTGACTCCTCGTCCCCATGAGCTGCTCAGTGCGGAGGACCTGCCCAAGGCCTGGGACTGGTGCGTGACTACAGCCGAGCCAAGCCCTAGTCCATGTTCCTTATGTTAAATGTCTCTCCTTCATTGCCGCAGGCGCAACGTGGTCGGCCCGAATTCAGACGTGCGCAACTATTTAAGCATTGTTCGCAACCAACATATCCCGCAATACTGGTAAGCAACCTGAATCGTCATATCCTGACGGAGCTGTACTCCGTTGCCTGACACAATAGTGTAGGATAATAGTGTTCAATGATCGTTGCCATTTGCTGACCTCGCTGCCGCGTTCTTGGTCTTGTTGGCTCTGCCTGTACTAAGCCTACCTAACGTCCTTCGTATTGCAGTGGCTCATGCTGGGCTCACGGAGCAAGCAGCGCATTGGCGGACCGCATGAACATTAAGAAACGAGTGAGTGCCTCGTTCGTTCCCTCCTTTCGAAAACCTAGACGCTCGCATTGGGCTTATCCTGTGAGGCAAGGCACCTTCCTCGTGAGGCCTTGGTCTCAATTGGCCTTGATTAAACCTTTCCTATGTACTTGAAGTGTCATTGGCATTTAGCTTGCATCGGTCGGCGGAATTCGTTGCTGCGCCAGTGTTGTGTATGCATACCTTCGAATTGCACGCCCTTCACTAGCATGCCTCTGTTCCGAAACGTGCAGGGTGCCTGGCCAGGTGCCTTCCTGTCGGTTCAGAACATCATTGACTGCGGCCACGCGGGCAGCTGCAATGGAGGCGATGACCGCTTGGTATACGCGTACGCTGCAAAGCATGGTGCGTAGCGATGCCAGCATTAGCTTTCAGATACCCTGTGTAGAGGGCAATCCGCCTAGCCTGGTTTTGTTATGTGCTTTACCTATAACTGTCCTTCCAACTGCCGGTTGCAGGCATCCCGCCGGACACATGCAACCTCTACGTTGCCAAGAACCAGAAGGTAGGGAAACGCCTTTGTCTTTACCAGCCCGGCGGCTGGCCCTGAATCCAAGACTTGTTTTTCTTGATATCGCTCGGCACTTTAGGCATTTTATGGCTCGTTAACCCGCTACAGTGTAGGCTTCACATCCAATTCGTGCCTGGTGTCCCTTGCAGTGCCACGCCAAGGAGCAGTGCTACACCTGCTGGCCGGACGGCAGTTGCAAGGCCGTGTACGACTATAACCGCCTGGTGGTGTCGGAGTACGGCAGACTGCATGTGAGTCCTTTTGTAGCAATAAAACCGTTTAGGGACTGGAATGGAAGGATTGGGCCATGAGGCCATGGGAAGGCGTTCTGCGGCATTGGTGGCGCCGTGAAACATACGTTTAGCCGGCCTTTTCCTTACCTCCCATGCATTATGTTGCCTTAGGGAGCGCACGAGATGAAGGCGGAGATCTACAAGCGCGGACCCATTAGCTGCGGCGTTGACGCAACTGACAACATGGACGCCTATACCGGTGGGTGGTGGGTGGATTTCCGCTGCTTTTTCTCTGTCATTATGTTTGTTTGGCGTGACATCTCGTATTGCACCCGGTCACAAGAGCCCTTGTACGGTGACTGCAGGTGGCGTGTATGCCGAGCACAAGCCTCAGCCCTTCATCAACCACATTGTCAGCGTGGTCGGCTGGGGCGTGGACGAGGAGGGAGTCGAGTACTGGATTGTTAGGAACAGGTGGGGGGAGCAGCGGTGGGGCAGTGGGTGGGTTCCAGTAACGTACCTCATTAGTCTACTGTTACATCGGGGCGCTGATGCTCCTCTCTGCCTTGTATAACCCATGCTTAAATGCGGCCGTAATGGAAGCGTGGGAGACGGCAGCCTTGGCGTTAATACCATGACGGATGCGTACATGCATCCATGCCGTCGATGAATATTCAAAGCATTGCCGCATGCCGTGTTACCCCATACTGTTTTGCAGCTGGGGTGAGCCGTGGGGCGAGAGTGGCTTCATGAAGCTGGTGACTTCGGCGTACAAGGATGGGACGGGCGCGCTGTACAATCTAGGCATCGAGACGCAGTGCACCTTTGGTGTGCCCGACAGGTGAGCGGGGTTTGGTTGCACCCGCCTGGCATCTCCTTAACGCGCAAGAGTGGGAAGCTTCGCACCTTGTCTTTTTGCGGCCGAAACATTGAAGCCCTCGACCCTTGCTTTGGTTACTGGCATGTGTTTCACTGCTTGTTGCATCCATGTAGGTGGGTACCGGCTAAGGAGATGGGTTTCGGGCCTGGCGACGACGACGAGGATGATGACGATGATGGCCCGGAGAGCGGCAAGGTGATCATCGTTGCGACCGACCCCAAGTCGGGTGGTAACCGGAAGTTCCTTCCCGGCATGACGCTGCGAAAGATCGATGATCAGTAAAGCGTTCGAACATCGTTAAGTGCTGCTAGAATGCCTCCTGTACGTTAAAACGCTGTATCATGTCGAGAGTGACGGCACCATGTATCGATATCATCATGTTTTATTATGACAGCACTTGCTGTGACTTGGCAGCAGTTGCGTGCGGACAGAGGAGTGTAGGAAGGAGTAAGACTTCTGTAAGTGAATTTTTCCCTGTGTTTCGACAGCTGAGAGTATACCAGCACTATATAGAACTGATTGAGCGCTGTGATGTACTTTCCCCATGTTTCTTTCGTTGGCACGCTTGTGCTTTGTGGCGTGGTGCTTGCTCACACTGTGTACGGTATGTGGGCATTAAGATTTGGCCGATAAGGAGATGTAGTTCCTGTTGGTGAAAGTTGAGCTTTCTGTTACGCAATACGGGAACTCTTTATGGTTATGTACTTCATGTTCAACTAGGCCTGTACAACCATGTCAAGTTGCCGTTCGCTTAAGTTGTAACTGTGAATCAGTAGCTTCAAATTTCATTCACACGAAAGCACGCTCTCCACAGTAAGGGTGTTATACTATAGCGCTGACTCTATACCACAACGGATACAGTAGTCGAGCATTGGCAGGAGCAGGCAGGCAAATACCGGTACTTCGTATGCTTGCTAGTCGTAACTGTTACTGTGATCAGCTTAACAGCGCGTCTTGCGTGCGTTGGTAAGTGTATGTGCCTTAGGCGAAGTTTGCTGGAGCATTCTACAGCTGGTTGAAGCTGTTTGTTCCCTTTAGCTAGTATGGATACCGCAAGCGAGGCACAAGACTCTTTACTAGAATCAACTTACGAGGCTAGCTTTCAGCAACTCGGCAAATCGGGTAGCTCAGAAGCTGATGCCGATGAGCCGCAAGCAAGGCGGAATGGCAGTCCTCATGATCTTTCGCGTCAGCTTGGGCCAGTGGCACCTTCAACAGAGGAGGCCTTGGAAGCTCCTGCTGCTTGCGTAGAAACCACAGTCATTGAGCCCTCAGCTGCTACTACCGCTGTTGCCGGAGCTGAGCTGAGTGGCCCTGCCGACTTCAGCAGCAGTGATATGGACACCGGTATTTTCCCACCATCATCATTTGAAGCGGCTGCTAATACTGATTCGGCTATGACAGACTCTGTGCCTACATCATGCCCAATCATTAAGCCTGTTGCGGAGGTGTTTCCGCCTTCGGACTGCGACAGAAACCCCATGTGCGACAGCTGTGATACAGCGGGCGGGGCACCGGATCTTGCCAGCAATTCCTGTCTACCCGCAACCAGAAGTCCGGCAGCAACAACTACGGCGGAGGGAGCAGGAGTGGACGGCCATGCCGTCGTAAACAAGCTTGAGCAAGGCAAGGATGATGGAGGGGCTCTAAAGGTTGAATGCCTTGAGCCCCAGGGCCAACTTGACATTCAGCCCAGCCAACAGCAGCATGCACATGCTGAGGAGATTATCGATTCGGCTGGACCCGCTCAGGAGCACGTGGGAGAGGAGACCTTGGAGGTTGACAGCCCAAAGGAGATCGAGGCCCTGCTGGAGAAGCCGGGAGCGCAGCTTGCGGAGCAGACGGAGCTACTGCAGCCTGAGGAGGACGAGGCGGCATTTGTAAGTGCCTCCGGATCCCAGGGTCAAGGCGAACAAGAAGAGCCTGCGCAATCCTCAGAAGCCGTTGCGGTCACCATCAGCGAGGGAGAAAGCGCGGCCGTTGTCAAGGACTGCATATTTGAGGCGCCGTCAGAGGTGCAGCAGCCTCAGCAGCCCAGCCTAGGTGAGGCAGTGGATACGGATGCGTCGTTCGAGGCCGTAGAGCTCGTGGCGAGCGGCAACAACGTAGCGCTTGTGCCAGACACCTCAACGGGCGCAGCTGCACCTGACATGAGCCCTGAGGAGCCCCTTGCCTCAAGCGCTGAGGCCCCAGTAGCCGGCCTTGCAGACGCTTGGGCTGATTGCCTCGAGCAGCCAGCCTTTGCGACTGGCAGCGGAGTAGACCTAGCCGCCGTGTCTGGTGCATGGTCCAACTGCGAGCAGCCCGTCAACGCCGACTCCTCGCCCCTTACCGCTATCGAGCTGTCCGTGGAGACCACGGCACCTGAGGCTGCCAACGCAGAGCAGCCTGCCTCCTCCGCTTCTGCCACGGAGGAGGAGCAGACGGCGGAAGTGCCAGCGGCTCTGGCTTCAGCTGACAGCAGTGCACACCTGCTGCTGGATGACTACCGCATCGCGGCGGCAGCTGGCCTGGTGAGCCCCGAGCTGGCGTCGCTGCTGGGCCTGGCGCCGCCCATGGCGGGGGCCGCGGAGCCCGCCGGCGGGTTCGAGGAGGTGTCGTTGGCGGGCCGTGACGGTGAAGGCTATGCGGGCCTCGCACAGGAGGACGAGGAAGAGGAGGAGGACGTCGAGGAGGATGCGGTGGAGGACGAGGATGCGGTGCAGCAGGGAGCGCAGACGGATGAGCCGCCTGCAGCGCTTGTGGAAGGGGCGCAGATGGAGGCTGTCAGGCAGGCGTCCGCGCAGGAGGCGCTTCTGAACGGAGATGCTGGAGTCGCGGCGATGGTTGACAGCTCAAGTGGTGCGGGTGCTGCAGCGGGGGCTGCGGCTCCAGCAACCCTTGCGGCTGCTGCGGTGGCGCCAGGTCATACAGCAGCGGTGGCGGGCGGCAGGACACCTCAGGTACCTCTGGTGGCAGCAAGCAGGCGCCCTGTGAGGGGGGACCCCTTCGATGCGGCGGATACGGACGAGGACGAGCCGGTCATGAGCACGCGACCGTACAACTTCGAGGAGCCAGACGATGAGCAGGGACACCAGCTGCAGCAGCAGGCGCCGGCGGCGGGTGCGGCGACAGCTAATGCACCCCCGCAGATGCTACCTGCTAACGCTGCGGCGCTAGCGGCTGGGAGCCAAACGGACGGGTGTGCCGCGGGCGTTGCAGCGGTTTCGGGTGTGGGTGTGGCGGCGGCGGCAGCGGGTGTAGCCGTCGGCGCCGCAGCGATGGCAGGCCGCGGAACAGCCACGGGTGCACATCCTGCTGGTCCGCCAGCTGCACCCCAGCCGGCGCCCCTGTCTCAGTGGGTCCCGGTAAGCTATGCATGGGTTGCTTCATGCGTGACGGTGCGGGCTACGCGCATTGCTTTGTTAGGTCACTGGGGACTCGGGTTTGTGATGCGGCCGCGCCTCTGTGATGCACTGATGCCCCCATTTCCTGCAGGTACGCGGAGGAAACCATACTGCGCCCAACGTCCTGGCAATGGGGCCGCCCCCGCATGCAAACTACATGCAAGCGCCCGTCCAAGGTTCGCTTCCGCAGCCGCAATGGGGCCCTCAGCCCCCATCCGGTCCGCTTCCCGGCGGGGCCCCAGCCTCCCCGGCCAGTCGTATGCTGCCCACCAGCATGCCTCCAAGCGGCTCCCCGGCCTCAGCACCTGGACCCGGACCCCGGCCGCAGTTCCCATTGCAGCAGCACCCGCAGCAGCCGCCACAAATGCCCCCTGGCGCTATGCCGTCGCAGCCGCCGCCGCCGGGCTCCACGCGGCTTATCGTTGGAGGCCCTAACTCGGGCCCTGCTCCCGCTGGTCACATGGGGCCTCCTCAGCATGGTCAAGGACCTCTGCAAGCCCGCGGTGCTCCGCAGCCCATGCAGCACCCGAATGGCCCAGTGCCTCCCGACATGCGGCCGCCGGGGCCTCCCCAAGCTATGATGCAGCCGGGACCTGGCGGCATGGCGCCACGCCCGGGCATGCCCCACCCGGGGGCCCCCAACGGAGCGGCGGGACCTGGGTACGCACCTGGACCTGTTCCCGGACCGTTCGGCGGCCCTGGGGTAAGGCCGCCTAACGTCGGGCCGAATGCGCCGATGGCCATGCGGGGACCTGGCGGGCAGCCCCTGCCATTCAGGTATGTGTGCGCCTCAGGCACGAATGTATGCAGCTAATGTTCGTAAGACCCCGCAGCTGGAGAAAAGTGGCAGGAGGTAGGCACCTGGATGCATTTCCCTTGAAGGAGTACGTGCAGGAGGATTGCGCACGGCTATCCCATTTGCCCCATGATGCCTCTTCAGCCCTCTGCTCCGCCCCTACCTCTGCTGCTGCAGGCCGCCGGGTCCCCCCGGCGCCCCGGGGTTCGGAGGACCCCGGCCGCCCATGCCGCCCGGCCCCCCTCCGCCTCCCAGCCCCTACCCTGGTCTGCTGTACTCGGAGGGTCGCGACACGCTGGGGCGGCCCGTGGTGGTGCTGAACACCGCCATGCTGCCCTCCAAGGCTAAGAAGGCGGACGTGCTGCAGTACGTGTTGCAACAGCTGCGGCCGCTGGTGGAGAGGGTGAGGGGGAGGGAGGGGCTGCCGCGTGCCGTAGGCCTCGCTGGTTTGCGTACCAGCTGCTTCTTTATGGTGGCCTGCTCATGTGCAACAACATCCCCCAGCTCCACTTTGCATGCGGCTGAGATGACCTGCTGCCATGGTAGCAGCGCCTGTTGTGTGTCGTGTCATGCTTTACGCTGCACTGCCGCCCGCGCCGCCGCCCCAGGAGTACGTGCTGGTGGTGCTGAGTCTGGCGCTGGGCGTGAAGGCGGGCTCCGTGTCCTCCGCCTGGGCACTGGGTGCGTACCGCTCGCTGGCCAAGCCATGTGAGTCGGGATGCTGGATTCAAAGAGGTCTAGGATGCGACTAGTGGGGTTCTGTGGAAACGGGTTGCTGCAAAGGCATGGCCTGCGTTCCGACGAGCAGAGACATGTTTTGCAGTGCTCTGCAGGGAGGGGCAACACACAAAGCACACAAAACGCCTGGGTTCTCTTGTGTCGCCGCCTTGGCCCGGGATCTCAACCGGTTTCTCCGCCCCCTGTGGTCTGGTCCTCTGCCCTTGCATGCAGACCGGAAGAACGTGAAGCACATTGTGCTGGTGCAACCCAGCGCCTGGGCTCGTGCGCTGTTGGCGCTGGCACAGCCCTTCGTGAGCAAGAAGGCAGCGCACAAGGTCAAGAAGGTGCGCGCATTGGGCGGCAGCCTTCTGCCGTTGGGAGGGTGCGCGGCTGCGTGGCTACCTGCACCGCTATGCTGTTGTGGAAAGCATGGGGCCGCTTAACGCCGCCCTAACATAGGTTACCCGTAACATGGATCCACCTTCCACCACTGTTCGCCTGCTGCCCCAGGTGGACAACCTGGTCCAGATCGCGGAGGCCACGGGCGGCGAGGTCAAGCTGGAGAGCCTGGGTTCGCGTTTCGTGCGGGAGATTCAGTACGGCCTGGGGGCGTCCCCGCTGGCGGGACTGGCCCCGCCGCCGCCCGGCCCGCCCGCCGCAGGCCCCCCGCAGCAGCGGCCGCCGTTTCCGGGCCCACCGGGCGGACATCCGGCTGGGGTGCGGCCGCCGCCCCCGCACCTGATGATGGGGCCCGGGGGCCTGGTGGTGCCTCACCCCGGTCTGCACCCGCATGGGGGGCACCCCATGGCGCCGCACCAGCACGCCGGCCCACGACCGCCCCCGGGCAGCGGCGCCTCAACCCCCGTGTACGGCCCCGGAGGTCCGGGGCGCGTGTCAGGACCGCCGCCGCCTCAGCCGCAGTTCGCAGCGCCTCCGAACGGCCCCATGCCCGCATTCGGTCCGGGCGGCGGGCAAGGTGCGCCCATGCAGGGCGGCTTCCCGCAGCAGGCTGGGCCCTACATGGCACCGCCTGGCATGCCCCGCCAAGGCGATGCAATGCGGATGCCTCAGTAGAGCGAGGTGGCGAGGGCAGAGAATCCAGAGATAGTGGAATGAACGCAGCTTGGAGTAAGATTGCAGGCCTGGTTAAACCAGACATCCGTTAACGTGCTTAGTGGCCACATGCCAACATGAGCGTGGTAGGCATGGCTTTCATGGCAAAGTAGTACGTGCTTAGGTGAGCGCGCGTGTGTGCAGCAATTCATGCAGTGAGCGGCATTGGCTTTGCGATAACGTTTAAAGTGTTTTTCACATTTCTAAGTGATCATTAGGATGTGTGGCGTAGGGTGTGTGACGTGTGCCGCGCAGGTGCCATGGAACGTGAGTGGTGGTGGTAGTGGCGGTAGTGGTGGTGTGTTTTGGGGCCTTAACCCTTGCCTAGTTACAGTAGCTTATTCCCGACAAGCCATTCTTACCTAGTACGTGGTCTTTAGACAGCTGTAGGCGTGATTCATCAAGCGGTATAGCCGGGCAAAGCGGCAAAACGATACCTTCATTCTTATTGTAGTGGCGCGTCTTAACAACAACTCCCCTCCTGCCGTACGTCTCATCAACACGTCGTACATCCCATTCGTGTTACGTCAGGGCACACATGTTTCCTCTGGCATAGCACCTATGCCGGCAAACACCTACACGTCGCGGCGGAAACAATGCGCGACCCTGCAACTTCCGTCCTAGGGCATAGAGAAGGCCAGTGTCATCATAGCATGACGGTGGAGGCGAACGCCGCCCATGCTCTCTTGCCGGCAGAGCTGCTGGCTGGCAATAGCGCCATGCATGGATGCGGCGGTACCAATACCGGTAATGCAACACAACTGCAGTCCTACGTCTGCCAAAAGTAGCTCATCGTTTGTCAACGAGTTCGAGTGCATAACAAACATACCGTAACAAACAGTGCAGTGGCTAGGTACTAAAGACGATAGCCCAAGTGCATTCCTCGCACACCAGCTGTACATCTACGCTACAAGGGGTTGGGTTCCATGGTACAATCCGAGAGGTACATGAAGGTACAACGCGTTACAACGACCGTGACAGCAGCAACGCTTTCCGCTTCGTCATCCAAGCTTGCGCACCACAGCAACTCCTCCTACTGCTTTCCGTTCCCTTCCCAGCACAACTCCCCAACAAGCAGCCAGTCCGCCACCGCCCCCTCAGCTGCCCTGACCCCCGCCCTCCTTCCATCCTGCCTCCGCCGCTCCCCCCTCACCCTCCTGCTACCCCGCTAGGAAGCGCAGTACCTCCTCGTACAGCGCCTCCCTGGCGTCGCTGCCCCAGATGAAGTCCAGGTGCTCGTACGACGGGATGTTGCGGGCGAGCCGCACCACCCCGGGGCCCAGCGACTCCAGCAGGTACTCCAGGTCGATGGGGGTGGACAGCCGGTCCTGACTGCCTGCAGCGCCGCGACATGGCAGCAGGTGGGCAGACAGAGGCGGGCAGTGCAAGGATGCTGGGTAAGAGACGCATGGGAGGGTGAACGCCTGCAACTGGTCGGTGAGGAGCGCAGCTACTGTCCTGCGGAGCAAGTACCATGCATGCTCGCGCTTTCGCGCCATGCATGCTGCTTTCGCAGCTCCTGCCCCGCCCCCAGACGTGTCATCACCACCTCTCCCCACGGAAACCCGCCTCACCCTATATGGTTAAATCGGTCTCCGACCCCACCCGACCAGGGATTGTCAGCAACTTATATCATTATCACACCACACTTTGGAATTTCTTACCCCACCCGCCCCACCTGAGAACAGCGCCAGCGGGGTGCTGATGGCGGTCAGGTTGTAACGCGGCGGCAGCGGGCTGCCGTAGATCAGCTGGTTGCAGCGGCCGCTGCCCCCGCGGGCGGAGCAGTCGGAGCCGTAGTCGAAGAAGCTCATGGAGTTGGGCACTCGCGACCGCACGGCCTGCCAGGGTAGCGGCGCACAGAGTCGCAAACGGTGCAGTGCGGAAGAAATGCATAACGCACAAAGTTGCCCGCAATCTTCAGTTTCGAACGCCAGGCATGCCTGGGTGCTCATTTGCCCCACGCCACTTCCATGCTTATCCGCTGGGTATCTACCACCACATCTCCATGCGCCAAGTCCCTCCCTACTTGCCACCCGCTCCCTCCGGTCCCATCCCACAAAACCCGCTCTCTTTCTTCTCCCCCTCCCCGCTCCCCGCTCCCCCCGTCCCTCCACCTGCGCCCAGTGCGCCATGTTCTGCACGCTGGTCCCCGCGGGTGTGTACGACAGGTAGAGCGGCAGGCGGCGGGTGTCCAGGTTGTCCGGGTTGTAGCCGCACAGCGCCGCCAGGAAGCTGACGCAGAGGTGCGGCTGCGCGGCGCACAGGCGGCCCTCCAGCGCCGCCACCAGCTGCTGGCTGGGCAGGAACTCGTGCAGCCCCAGCAGGCTGAACATCTGGGGGGAGGGACGGGTCGGGAGGAGGTGGGTGGTGAGAAGGGGGAAGCCTGCTGAACATCTGGGGGCGGGAGGAGGTGGGAGGAGGTGGGTGGGGCGGGAGGAGGTGGGTGGGGCGGGAGGAGGTGGGTGATTAGAAGGGGGGAGCCGGAATACTCGGCATGCGGCGCCTGTGGTGGTGGGGTTGTGCCGGGGGCGACGTAGGGAGTAACTCCTGGGAAGCATGGTGGTGGGGACCGCCCGTTGGGTAGCGCTGCTCTCGGTTTCCTGGGCTTGTTTCCTGGTGAGCATGGAGCATGCAACCAGCACCTCGCCTATCACGTCTAGGTGCGCCAGGCGCCGTTCAGCCCCTTCAACCACGGCACCCAGGCACCCATACCGCACCCCCATACCCCTCCACCAGCCCACTTACACCATCCGTACCCATGGCCGCCAGCGCCAGCAGCGGCACGCTGGCGATGTGTTTCGCCACCGCCACGGGCGCCAGCAGCGCCGCGCGCTCCACATCCCCCGCCCGCAGCGCCGCCGCCCCCGCCGGCCGCCCCGGCGCCCCCGCCCCGCCCGCCCCCGCCAGCGCCGCCAGCAGCACCGTGGTGCCCTGGCTGTGACCCACGTAGCGCAGGGAGCGGGCGCCAGTCGTCGACAGCACGTATCGTACCATGGCTGGGAGGTCGTACGCGGCCATTTCGTCGTACGACCAGAGCCAGAAGCGCGCGTCGGTGGCGGGGAGGGTGGCGTGTGTACGGCTGAGGGAGTTGCCGCGCATGTTGCCCAACCACACATCGTAGCCTGGGTGCGGGGCGGATGGAGGGGAGAGGAGCGGGGAGGGGGGAGGGATGAGCGTTGGCAAAGGCTGGCCAATAAACAGAGCGCGAATGCGGGCGTTGAGGTAGTGGTGAGGGCTCGCTGCGGCGCCGCCCGATAGACCGCGCAGAGAAGCCCGGGAGGGGTTGACCCGACGCAAGGCCGGGTGTGGGGAGGTGTCTTGCCAGGGCCAGCAACCCCTATTGCCTAGCCGGGTGGCGCTCAGATGCCGATGATCGGATCCGTACCTGCGTCTGACAGCAGGAATGCCAAGCTCCTCCCAGGGCCGTTGACTAGGAATCCTGCTGCTGAGTCCAGTAGACCGTGCTGAAGCAGAACCACGGGCGGGTCCGTATCATAGCAAATACTGTCAGCTCTGCTAAGCCGTCTGCTTGTGACGCGGGATTGCTCTGACGCGGACGCATTCCCGCTGACGCAGGCCGGAATCCGCAGCAAAGTCAGGATAAATCCATCATCTGTTTGCACGCGATGAACTTGTAGCGGATATCCATAGGGAAGCACCAGCTCTGCGGTGAAAAGCAGGCCTTAGGTGCGAAGCCCTAGCGAGCCTAGTAATTCCCAGCGCGACGCTCACTTGCAATTTTCCCCAAAGGATCCTCATCTAACACATTCGCATGTATATTGTGCGAGGGCAGCTCTCGGGCTGTGGCTGTCAGTAAAGTCACCAAGCCCAAAATAATGATCCAATGCATAGAGCTGGAGGCTAACGATCATGCATACAAATGTTTAAGTGCGAGAGTGCGACAAAAGAGGGTGCTATGAAACGGATGCTCGTTCACCAACCGACATCGGCTAACCCACAATCAGTCATCGTCAACAATGGTCTGCGCGCTACTGTTTACGAAGCTCTATTTACAATCCTAAGGGTTTTTCAAGCCTGGCGGTCGCCAAGTGTCACCGCTACCTCAACGTCCTCTGTCAGTTTCACCAAGCACCACGTCCTCTTTCCCAGGCCGTCCCATTACCGCCAGTGATATGTTACCATGATTATGGTCTAGTAGACGTCGCTGACACAGTCCCGAATTGCGATCCTCTTTGCTAGCCATACATTTTAGGCTTGCCCAGGGGAGTTCTAGCGGGTTTAGTCGGCAACGGGCGCGATAGCTTGGATGAGGTGCTCGCTACAAAATAACGGCCCAGCGCGAACAGCGCATTCACGCACCGGACGAGCGCTCCGCTCGGCGCTGCGCATACAGGCAAGTTCCGGACGGCAATGCATGACAGTGATGGGGAACCATTTAGGCACAGACTGCGAACTTACCTGGAGGCGTTGAGAAGCTCCGCGGCAGCCGCGCTGCGACGCGTTTGCTTCCCCAGCCCTGTCTGTAACACCCATGCCGGCCGAAGGCCCTGTCTAGGGTGCCACATGCGGACCGAAAGCCAACCTCACCACCAGCAACCACCCCCTGTCCACCCTCACCTTCCCGCAGTGCTCCAAGCCCGGACCAGCACCCGGCCCTGGCCCCGGCCCCGGCCCTGGCGGTGATGGTAGCCCAGGCAAGCCGCCCGGGAAGCGCGGCATGCGGCCTCTGGGCGGCTCGAGCAGCCGGAAGGCCAAGCAGCCGGGCACGTACGAGGTGCGGGTTGTGACACCGCCGCCGCGGTCGCTAGGGATCTACGCGCTGCCGCCCAACACGCAGTGCGGCGAGGAGATCGATGTGGAGGGCGCTAGCTACGTGGTTACAACTGTCGTACTGCAGTACAAGTTACGTGGCGGGAAGTACGTGCGGGATCACAACCGCCTGGATGTTCAGCCCACGGGTCGTTGGCTTGTGAACCAGATGTTGGAGGGGTTGATTAAAGCGCGGTACATGGGCCCCACAGGCAAACAGGACTAGGAGGGCTGGAGGGAGGGCGCGTGTGCCGGGGCGTATGTGGAGTGGAGGGAGCACTGACTTGCACGGGCTGTGGATGGGAGTGACGAGCGACGAGAGAAATGGGAGTGACGAGCGACAGAGGAACGGGTAAGCAGGCCTGGGAGTGTCGTATGCGATGTAGGACTGGTGAGCTGGCTGGGAGCGTTGGATGGTGGGTTGACCACTTGAGCGCAATTCATTATGCATTTTATGATATCCAGCCCTCATGGTGAAGTATGGTCACACTCTGTGAGCGCATGCAGTCGCTAGGTTGGGTACGGTATCCGATGAGGAGAGGTGCGGTGAGATGTGCACATGTGCGGTGGTGTGTTAATGGATTCCCCTCGCTGTATCATAACATCGGTTGTCGGTCCATCTAGGGCGTTGCGCAGCTGTTGCATCTTGCATGCGGCCTCTGGTCCCTCGGGGGGCGGAGAGGACGGGCTGGATGCCTGGGGACCAATAACCCGCGTAAGAACAACCCCAAGATACCGCTAAGAGCGGAGTAAGAAAGCTTCCAGCATGCAAGCCTGGAGCTCTCAGCGTCCGTATGCGTATGCTCAGGCACGATGCATGAGGGCGTGACTCAGCGGCAGCCACCCAGCGGCTGGTGATTGCGCTGGGGTTATGTTGCGCAACCCTTTCCTTTACGCTAAACGTTCGCCCTGGGTTGGCATTCCAAACTAAGATCTTACGGGTTTTACGATATGGTTCCCTTGTATACACGCGCTTCAAGCCCATTACTTCATGCATCTGATTTGCGCGCCTGATTCCCGCACAGCTAGCAACACTGCGGGCAGGGGAGAGCGTGGTCAGGGTTGCCACTACTCGGCGGCGTTCGGGACCCTGACTGGGGTACTTGCGGTCGTGTTGCTACAAAATGCCCTAACGGGGGCGTACTTCCTGCACCCCCCTGCGTGGAAGGAAAGGCGTCAGCTGCGGAAAAAGGAAACATGAGACCCATGGGGCGGTCGTATCTCGTGAGCGCAGGGACACCCAGGCCCCGGTGTGCGGCCCATGCGGACGTATGTGGACCCCACACGGGCCCATGCGAGCCCACCCAAGGCACCCATGGGCATTGGTTCAAATGGTGGGGGTCCCGATGGTCCTCGCCATTCAATAAAGCAACCCGTTTATCAAAGGTCAGGTCCAAGGTATCACCTCCCATGCGAACCGGGTACTGATGTAGGCAGTAGGCAAGGCAGCAAGAGGATTGGTACACAGGAAGCAGTCCGGTTTTGCAGCTACAGGCACGAGGGGGTGCGGCGGGTCAGCGGCTGCCTTGTTACTCGGTAGGCCTGGGAACTCTTCCAAAGCAAACCCCAGAGTAGCGTGCGAAGAAGGAGCCAGTGTGCCGCCATGTGGTTTCAGAGCACGCGTCGGCTGCTGTGAAAGACACATGAAGGACTCGCATTTGTAGGGGTAACGCCTTTTTGGCCAGTGCGGGGCTTCCCGACAAGCGGCGGGAGGGACGCAGTAGGCGGTACAGGGCAGCGAGTGAGGCCGGAAGTGCGAAGCTAAAACTTTATACGGGCTTCCGCGCTCTGCAAGTGAATGCGTTTTACGTTTAAGTGTTCACTAGCGTCACCTCGCAAAGCTGTTCGAAAACTGCAAGGCATGGCACAAAAACGACTTCCGCGTAACACAAGCGTAAACTGAGCGCAATTGACTTTGAATTGTAAGCTCGTATATGTAAGTTATCACAAGTGCGGTTGCCAGGTATAGGACGTGAGGCAGACCTAAGGCGGGCGGGGCCAACTTCTCTCTAGGGCGATAGCCGAAACATACGAAAAGTAGTAAGCACAGCACACATGCAAGGTTTGAGATGCCATTGTTTGCGTGAATGACATGTACTAGAGGGAGAGGTGGGCTGAAGGGGTCGAGCCACACCTCGGTCAGTCGCGAATACGACGGAAGGAAGTGGGAGAGAACACTAGGACAGGTTTCTCGCACATTGGCTAACTGCGATGGATATGCATCAGCCTATTCCTTGCAATCATCCGAGGACTTTTCAACCTGTCATGTCATGCCTATCAATACCAGCGCCCGTATGCACACTGTGAGACCCACTCAACAAACATTATTGATTTGCACGGCATATTGGGTGCCAAAACGCTACTTGACGCTGTGCGCGGGAGTTAGGCTCCGGCAAAGAAGTAGCGACCGCCCACCTGTACGGCTCCGTCACGTCGCCCCGCAAATAAGCCAGCCGGGTCGCATCCACCTGTCACGCCACTAAGTAAAGGTCTAGCTACATTGTCTAACTATTCGATATAGTCTACACACTCCAGCTTGCTAACTGGTCGAGGTCATTATCACTACGTGTAAGCTCTTTCCTTAAGCAAAGTTTAAATATTTAGCCACAACCTCAATCAAGCCGAGCAGCATCCTCGTGCGGCAGGGCTTGGCGTTCCTTGCAAGGTATGAGAGGGGGTCGGACAACATCGGTGCGGTTGTGGGTCCGCAATAGCAATCTGGTTAAACCCATCCCCTACATTGGCTTGTTACGCGCAATAGTTTCATCAAAACATGATCGCTTGCTGGGTTTTGGTACCTGAGCCAAGGCCGTTAGGGGCATTTGATTGAGCGTTGCCGGATACATGGGTCACCTGGTTCAGCCTTGTTTGCACTGATTGCCGAGAGCGTTAGATAACTTAGAGCATTTCTTATGCACGGTTTTGTCACTTTGGGGGGTTGGCTCTTATGGACCTACGCGCCTTGCAGCTGGCGAGTCGTCGTAACTTTTCCAAAGAGCCGGGCTAAGCCCAACTTGATAAAGGTTACAACACATTGTTTCTTACATTCCTGTAATTTGTCGAAGGTGTTCGTCGCAGGTCCGTTGGTTTCGCCTGCTACGGGACGGGCCGTTTACAAGTAACTCCTCTCGAACCGTTCCCCCCAACTCCTTGCACGCAGGTTGAGTCCATCATTATCGGCTTATTAGTTACTAGTTTCGCCGGTCAAGTCCCTTTTCGGACGTCGTGTCGGCAACAAGACGGGCAACTCTACGGCGCCGAGGGACTTGGCACCCTTAGGCGTACAGCTCTTCTTCCCCCGTTTTCAGCATGGAGTACTACACCGCCGGCAAAGGGGACATTGCTTATGCTGGTGAGAACGGGGGAGTGACTTCGTGCATTCCTGAGCTGGGTGTTGTTGCTGAAGTGGGTTGCAGCTTTGAGTAACTGCGCAACTACCTTAGCGGTTACACCTGGCTACATCCCCTTTTCCGTGTCTCGCAGTGGACAACCATGAAAGGCAGGACAAGCAGCAAGGCTTCCTGAAGGGCCTGCTGGGCAGCAAGGATGAAGGTAGGAAGACGTGACGTCCGCTGCGGCGGTTGTAGCACTTGCCCATAACTGCGATTTGACTTGAGCAAGGCTTTGCTTACACAATGTAACCGTCTCAACCTTGTAGTAACTGCCATTCGCATACCTAGGTACATGTTTAACATATGATGCGACTAACTTGCTTTCTGTTACAGCAGTAGCTTGTCTTGTTCCTATCCTCATCCTCCAACCCAATCCTTTAATCCAAAGCTAACCTCTCCCCTTCCAACGCCTTTGCCATGCAGGCAAGCGTGCCGCCGCCAAGACTCCCTCCCCGCCCACTGCTTCCGTCCCCAAGAAGTTCATGGACATGATCAGTCCTCTGCTCCTGGGATCCTCCAACAGCAGCAGCGCTGCCAGCAGCCCCATTGCCCAGCAGCGCCCCAAGTCCCCGGCTCCCCCCGCAGCCAACACGGCCTTCTCCAAGGCCGCCGCAGCCATCCACAACGCAGCACCTCAGGGCTGCGGCGGTGACGGCTCGGACCAGCAGAACATGGCCCGCGCCGTGAGCTACAACAGCGGCCTCACCGAGTACGTCAACAAGATGAAGATCTCGGAGGCTGGCGCTCCCGGCGCCCCGGACGCTGCCGCTCCTGCCGGCACCGCTGCCGGCAAGCGCAGCAAGCTCTCCAACGAGAGCACCCTCTCCAACAGCTCCTCCCTGTCCGCCATGTCAATCCAGTCGAGCCGCTCCGCAGGCGCCCCAGTCGCCCCCATGCCGCACCTCACCACCACGCAGCCCGGCCTCGTCCACGTCAACCCGCCGCCGCACGTCCACGCCCACCACGTTTCCCACGCGCACAGCCACCATGCGGGCCAGCCGCAGCAGCCGCAGCCCACCAACTCTGCCGGCAACTCCCACGCCTACGCCTCCAACCTGGATCGCCTCCTGGAGGCTGCGCGCTACTGCCAGCTGCCGCAATCCGGCCGGCCGCTGCAGCCCATGCCCGCCGACCCTCTCGCCAACCCCCACCACGGCCCCACCATCCCTCTGGTGGTCTCGCCCAACCTGCCTCCGCGCATGCAGCGGGCCCAGTGGCGCCTCACGGACTACCAGCTGGGTGACAAGCTCTACACGGGCTACGCCAGCACGGTGTACAAGGCGGTGTGCCGCGCCTCGGGCGAGGTGGTGGTGCTGAAGATCTACCACCTCATGTCGGTGTGCGACCTGTACAAGTACCAGATCTACCGCGAGGTCCGCGTGCACTCGAGCCTGTGCCACGAGAACATCGTGCACCTGTACGCGGCATTCCAGGTGGGTGGTGGGGGGCTGCTGGGGGCCTTGGGGGGGGAAGCAGGGGTTGCTGTTACCGGGGACTCATGCATGCGTGGTGTTTCAACGGGCGGTCATCAAGTCAGCTTTGGTTTCTTGCATTCCTGGCGCGCATTGCCTTTCTACCCAATGCCATCACCTCCTTACCTCCCCGCTCCTTCCTTCCCTCCCTCCTCAATCCCGCAGGAGGGCGACAAGGTCATCCTGGTGCAGGAGTATGCTGACGGCTCGGACCTCTTCACGCTGCTGCACAAGTACGGCGGCCGCCTGAGCGAGCGCCTTGCCGTACAGCTAGTCCTGGAGCCCTTCCTGCGGGTGCTGCAGTACCTGCACAGCCGCGCCATCATCCACCGCGACATCAAGCCGGAGAACATCCTCTTCAACAAGGCCATGTGTCTCAAGCTGGGTGACTTTGGTCTGGCCATTGACCTGCGGGAGGAGCGCGCCGTCACCCGTGCCGGGGTGAGTGCACTCCGGGTCTTAGTCTTAGGCTGGGTTGTGTCCAAGCCAATCCGCGCTCGCTCTTGCCCATTTAGCAGCTCGCATTTCTTGGGGCTGATGTTTGTCTGCCTGCATGCTGCTTGCAAGCTGTCAGCAAGCTACAGTCATCACTGTAAGGTATACGGAACAGGTATTCACTTCATTCCCTCGCAACCCCCTTTCCAACCCTCTCAGACGCTCGACTACATGGCGCCGGAGGTGCTCCGCTGCCCCTTCAAGTCCCGCCCCGAGGAGAACAAGGACAACGAGCGCCTGCACTACTCGGCTCGCGTGGACGCCTGGGCGGTCGGCGTGCTGACGTACGAGCTGCTGGTGGGCTTCCCGCCCTTCTTCGACCAGTCGCGCACCTCGACAGAGGACCGTATCGTGCACTCCATGCCGGCATTCCCCGCGGGCATGTCGGAGGAGGCCAAGGCCTTTGTCTCGGTGGCGCTCTCGAAGCACGCGGCTGAGCGGCCAACCATCCTGGAAATGCTGCACCACCCCTGGATTGCCCGCTTCTCCTCACGGCGAAGCATGCGCGCAATTCCCGGCGTCGCATCGCCCCTGACGTCGCCCTCTGCGACGACGCCCCGTCGCCCCGCGCCCGTCGCCGCAGCTGTGCAGCAGTCGTCGCTCCAAAGCCCCAGCAGCGGTCCAGTGACGCCGCTGCGGCCCCCGGCTCCCGTCCCCGCCACCCCCGCCAACGCCTACCCGACCCTTGGGTCACTCCTCAGCAACAATGTGCCCACGGTGGACGTGAGCAAGCTGCAGCAGCACCACCACCACCTTCACGGGTCTCCGCAGTCTACGCTCATCATGAAGTCGAGCAGCGAGAGCTCTGAAACGCTCAACTCGCGCTTCTCCCACAGCAGCAGCAACGCTTCCATGCAGATGTAAGGTGGCGCCAAATTTTGACTTGGAAGAGTCTTGAGGCGGCCGTGGAGAGCGTGTGGAGCTAGCGGCACTCGTGCGAGCGTAGACGGCGGGATAAAGGGCTGATGTGACAGCACAGCAAGAGCAGCTGAGGAAAGCTGCGGGCGATGTGTGTCCTGGCCTTATGGGGTCTTGGGGTGTGCCCTCGATCCCTTAATCGAAAGCTTTTATGATGTTTAGTAGATGTAAGACGGGCGTGCAGTAGTGGTTATCAAGAAATGGTCTGAAGCGGTGTATACATTACCAGAATCGACCGTACAGGCAGGTGAGGGACATTCCCTGAGACACATGCGTGTTGAAGGGTCGAGACGCGACTGAGTCAAGTGTGCCTGTGTGTTCGAGGTAGCGTGTTGTGGCTGGTGCGAAGTTGGGGCCTTGATACCCTTGGGTAGCAGGCGGCCTCCCGTACGAATGCGCCAGCCGTAAGTGCCCTTAATGTTCGTGAGGACCTGTGGGACGGCGATTTCATGACTTGACGGACCATTATTTGGAGGCTTTTGCTTCCATATTGATTTGTTCGGCATGGGTGGTAAGCTGGTGACCCACGCCCGGGATGAGCATGGCGGCATGGTGCTCCGGTACGGGTTTGGAAACCTTAGACGAGGTTGGGCCGCAGTTGCGCTGCTCATGGGACAACCTGTGCACCCTGCTGAACCGTTGCAGGTGCACCCCTGGCACAGCGCTGCAGGGCTTTATAGATGTTTCGCATACATGCTGCATGTATGACTGCTTTCATGCTGTACGCGTGTGGCGAGGCAATAACAATGACGTGCGGACTGTTTCCCAATAATGGCTGTTAGGTGTGTTTTAAACTTCCTAGTAAACCTTTAGATGTGAAGGCGTTGTACCCTCTTTTAGTAATGCATAACTCTTCTTATCTTGCCATGGTGGCGTCTTCTTTAAATCTTGTCTTAACGCTGCCCCCCACGGGGCACAGGCCGGTATTGTGTACGATCCTTTCATTCCTTATTTGCAACATGTAATTGGACGAGGATTGCGCTTCTCCTCATCTCTACAAACACAGCATGATCAAGGCACGGCACTGGGCAACACCTTCCAACTTTTCTCTCATATATGCTTAGGCTTGTGTTTTGCGGCACTGAAACCCGAGGTACCTGCATACAGACCGTTCCTTGCACGGAACCGAAAACCCTGCGGCTATGAACCTAGGGGCTTCTCGTTGAGACTGAGGCGTGCAAACATAAAGGCACACATATGCTATTGATCACCCTCCTCCCGCACCAACAAGCAGGAGGGAGGGGGGCCATAACACAGTCGCCAAACCAGACAGCTTGTCTATGGCCATGGAGCCGGTATGTTTGAAATTGCTTAGGAATGCTGGCCATGGAACCGGTAAGTCCACCAGGAATCTCTGGGCAGTGTAAAGAGCTTACTGGCGGGAATTGCTGCGCAAGGAAAGGTACAATTTAAGGCTAATAGCAAAACCGAAACCCCAAGGGGCTCCATCTCCAACACACTTACGGTATATAGCCTTCACTGCTTCAATTGTCAAGGTCGGAGTCAAAAAATGGAATAGTCCTCAGACCAGATAGCATCATGGCACGCATGCTGATGAAGTTACGAGCCAAAGCAGTAACGTTCATGATTGCAGATAGAACGTGTAGGGTATTGCATAGTTCTGTTGAAGCGGGATCCAGGCAAAAAGGATTGTACGAGAGGCCGTACTCGAGGGGAAATGCCAGAAAATCACTGGAATCACCAGTATCGGTCCTTTTCCAGCGATTACATACGGGTGTTCATACCCGTCTTGTTTTCGTAACCAAGTCCTTTCTTTGTGCTAGAGGTGAGGCATAACAGCGGCGGCTCCTTGGCGGCTTTGCAGTGGCAGGAAGACAAGGCTTTGCTCGTCGCCATTTTGCTTGCTGTTTTCCTCATGAGTTGCCTTCTTCGAAGCCTCGCTTCACTTCGGGAGCCGCCACCTCGGCCGCTGCATTGGAGCCACTCCTGAACGCGCCCCCTTTTCGTTTCTATTGTTCCTCCCCTGCAGCACTTGGCAAAGATGTCTGAGGGCAAGACCCATCTGTCCATTGTCATGTGAGTTTCTGCGGCTGGATGCCTAATCTTAGCGCTTAGCCACTGTTCGCCGCGCAGACTTTTCTTCATTTTAGCTAATAATTTTAGTATGCATGACATTATTGCGCCAGCTAATCACCTGAATCTTTTGGTAGGCACCGTTGGCCGTCCTTCCTGTCATTTATCCTTTCCATTATCCCTTCTCTTATCCCTTCCTCAGTTGCGGCCATGTCGACTCCGGCAAGTCGACCACCACCGGCCGCCTGCTGTTCGAGCTCGGCGGTATCCCCGAGCGTGAGCTGGAGAAGCTGAAGGAGGAGGCCGCTGCCCTGGGCAAGTCCTCGTTCGCCTTCGCCTTCTACATGGACCGCGCTAAGGAGGAGCGCGAGCGTGGTGTGACCATTGCCTGCACCACCAAGGAGTTCTTCACCGAGAACTGGCACTACACCATCATCGATGCCCCCGGTGAGTCGTTGATCAGGAGCTACCTGCAACGAAATCGTGTGTTTTGCAAGCAGCTCACGTTCTCTCCTAAAACCCGCAGGTCACCGCGACTTCATCAAGAACATGATTTCCGGTGCCGCCCAGGCCGATGTGTGCCTGCTGATGGTGCCCGCCGATGGTAACTTCACCACCGCCATCCAGAAGGGTGACCACAAGGTGAATAGGATCGTTACCTTCTGTTGCTCAGGGATGACCTGTTGCAGTGTACCCCCTCATCCATATTCCGTACTCGACGCGTCCTTACGCTTTAACCTTTGCCCCTTCCCTTTCCAACAGGCCGGTGAGATCCAGGGCCAGACCCGCCAGCACGCTCGCCTGATCAACCTGCTGGGTGTCCGCCAGCTGATTGTTGGCGTGAACAAGATGGACTCCGACACCGCTGGCTACAAGAAGGAGCGCTACGATGAGATTGCCAACGAGATGCGCCACATGCTTGTGCGCGTCGGCTGGAAGGATGACTTCGTCAACAAGTCCGTGCCCATCCTGCCCATCTCCGGCTGGCTCGGCGACAACCTGATCGCCAAGGCAAGTGTTTTGGCCCGGATTTTGTTGTAAGTGCGCTTTGTATTGCGTTGCTGCTGTCCTTACGATTTTGGTAATGGCTGTGTTTACCCCATTGGATACAGCTAATGACCTCGCTTCCCCCTGGCCGTCCCCTTCCTCCCTGCAGTCGACCAACATGCCCTGGTACACCGGCCAGGAGGTGCTGAACCTGAAGAACGAGAAGGTGAAGGTGCACACCCTGCTGGACGCCCTGAACTCCTTCGTCACCGTCCCCGAGCGCAAGACCGATGCCCCCCTGCGCCTGCCCATCTCCGGCGCCTACAAGATTAAGGGTGTCGGTGATGTGCTGGCCGGCCGTGTCGAGCAGGGTGTTGTCAAGCCCGGTGATGAGGTGATCTTCCTGCCCACCCACACCACCGCCAACCCCTGCACCGGCAAGGTGTTCACCGTGGAGATGCACCACAAGCGTGTGGACAAGGCCGGCCCCGGCGACAACGTCGGCATGAACATCAAGGTGGGCTTCTAATTCATGAGAAGTCGGCGCCGTTTTTGCATGTCCCGCCTGGATATTGCAAACCGTTTTGTGCACAACAGCCTTGTCACGCTTTTTGACCCTATGTCACTACATAAACCGGTTTCCTGTGGACCCTATTCTGTCGTACAGGGTCTGGACAAGGGCAACATGCCCCGCACCGGCGATGTGATGATCCTGAAGTCCGACGCTTCCCTGAAGATCGTCAAGGACTTCACCGCCCAGATCCAGACCCTGGATATCCCCGGCGAGGTCAAGAAGGGCTACTCCCCCATCGGCTTCGTGCGCTGCGGCCGCTCCGCCTGCCGCATCTCCAACATCGACTGGAAGGTCGGCAAGGAGACTGGCGGCAAGAAGATGGAGGCCCCCGTTGGCCTGAAGGCTAACGAGATGGCCCAGGTCGTCTTCGAGCCCACCCAGCCCCTGATTGTGGACTCGTTCAAGAACTGCGAGGGTCTGTCCCGCATTGCCTTCCTGGACGGCAACACCGCCGTCATGCTCGGCAAGGTGGTGACCGTGACCCACAAGTAGGCCGCCTATGCCGCGGCCCTCGCTGGGCATGTAGTCGCAGCAGCATCGTTGCGTACAAACGTGTACGGCTTGGGCAGGGCTGAGGCGTTGCCGCATGGTCAGATCCTGTCGTGCTCTGATCCAGTCGATGGGCGAAGATCGCGCTGTCGTTGGCAATGCTTTGCTTCTGGTGGTCAAGGGAGAAGGGTAGGAAGAGGTTCTGTTGCTTCGCTTTCATTCTCAGCAGTGACCGTCCGCAAGCCCTGGGTGATGCGGCGGGGTGTTGTAGCTGGCGCTTGGCAAATTGATCCAGGGGAACACAGTGGTTTGGCGTGACCGCTTGCGTGTACCTTTGACTCTTCCTATTCACCTGTAAACACCATTACGCTGAACTATGGTCATGCAATCGCGACTGCTATTAGTTGCTAAACATGAATGTGCGGAACAAGCTCACCGTCTCAGGAACAGTTACAGCTTAGTAACATTTGGAAAATCCGAAATCTGCTGACAGTACATGCCGTTAGCAAAAGCACAGCAATTATGCAAGTATATCCACCCAGCATCGGCATTTTTACATAGGATTTGGCAACGTAGCTGGTTTCTACGGTGTCGGTACAGCGTACGTCACCCAGTGTTTGACCTGCCTTCGTGACTTGCACTCCTATGCCACCACCACCACTACTGGAGAAGAAACTGACAGGATCGGCATTCGTCAGCATTAATGTTACAGAACCGCACAACAGGCACCCAAGCCTTCATGGCTGACCGCTGGTGGTTGCCTTCTACACGCGCACCGCCTCGAGCAGGCGGGAGAAGTAGAAGCTCGTAGCCGTCATTTCCCGCTTAACGACCTTGAAACCTGCGCGCTGAAGCGCGGCCTCCACATCCTCCTCACGGTGTAGGTACGCCCGTGTTGCCTAAGAAGAGAGGCACAAGAGGACTTCAATTAGCGTCAACACGGTTGCCAAGTTACATGCAGACAAACCACGGTAGAGACTGCAGCCTTTCATGCACGTAAGAAAACATGTACCACTCTTGACGCCGTACAGACATCTTGGGATCCGTACCTTGCTTGGCCCTGGGAACAGCTCTCCAATGCGCTTCAGTATGCTGTAGGACAGCGTCTTGGGTGCGAAGGAGATGATGAGGCGCTTATCTGCCAGTGACGCCAGGTGGGTGATCATGGCGTCCACCTTGTCCTGCGGGTAGTGGATCATGACGTCCAGGCAGCACACCGTGTTGTACTTGCCTTGGATGGACCTGCGACGCGGGATGCAAAGACGGCGTTAAAGGAGGTAAAGGGCTTCTTCGACTGTCGTTTGCAAAGCTGGCAGAGGTAAGGACGGGATTTGCCCGTCTGCGTACATATGTGACCACTGGGTTTGTGTCTGAAGGCGCATTGCTGTCCAGGGTAAGCAGGTCGTGCTTCGGCAATGGCCGGCCCCATCTATACCGATTTACCGACTGAACACCCTGTACTTGCAATTCACAGCACCGGCGCACCATGCCTCCCAGGCCGTCCCTAACTGTCCGCGACCCCCTACTGATAGGCATCATCTCGTTCCAGAGCCCCAAACGTCCCACCGCAGAACCTTCACAGGGCGTGTACCGCTGCTTCGTGCAACCCTAACAACTTCATCCCGCTTGGATCAACAGCCGGCACAAGAGCCCTTGGCCATGTCGTAATCTTCATGTGGTGTACGGCAATCCTGTTGCCCTTCCCTCGGCCTCCGAATCCCGGCGGCAAGCTCATCCCATCATGTTTGCCAACCCAGGCAAGCAGGGCGTTTCAACGCCAGCGAGAACGCCCGCGTCCACCACGTCCCCACCCCAACCCTCCGTCTTTCAGTTCGTCAGTTTTCCTTATTTTTACCCCAACCCTCTCCTCCACCTCGCCCCTTTGCCCACCCCACACTCACTCCAGGTCCATTGCCTCAAACTTGGGCGCCACCTTGGGCCGCTTGGCGCCGGTGTGCACCACCGCCTCCTGGTAGCGCCGCTCCGCCTCGCCCGCCATGGCGCCGCTGATGTCGCTGGCGGACACCAGTGCGCCGCGCAGAGCCAGCGGGATGGCGAGGCTGCCTGCAGGGAGGAGGCGGGTTACCGTAGGCATAGCAAGGCGCGGGTTAATCGGGCTAAATGAGTAGGATTCCGCCAGGATGGCGCATGCCTGCCAGTGATGGCGAACAAAACACACCAGGCACCACGTATTGACGTATACCCATGTTCTTATATCCCTGCGCAACGCGTTAGGAGCGCTGGCCCTTTAGCTAGCTGCCTGCCTTGGGCTTTACGGTTCCAGGAAGTGCCCATAAGCCGAATCCCATGGGCTGATGCGCGCACCTGTCCCGCAGCCTGCATCGCACACCGTAAGGCCCTCCATGCTGCCCTCCTCGTCCACCCAGCGCAGCACCTTGTCCACCGTCTGAGCGTGGCCCGTGCGGATGTCCAGCTGCACCTTGTTCACCTCGCTCGTCTCGCCGTAAATCTTCCGCCACCGCTCGTAACCCGCTGTGTTGAAGTAGTTCTTCACCTGTTAGGCAGTCAGGGTTTGGGAGGATGGGATATATCAGCCCAACGGCGCCACAGCGTTGCTCCAGAGACACACACTCTCCTTGGGAATGGGGTGAGGACTGACGGGAAGAGATTTCGGGTAGCGGGGACAGGGTTAGCCTCGCTAGACTGTTTGCCGTGACACGCAGCTTTGCCTGCGCTGAACTAGATCTAACGCTGCTAAATATGCGAGACTCTCACCGCTTCCTTCTCGTCGCCGCCAGTTTGCGCCATTTGTTCCGAGCGCCTGCAGCACGGTTAGTCGTCCGAATTGCCTTGCAAGCTCTACTTAAAAGATCAGATCCACTTATCTTTCGCAAACTGTGGGCTGGCAATACAGACATACCTCTTCTGTGGATCCGTGGCAACCAAAAGTGCCCCCAAGCCGGCAATTGCCACTCCGCCCCCGACCGCAAGCGTGAGCGAGCCATCCAGGCCGTTCGCCGAACTAAAAATCTCAGCAGCATGAGCAGCAGGTGTAGCTAATGCAGACAAAGCTGTCGCTCCAGCCGCGACCTTCAAACCGCTCTCCGAATGGCGCAAGTGCGAATTGCACCTCACCACCCGGCGGGGCCCAGAGATGGCCGACCGAGTTGATGTAAACGGCTTCTGGTTCAGGCACTGCATTTTCGGTAAGGTTTCGGATAGAAAAAAATGGGAAGATGGAACATCAAGGCACAGATGCAGTTGCCGTATAACGCGAGTCTTCCATGGGCTTCCATGCTCTCTGACGTGCACTTGACACGTTACGCCTTTACGAGAAGTACTGTGACTTCTATATATAAATCACACACGGACAGTCTTTTTATGTGCACGGTTGGTTCGCAGCCTCGCGAAACAACCATCGAGGCCCAGCGGATGCAAGTATTTACACCCACTACAGCAGTTGGCCTTGCATACTCACTGAGGCGTCTAGGCTTCGGCGTGGTTCGACTCTTATCATCCGTCGCTCGCGGTGGAAGTGCACCAGTCGCGATGATGCTGCGATCGCCCGGCGCCTCAGGATGCACGTCAATATGCAGCGCAACTTCCAGCAAAGGAACAGTCCATCCCTTACCCACACGCGCTATGAGGTTGTCGCCTTCGGCAAGCATGGGCCCATCCTCGCGGCCGCTTCTTTCCTGGGCAGCGCGCGGTTTAAGCCCCAGCACACGCCCTTTGTCAACGCGGGCAGCGTCGCGGGGTACTCAAAGCGGCCCTGAGGAGGTGCGATGAGTCGCATCGTGGCAGTTCGGTAGCAGTTGCTGAGCTCACCTGAAGCCGGATCTCCTCGCAACACCTGGTGTTCCCCGTCGTTTTCGTAGCATAGCTTTCAAGTGCAATCGCCTGCGGTTTACTCCTTCCGTTCTAACCCCTCCTTCCCTCCCTCCTACAGCCCGACCGGCCTCGCCTCGCTGCCATCGCCCTAGCGGCCGGTGCCGCCCTCAGCCTCATCCTCAGCCCCGGTCCCAGCCCCAGCCCAGATCGAGGCCTGCTGTCCGCCCTCCGGCCCCCTGTAGCGCATGCGGAGGCGCCGGCCGCGACACCGGTCGCCGGCTTGCCCTCCTTCCTGTCGCCCCCCTCCAGCCCCCGCGATGTGCCCTTGCAGCGCAACACGGACCCCATGACCATGCAGCTGCCGGACACACCGCCCGACCTGACACCCGAGGTGGGTGGTGGTGGAGGGTCGTTCGGGATGGGGGGTCAAAGACCATACAGAACCATAGGGAAAACAGGGGTGGGAAGGGTTCGCCGGCTGTTGCATGCTGTTGGCCTGCTGAGCCGCGAAACTGCACTAACCATGGCTGTCGACCGAGGGAGAGATGCGATGTGATTTCCTGCTGCGCTGCCGCCACCGCAGGAGGTTCGTGCCATCCGCATCTTCGCACGCAACACGCCCTCCGTCGTCAACATCACCAACATACGGCAGGTAGGGGCACAAGGGAGGAGAAGAAGAAGAGCAGGTGGGGGCAGGTGGGAGCGGGGAAAGGGCCCGAGAAGGTGTTGGAACGTGGAGAGGTTAACTAGCTGGAGCGGGGGAATGCCGTCCCTAGTGTGCCGTAGTACCGACACGCATGTAGTACGCTTCACTTACCCTCCCGGTTGTTAGCCCTCACAACGGCATCCATCTGTTATAACGTCGCCGAAGGCGAAGTCTACTTTCTACCCTGCCCCGCACCTCCCCGCTGCCTGCCCGCAGGTCGCCATCCCCAACGGCTACTTGAGCATGGACACGCAGCGGGTGCCGGCGGGGCTGGGCAGCGGCTTCGTGTGGGACGACAAGTAGGGGGAGGGGGGCTCGGGGGGCTGGGGGGGCTTGGGGGGCGAATAGGATAGGGCTGTGTGGGAGGATTTCACACCGACATGGGAGGTGCCATGGTCGCCCGCATGAATCACGGTGCCGAACCGGAGTGCCGGCATCTCCAGAGCTGCTGGTGACCTCCAAGCCCATACACCGTGTCGCACCACATAGCAACCCGCGGGGCCCACCACTTCCCCCCGCCGAATTTGGTTTCCCCTTCCGACCTCCCCACCCCTGGCGCCTGCAGGGGCCATATCGTTACCAACTACCACGTCATTCGGGTGGGTGCCGAGCGGGGCTGCAAGCACCCCCGCCTCCCCTGCCAGCCTCATGTAGCCCAGCCTAATGCGGAGTATGTACCCCTGTTATTCCCCTGCCAGCCTCCGCACACCATGGCCCGCGTACCGGCCTCGACAACTGCCCCCCTCCCTCCCTGCTGCACACATTGGGATTTCTTTTTCCCTTCCCTGCTGCAATTAATCACTTACTTCCCCCCTCCCTGGGACCCCACCCCCCTTCAGGGTGCCGACATGGTGAAGGTGACGCTGCTGGACCAGTCCACATACACCGCCCGAGTGGTGCGGGGGGGAGGGGAGGGGCTGGGGTGGGTGGGGGAGGTGGAGGAGGGAGGGGAAGGGCACGGGAAGAGGGAAGGGCTACCGGGAGAATTATGGAAAGGGGAAGGAACGGCAGGGGTTCAGAGCTATGCAGCCCATGTCGAGTTCACCAACCACGTGCCGCCCCTTCCCCCCGCCCCCCCCCGCTGTCCCCCCGCTGTCCAGGTGGGCGGTGACGCCGACAAGGACGTGGCGGTTCTGGAGCTGCAAGGCCTGCCGCGCGACAAGCTGCGGCAGCTGCAGCCCGTCACGCTGGGCTCCTCCGCGGGGCTGCTGGTGGGGCAGCGCGTGTTCGCCATCGGCAACCCGCTGGGGCTGGAGCATGTGAGCAGAGGGGAGGGGGGAGGGGGCGAGGGACAGTGGAATGCGGCACTGCAATCATGATCCCGTGGTCCGACGCTGCGAGTATAGAGGGGGCGGGGGGAGGGGGCTATCTGCAAGAGGGGTGGGGGATGGCGAGAAGGTTGGGTTAGTGCACCAGCACCAACCCAGCTGCCCCTGCCCCTCCCCGCTGCCCCCTCCTTCCCCGCCCCACCCGTCGCCGCAGACGCTGACCTCGGGTATCGTGAGCGGCCTCAACCGCGAGCTGAGCGACGGGACCATCACCATCAAGGGACTCGTGCAGACGGACGCGGCGATCAACCCGGGCAACAGCGGTGAGGGCCGACCCGCGGGTCAGGGTGGCCGCCCCAGCAGCAGCATGCCAAGATACCCGAGTGCCTGGGCCCCGGCACCGGTCGCATGCCCCTCCTGCGTTCTCTGCTCTCTGCTTCTCTTATCCCGTCCTTCTCCTCGCTCGTTTACCTCAATTCCATTCGCCCGGAGCATGTCGCCTGGTGCTGCCACTATCACTCAGCGCAAAAGGTTGCTCTTCTTCCGCCCTCGCCCTCCTCACCCTCCTGTGACTTCCTTCGTTCGTTGCGGTCTTTGACCCTCCCCCCCCCACACCTCCCCCCAGGCGGTGTGCTTCTGGACAGCGGCGGGCGAGTAATCGGCATCAACACCGCCATCGCCGACCCCTCCGGCAAGGGCGCCTCCGCGGGGGTGGGCTTCGCGCTGCCCATAGACAGCGTGCGCGGCCTGGTGGAGCAGATCCTGACGTACGGCCGCGTGCTGCGCCCCGTGCTGGGGGTGACACTGGCGCCGCCGCAGGTGCTGAAGCAGCTGGGGCAGCCGGGGGTGCTGGTGCTGGAGGTGAGGGGGGCGGGGGCGAGGGAAAGCAGGCGGGGAGGGGATTAGTCAAACTAAGCCGCGGGAAACACCGACCCTGATGAAGGGATGGGAGAAGGTGGTGTTGGGCAGGTGAGCCGCGAGGGTCAAAAGGGCGCTGGGGTCAGGGAGAAGCAACCCGTGCAGCCTGTGGCGAGGAAGGCGGGCAGGAGAAGCGAGGATGGGGGCTGGAGGACGCTCATGTCGGCAACATTGGGCTTCCGAGGGTTTGCGTGACAAGGCCTTGTCATGCAAAGTGACAGCCACGTTTCGCTCTCGCCCGCTTTGTAACCACGACGGCTTTGTGGGTGCTCCATCCCCAATTCCCCACCCGTCCCCACCGTGCAGGTGCCCCGCGGCTCTCCCGCGGAGAAGGCGGGTCTGAAGCCCACCACCCGCGACCGCTTCAGCGGCGCCCTGGTGCTCGGGGACATCATCACGGGCATCGACGGCCGCCCCGTCCGCAACTACTCCGAACTGGTGGGTGGGGGCAGACGGCAGGGAGGGGGTGAGAGCGGCGGAGTGAGGGAGTTGTGGGGTTTGCCGGTGCCTGGTTCTTGTTAGGTGCGCTGCATACATCGAATGCGGGCTCCACGTAGCGCCTTCTCGCTTCCCTTACGGTTCAACATTTTGATGCACTCGCACGATGATGCAGTCAACCCGCCGGCACCCTTGTAGGCATACGTGGCCGCATGTGCGGACAGCTACTGCTGCTGTTCTGACGCTTCAAATTAAGAGAAAAGCCTAAACCAACATAGGATCCTCTGCCCAACCCTGTTGCCCATTGAACCCCCACCTGTTGCCCGCACAGGTGGACATTCTGGACGTCAAGCGAGTGGGCGACGTCGTGAAGGTGAGTGCTACATACCCATGCTGCGCGGGGCACTGCCCTGCATGTGCAAATCGCAGGATAATCAGCCGGTGACACACCTTTAGCCCGGGGGGTGGCTTTCAGTGGGGGTCGAGGAATGCACGTGCTAACCATGGGCCGTGCATATTGGTCGCAGGTGGACATCCTTCGAAGCCAGACTGACAACCTATTTGCCAGCGGCGCTGCACGCAAGATGACAGTGGAGATACAGCTGGGAGAGCGGGGCCAGGTCAACGTGACGGAATGAGCTGCACCCAGCCATTGAAGGACAAATGAAGGTCAAATGTCGGACGAGTGAATTGGGCAAGAACTGTTGAACCCAAACAAGCTGACCCATGGGTCATGTTATGGCATATGAGAACGTACCCTTCTGCATTGTGTTGCTGCGTGTTTTGTCCCGAACAAGTGTTGTCAGCTAGGTTGCGCTGCTTCCATGTATCATACTGCATCGTTAGTCTGTCTGCAGAAACGTGTCGCATTACACCAGAGCGGTCGGAAGCACCGCTTATGTACGGGGGCAGGCAAAAAATGTGCGGGTCATGCTGCAAAGTGATATATAGGTTGAGGCATGAAACCACTCGCACAGCCTAGCGACAAAAAGGGCTAGGGTTAAAGCGCCTGTAAATGGCCCGTCGCACCAAATTCAATCTCCTAATGCCTGAAGCCGATGGCTTCTAAGCTACCATGTAAATGCTCTATCCGCAGCACGAAACACATGCTTCAGTAGCACGACCCAACGAGCCGCATGCATGTCCCAGACTAACACGCAGGTAATTGTTCTGGGTCCCAGGCATCCGTGCGCTCCGCATAACGGAACCAGACATCCGTGCACTCCGTATTAGATGGCTAAGCGCAAACAGCAGCAGCACTCGCACCTGCGCCGCACCGCAACACGCGGTTCGGGGGTCAGTTAGCAATAGTCCCAACGGCCGCAGCTTTCTCTACGAACTTGGCACAGAGCACTACAAAAGCAAACCTGCTGAGGCCGCCCACACCTGTCATCCACGTTATGCTGTGAAGTAAGGCGCTGCGCCATAAATCTGTAAACACCTCCGTCCTCCGCCCCCTGCTCCATATAAACAACGGTTAAGCTGGCGCAGAGTATTAAGTGTAAGGCCTCGTGACACTTCACTGCCTGTCATATTGCGAGGCAATGAAACACTCGTACGTCCAAGTCTCTAGCCAATTTTCCTAGCAATCACCTCAGGAAAGGAAAACAGCCGTCAATGGTCCCAACCGTCCTCATGCAGTAATCCGCTACCATAAACAACCTCACGCACCCGTCCGCAGCTGCATTGGCAGCCCATGCTTTCTAGTCCAATCGTAAACGCTACCAGCGCATGCGCACTTCATCGAACTCCTCTCCCGCTGAAGGCATTGCCCAAGTCAACAACACCAAGACTGTACCGCTGCGTTTCCCGTTAACGCATGCCTTACTCCGACCCCTCATCCTTCTCCTCATTTTCCCCTGAACCCGAGTCCGCGTCCATCGCCTCAGGTCCGTCGTCCTCCGGCTCCTCCTTCTTCTCCACCTTCTTCTCCCCCTTCTTCTTAGCAGGCGCCTTCTTTCCGCCCGCCTTCTTCCCAGCCGCCTTCTTACCACCCTTCGCAGCAGCAGCCGCTGGCGCTGCAGAGGGCCCAGCACCATCCTCTGCCGCCGCCGCGGGTGCTGCTGCCGAAGGACCAGCAGCCGCTGCTGCTGCGTTGGACGGCCCAGCGCCATCTGCTGCAGGCGCAGCGGATGGGCCCGCAGCGGCTGCCGCTGCGGCAGCAGGCGCCGGCGCAGCCGCCGCGGCGGCCCCACCCGGTGCAACGCCGCCCTGCTCACCCGCCAGGAGCGCCCCGTGCTGTCCGCCAAAGCATACGGTGTGGATGCGGCGGTAGCCAAAGACCTTGACGCGGCCCATCTTCTTCGGCACGGGCTCGTCGTCCTCGTCGGTGCCCTTGGCCAGCTGCAGGTTGGTGTTGCTGCCCCAGAACCAGGCATCACCGTCAGATGTGGTGCAAGCAGACACGTTGGTACCCGCGGCGATGGCCTCCACCTTCAACCCTTCTAGACCGTCCACGGGCTTGGGCTCCGGGTGGATCTCGTTGGCGGAGTTGGTGTTGACATCGCGACGGCCCAACATGCCGTACGTGGCAGCGCCAAAGGACAGCAGCGCGCCCTTCTTGGTCAGCGCCAGCGTGTGCTGCTCGCCGCCAGCGATGTGCACCACGCCTGAGAGCGACTCCACCGTCTCCGGCTCCCACTTGATGTTGTCGTCATTGTTTTCCTTATTGATGCCCAACTGCCCGCTGTTGTTGAGGCCCCAGGCTGCAACAGAGCCGTCCTTGGCGATGACAAAGGTGCTGTACGCGCCGCAGGCGATGTCGACGGCGGGGGAGTTGCCTAGGGCGTACGGCAGATGGGCCACAGCGGTGGGCTTGAAGAGCTCCTCGGCCGTGGGCTGGTACTCGGAGTCCTGGTGGTAGGGCTGGATGCGGCCCAGCTGGCCTTGGCTGCCGGAGCCCCACGTGAGGACGTCACCACGGTTGGTCAGGATGGCGGCGTGTCGCCCGCCGCACACCAGCTTCTTGATGCGGTCACGCAGCGAGTCGGGCTGCCAGACCTGGATGAACAGCCCCTGCGTCTTGATGCTGGGAGTGAAGCCGGAGAGGGCGCCAATCTCGTCCTTGAAGTGGCCACAGCCGTACAGGCAGCCGTCAGCACCCACAGCGAAGGTGAAGCCATCGCCAGCAGCAATTTGAACGGCTTTGAGGCCGCCCGGAAGCTCAGCGCGGAGGGGCACGAAGGGATCGCCCTTGGCTGAATCAGGCTCCTTCTCCCAGCAAGTGCCTGACGTCTTGCGACCCAGCGCGCCCTCGTCGTTGACGCCCCAGGTGTACACGTCGCCCTCCGACGTAAGCCCTACTGTGTGCATCCCGCCGCACACAACTTGTACAAACTTGAGCTCCTCAGAGATTGGCTGCTTAGGACGGGGGATCTGGGACCGGGTGTCCGGGTCATCCGCTAGCTCAGGATCGCCCAAGCCAAGAGCGCCGAAGGAGTTGGTGCCAAACATGAAAAGGTCCAGAATTGGCTGTCCTGGGAAGAGGCTGGGCACTTTAGCGGGTTTGACGGCAACGCGGCGGCGCTTAGGCGCAGGCGCCTCAACGGGGGGTTCCTCATTGTCCTTGGCCGAAGTGGGCTCCGCAGCAGGCGCCTTCTCCTCCGGCTTCTCCTCTGGTTCCTGCTCAGCTGCTCGCTTATTACCACGCTTGGTGATGGGCTTTTCCTTCTCAGGAGCTTCAGGCTTGGCAGCCGCCTTGGACTTCTTCGAAGTTGTGGTGCGCGCCATGGGTGATATGTTAACTTATGTATGTAAAGGAGCAAGCGCTGATAGCAGTGTGTGATCTAGTTGAGAGAAGACATTTTTTAACAGGTGGAATTTGACCAAGGCCTCCGTACAAAGCTTTCCTCCACGATGGAGAAGGCTTGGTCGCATGCATGTTAGACTCTTGCTAAGCAGCAATCTCTGTCAACTGTATATTTTATACATAATATGGAATCGTTAAATACCATCGTTTCCATTGTTTGGGCCAACTGACTTCGCTCGCTAGGGATGTGCTTGGGCGATTATCGTAATAAAGAACGTGTTAATTAAGGACTCTTGTGTGCAATTGAAGTAAGAGCAGAGTTTACCAGCTGACGCATGTGAAATTTCCTCCGAGAGGCCGCGGCGAAGCATCGCGGCCACCATGGTGAGGGATTGTACTTAAGCTTCCTTGCCTGGGTCATCTTTAGCATTTAGCACTATGCGCGCGCTGATTGCGCAAACCTTTTACTGTATGCAGGCCGATGCCGCCGTGGCGTCAAACGGGCAAACATGCCTTGAGGAAAGCTCTCAGTTGACAGTAGAGCAATCCTCGGTGGATCCTGCGCCGGCTAGCAGCAAACCACGCCATGAGGTCAGCCTTGCGGAGCTGCTGGAGCACTTCGCGTCCCTCCAACACGATTATGCACTGTTTAAAGAGGGTGGCAAGACCCGGCCTCCCACGGCCGCCGTGACAGAGGCGATGCCACCAACCGCCGCGCCGCTTCAGGTCGCGGCGGTGCGGCAAGCGCCCGTCGCCGCTGTCAGCGCTGCAAGTAAAGCCCGACCAAACGCTCCGCGCTCCCAGTCCGTGCCGCCCAGCGCTCGCATGCGCCGCAACACCTCTCCTGGACACGACGGGGGTCCTCTTCGTCAGCAGCATCCTCCATCACACCAGCAGCACCCTGTTCCATCCGCTCGAATGGCACGACCTAGTGCCGCGGCTGCGGGCCTTAGCCCCGCAGCCAACGCAGTAGCTGGTGTGTCCCGCTGGGGCGCAGAAAGGCAACCACACCCGGAGGCGTCGCAGCAGCAGGGCGTTGGGCGGGGCAGGGAGAGCGCTGCAGCTGAGGGCGCTGCCGGTAAGCCGCCTGTCAGCAACGCAAAGAAGAAGAAAAAGAAGGCGGAGCGGCCCCCGTGGCGGGACGACTTTGTTGAAGAGGCGTCGCCCTGGTCACGAGAGCTGGCGGAGGAGGCAGCAGCTACGGAGGCAGCGGCAGTGGCGCCAGCAGTCTCCGAAGCAGCTCCGCAAAAGGGACCTGGCCCTCAAAAGGGGCTGGCTGCGGACGCAAAAGGCAGACGGCCCGCCAGGGCTAGTAAGGACGGAGCCGCCTCGGATGCTGGACCAGTGGAGCCAGCGGCGCGGCCGGCCGCACAGCCGGTTGTAGAGCAGCGCCCTGCGCGGCGGACTGTTTCCCCGGGTCAGGACCGGTTGCGGGCGGCTGCGGTTGCGGCTGCGAAGGAAGCCGGACTGCGACAGCAGCAGCTGTTGCAGCAGCAGGGAGCTCAGCAGCAGGTGGCCAGGGGCGGCATGATGCTGGTCATTCCGTCGGGGCCGGAGCACCAACCCGGCCCACCTACCGCGTCTGGGCAGGGGCAAGGGCCGCCTGCGGGGCACGCTGCGCGCAGCAGCCCGGTTCGCGGCAGCCACATCCCGGTCTCACCGGGCATCTCCTCCAGCGGCAACAGCCCTGAAGACCCCAGGCGCTCAGAGTCTCGGCCCAGGACGCAGCAAAGCCGGATACCCACCTACAACGGCCAGCAGCAGCAGGCGGGCGTTGACAGGCGTGACGCGACGCCCCCGCGGGAGCCGCTGCCAGCTGGGGTTCCCGCTAGGGGCAGTCCAGGGCGTGGGCCTCTGAACGTTGGTGCAGGCGGCGGGGGAAACAGGGTGGATCGATTGGTCTTGGACCCCAATGCCGCGTCCCTATCCGATGACTCCCATGCCGCCGGCCCGGCTGTGCACTCATCACCGCGTCAGGCCGGCAGCTCAGCGGCGTCCGCGGCACACCATGCGGGCAGCCAGCAGCGGAGGAGGCGCCAGTGGGACTTGCCCGGCGCTGCTGGCGGCAGCGGTGGCGATGCTCGCAACGATAGGCCGAGCTGGGTTGGGAGCAGGGTGTCATCCGATGGACACTTCCCAGCAGCAAGTGCGGCGATTGCGGTGCCGGTTAGGTCGCAGCCCCACCCGCAGGCCGGCGGAGGCGGTGCCCCAGGGCCGCTGCCGCCGACCCTGGTCCCCACTCCGCCTTCTGGCTCCCCTCCAAGTCGCCCCAGCAGCCGCCCGGGCAGCCGCCCGAGCAGCCGTCCCGTCAGCACCAATGGCGAGCCGCCAGGGGCCGGGCAGCCGGCTTCGGGCGCCTCCCTGGACTCCCACAGCAGCCGCGCGTCAACTCCCTCGTCCACTCCTCGGCAGCGGCCGCCGGCCCTGCCCCTGCCGCCGAGTGCGGCAGGCGGCTCCCGACGAAACACCGACGCCGGAGACCAGCCCGTGGAGGCGACCTTTGCACCCGTGCTTGCAGCCTCACCGGCTGGTCCAGGGCCGGGCTGCCGTCGCCGGGTCTCTGGAGGACTGGACTTGCCGCCCGGCGAGCCGTCTGTTGACCTTTCTGCGGCGCTAGGCGGCGTGCAGCCGCGGATATCAGGGTCTGGTTTGGGGGAAAGCACGAGCGGCGGCGGCGCGCCGCGTTCCGGTCCGGGGCCGCCGGGGCTGCGCCACAATGAGGATTACCTGCGGAAGCTCTCGGCCCTCAAGCGACCGGTGCCGCTTGACGCCATGCGGCGTGTGACAGAGGATGCGCTCTTCCTGCCGTCCCCAGCGGTGTCAGGCGGTGGAGCCGGGAGCGGCGGCGGTGGCAGCGGCGGCAGCGCCGGGCCCTCACGCAAATGGATGGACGCCGGGAACTGTGATGCCCCGCTGTCGGCGGCGCCCGTGGATGCAGTGGGCTCTGCGCCCGCTGCCGTACGTGCTGCCCGCAACCGGGTGCACTCGGCAGAGGTGTACGGCAGTATGGGCAGCGGGGCCAGGAGCAGTGGCGGCGGTAGCAGGGGTGTTCCCAGCACTGGCGGTGCTGCTCCGGGTGAGGATGCCGCGGAGGCGGAGGCTGGAGGGCGGTCGTCTAGGAACAGTCGTGCTCCGAAGCCGCAGCATCACATGCGGCATAACAGCGACGGTGTGAGTGATTTGCCTGTTTCAGCACCGTTGGTCGAAGCACCTGAGGCGGTGGGTGCCGCCAGCGAAGCGCAGCCGCACGACGGGGCCGGTCAGGCGCGTGTGCTAGGGCCCCTGAAGCAGGGAGCTGAGCAGGGCCCTGGCGCAGTACCGGCCCCGCGGGAGCCACGTGGGGATGCGGGGGGAGCAGCTGGAGCAGGGAATGGCGCCGCTGGGGTCATTAGTGCGGAGCAGTACATGGCCTTCGCTGTCCAAAACCCAGATGTCGCCATGGCTGCAGCGCAGGCTGCCATGAACGTCAACTCCAATCGAGCCCGACCCCGCTGGAATCTGCCGCCGGAGCACCAGCAGCCGCGCCCGCAGCAGCCGGTGCTGCTGGGAGCTGCTGGCGCCGCGCCGCCCTGGGGCCAGCCGCAGCTGCAGCTGCCCATGCAGCAGCCCCTAGCGGCTGCACTGGTATCCTCATCCGGTCTGGGCGGGCCCACGGTGTCGCTGCCGTCACCCGGCCCGTCCCCGCAGCAGCCGCACCCGCATCCCCATCCCTCCTTGATGCTCCTGGGCGACAGTCATGACTTGCGCCGCGTCAACTCGGAAGGGCCGCGCGCACCCTTGGGGCGGCAGCCGGGAGCGCCCATGCTGGACCTGCTGCCGCAGCAGCAGTCGCTCGGCAGCACGATACCGGGCGCGCCGTCCCTGCCCCTCCCGGCCTCTCATGGTCCGCTGGGCCCTGGTGCCGCTATGTACGGTGCGCCGTCGCCGCCCCTGCCGGTCGTCCAGGGGCTGTTCCAAGGGGGGCCCGGAGGAGTTGGCAGCTGGCCTGGCGAGGCGCCGGCGGATGGAGGCGGAAGGTTGGGGCCTCTAGGAGCTGGGCCGGGCTACCCTCCGCCGTTGCAGGTACGTGCTTGGTAGGGGGGCTTTATGCTAGGGTTGGTGCTGGGGCCCTCGTGCCATGTTCTACCGCATTAACCCATACAAACTGGCTTTCGCCGACCATGAGCTTATAACCCCTTCCGCTTTCCGCGTTTTCATTCCTCCCCTTATGGCCCGTGTCCCCATGGCAGCCTGTTCGGTCCGGCATGTTGCCGCCTGGCGACATGTGGGCTGGCGGCCCCGGCATGCCCCCGCCCCCGCAGCACATGCAGCCGCCGCTGCCTCCGCACATGCAGCTCCCGCCCCAGCCCCCGCCGCAGCAGCAGTGGGGCGGCTACGTCCAGATGCAGGGATCCCGAGGCTACATGGGAGGACCAGCATCGGCGCCAGGCCCCATGCCAGGACCGGGAGAGGCGCATGGGCCACCGGGCTCCATGCCAGATCCTTACAGCAAGCCTCCGGCGTTCAAACGTGCTTCCAACGGTTACAACGTGAGACGGGCGGTCATCTTTTGTTTCCAGGCTACTAGGAATAACCCCTTAAGTAGCCTACGCTTCTGCATGCATCATGTGACGCGGTACCGTTGTGACAAGGTTGCAATCGCCTAGGCATGTCAAGGGCTTGTCGCAATGGCCCAGGGTGCGCATGAGCCCCAGCCGCGGCGCATGGCAACCTCATCCTGTCCGCCCTGTTGATGATGTACTCCTGCTCCCCGGTGCAACCCCTGCAGGATGGGCAAGGCGGCCCTGGTCCCGGCTTTGGCCCGCTGCCCCCGGGTGTGCCCGGCCCCGGTCCCGGCCCCCCTGGCGGCGGCCCTGACCTGCCAGACTACATGCGCGTGTCCATGTCGCGCATGGTCGCCGGCTGGTCCGCACCCAATGCCAAGCACGGTGCGCTGTCGGGCTTCAACGACGTCTGGCAGTACCGGAACAGCAACAACAACCGACTGCCGCCCAGCTACCCCGGGCCCGGCCTGCCGACCGCCCCGGGGCCCCCCACATCTGCGCAGGGCGGCATGTCGCAGCCGCACCCGGCGATGCTGAATGGCAGCGGGCGGGCAGTGCCCCCCATGAGAGGCGGCAGCGCGGGCAACTTGGGCGCTCAAACAGGCCTAGAGCGGCCGGCGGGCCTCGACGGGTCGGCCCCTGTTGGCTTCCACCACCATGGCGCCAGCAGCAGCAGCGGGGCGGGCGGCGGGCGGAGCGCGGGCTTTGAGGGGCTGTCGCTGGAGGAGGTGTTGGCGAGCAAACCGAAGAAGGAGCTGCCAAATTTCAAGAAGAAAGGAACCGGGGGCTCCCCTGGCGCGGGCGGATGAGCGCATGACTGTCAGCTAGTTGCAGGTGCAGCATGGGGTGCCGTGACCGTTGTGGTGGTGTGTAACATGCTGCCGGGTGCGGTAGTAGGCCGGTCCTGCGCGTGTGCACTTGGCTGCTGCTGAGAGAGGCAAGGCTAGGCTGCAGCATGCACCGGCATGTGTGGACGGGGCACGGCCTGCCGAAAGGAAGCTCTTGTGGAGTGCCGCCGCATTGGGGCATCCGGTGTTAGGGTACAAGGTTAGAGCAGAGCATAGGGCTGCAGTAAAGGCGTTCAGCGGACATCTTGAGGAAAGAAGTGTACAGCACAGGCTTCAGGCCGGAGGCACGGGACAGCTTTTGCAGGGCTGCCTAGGATTGTGCATAGTATGCTATCTGCGAGGCGCCGCAGCAGGCACCTGTCGCATAAACTCATCTGCCGCATGCGCATCTGTTCCTGGCATTGCTTGTTGGCGTGGCGTGGGATAGGACATAGAGAGGTAGGGGAGGCATGGCGCAGGCCATTGGTTGCAGGAGGCAGGGTGACTTAGGTCGGACACGGTAGGCGCTTAGTCCATAGCTGTCCAACATATATACATATTTGCTTCCGAGGTGGGGACGGCCTCTCATGACGGATTGGGACGTACAAAGGTCATCCAACGATCGACCAAGACAGTGCTAGTACGGTTGCGTGTGGATGGTGAAGGTAGGATCGATAGGATCATGCAGCTCCGCAGTTACAGTTGCATGTGTGCCTGTATCTCGAGTACTTGCACTCATCCACAGACTGTTCTATGCCCAAGTCCCTGTGCTATTTGACGCAGCAGCCACCGTCCCTCTCACTACTCACACCAATGCAGCTTACCAACAGCTTTCTCATATCTCTCACGCTCCTCCGCGCACCTGCCGCAACGCCTGAATACCCAACTGGTCTTAACCAATGCCTCCCATGCACTTCCTAATTTATTTTTCTACCGAATGTCCTCCATGCACTCAATGCGCACAACAACATCGCCGCTCCACATTTACCTGCTGCGACTCCGCCGCCTGTGACTCCCACCTCCCCGCGGAGAACGCGACCGTGAACGTCCCCTGCGGAGCAGCAGCATACGAAGCAGGGATACCAGCCTGAGCAAAAAGAGCTAGGCGGACAGGGGCCCCACTAGGTCAGAGCACATGAAGCCGCGGTGTGGGCGCAACACCCACCGCACCGCACAGCGCCCACCTGCGGTAGGATTCGTGCTCGGAGCCCTCTCGGGGAGGTGGCGAGGGCGAGCGGCGCATGACAACACGCTCAAAGGCCTGACGCGCTTCCTTCTCCTTCTCGACCTGAGGGCACCCCAGTGGGACGGACGGACGGCAACCAGCCGGCGCCACAAGCCAGCAGGAATGACAACAGCGCCGAAGGGGACATAGCGGAGTAGCCATTGGCATGCACACTGCCATTTCGCATGCAAGTTTGGTGCCGGCAAAGCCGAATCCATCGAAGGCACACGCTCCACGCACGGAGCTACGCAGGCCCGCATGCCACAGGCAGGAATGCGACATGGATGCCTGCCGCTCTTGCCTGCTTTTTGTTTTGCAGCAGCGTCGCAAGCTAACTTGCTTCCTTCGTTGCAACCAATTACAAGACCCCATGGACCCCACCGGCATCCGACCCCATCACAACATCACACGCAAACACCGAGAGCTCCACGTGCCCTTGCCAGCGTCGACAGCTCAAGAGGCCGGGGTGTTGGACCGGCGCCATGTGTTCACCATGTGCTCAGCTCTCAGAGCGACACCACCTACCTGCGGAAGCCGTCCAAGGCCGTAACGCCCTGATGGTGATTGCCACGACCCCACACAGCCCCCCTTACCACCGCTGTGCCGCGCTAGCTGCTGCTCGCGAACAGACACCTCTCCGCCGCCCTCCCCCCGCCTGACCGACCTGCAGCTTCCGCTGTGCTGCCACCAAGTGGTCCTTCTGCGCCTGCTTGTTGAGCTGCGCGGCCATGATGCGCTTCAACCGCTCCTGCGGGGTCTCCTTGACGGACGCAGAACCAGCAGCAGAAGCAGGAATAGATGCAGCAGCAGCCCCAGCAGCCCCAGCCGGTGTTGAGCCCCCGCCCGCAGCAGTCGCCGAGGTCCCCGGTAGCGCCGCCCTAGCCGTGCTGGGCGCGGAGGCGGAGGGGTGGGGTACCGGCACCTGGGTGGGGCAGCGGGGCTGGTAAGTCAGCAACCCCCGTCCCCCTCCAAGTGCCAAACCAACGCCAGCGCATGCAGCTGCGCTGTGGCCGGGAGTCACCCCCAAACAAGTGTAGCGCCCTGCAAATACCGCTGCGCGCACCTTGCCATTCGCAGCACCGGCACCCGGCGCGCTCGTACTCGCTGCCCCGCCCCACCGCGGCCGCTCCCGAGCCCTGTCGCCCTCGATGGCGCCACTCCCGCCGTGCGACCGGTCCCGCTCTCTGTCCCGCTCCCGGCTGCGGCTCCTGCTGCGGCTCCTGCTGCCGGCGTGCGGCTGCTCGTAGCGCCGCCGGTAGCTGTAGCCATGGTAGTCCCGCTCGCGCTCGCGCTCCCGTTCCCGCTCGTCGCGCTCCCGCTCGCGCCGCCCGCTGCCGCTGCCACCTCGCTGGCTGCGGTTCTCTGCCGCAGCCCTGCGGTGAGGTTGCATGTCGGTGACTCAGTCGGGGACCAGTGGACGCAAAACCACTTCCATCACAACATAGCGTAACGGGGGCACAGCCTTTTAGGCACGCATGTATAACAGATAGGAGGCCGCGTGCTATACATGCGCCACGTCAGACGGTCACACGCACCGCTCCCTGACCCGCGCCCACGCTGGCTGCTCCTCCGCCCCATAGCCCTTCCCCCCCGGCCTCGCCACCCCAACCACAAGCCCCTCCCACACAAGGCCCGCACCGTATTGCCTGCACGCTGGTGGGAGGCACAGGGATGGGCTGCGCGCCCAGCGCTGCGGGGTCGGGCATGTCCGGCAGCGCGTCCAGGATGGCCTCGTCGCGCTCAAACACAGACCTGCGAATGAAGGAACGAGGTAGCGGGGTTTAAAGGAACTTGCCAGTCAAGACGCAGCAAAGCTGGCATCAGCGGTAGCTATTGCAGGCAGGCTGGCGACACATACAAGCTTCACATGCAGAAGACGACCAAAAGGTAGTGTGAAAATACACTTGCAGCCAATCATCACGCGCTGAAAGGCAGAGCCCACTGGCCGCTACCTGTCGATGTTGGGTCTGTTGACCGCCAGCTGCTGCTGCTGCGCTGCCAGCGCCGCCACCCCGCTGGGCCCTCCCCTGCCGCTGGCGCCAGCTCGGGAGTCGGCCGCGGCCGATGACGAGAACTCCGTGATGAACTGCGGCCGGCTGCTGGTGCGGTGGCGCCTGGGGGTGGTTGAGCGAGGCGGGGTAGAGCCAGCAACAGGGGCACGGGTCAGCAGGCGGTGCGGGCTGAAGACGGGGCTCTGCCACCCGTTTGCGGCCAGAGGAGGACTTGGATTGAGGACACCCTGGCAACGTGGCAAACACCCCACGCTACCACCCACCTCCTGGGAGATCTCGATCGCGAGCGTGACGGGGATCGCGACCTCGACCTCGACTTGGACCTCGAGCGCCGGGAGCCGTAGTAGGTAGGCGAGCTAGCAACGGAGCGGGCGCCCATGAGGAGGCGGACAAAGCCATGGGTTGCGTCAGCTAGGACTCAGAGCGGCACTCGAGGAGCCGAGGCAGTGCACAGCGCGGCCAGGTGCGGTGCGCATGCCGGGTCTCAATCCCTAGGACTGCTTGGATGGTGATTCCACTGTGCAGGTATCGGGGTACATTCGTACATACCTTCGTCGGTGGCCGCCCTCGTCCAGCGCGTCACGAGCGGACCTTGCAAAGCAGGAGGGGTGCAGGTGGGACGAACGGCCGGGCGGTGTGTTGCACCAGCAGCAGTAGAGCGTCAGGCTTACAACCACCGAGCGCGTGCCTCACGGCACGTACGGTGAACCAACGTGTTCATCTCGTTCAACGCGCCCCCAACGCTCCCCTCACCTAGGTGGCGGCGGCAGCAGGCGGGTGTCCTGCGCAGAGGACCTCGGGGGCGGCGGCTGCGTCCAGTCGCGCGCGGGGCCGATGGGGACGCCGGTGGGGTCCAGACCCATGCCCTTCATGCGCCGGGCGCGCTCCTTGGCGTTCTTGCGGCTGCCCCGCCGCCTGTGTAGCACAGCGGCAGCAGGGCAGGTGGGGCGCGAGTGAGGACTGCAGCGGCAGGAGCGCTGCCACCATGGCAATCCCATTAACAAAGCCTTACAGACATATGGACTACGTTGACATGTGTCTTGACACCGGAAAGATAGGACAAGAAAGTAGTCTGGGGCCGCGCGAGCACACGCATGAGGGCCGCAGCAAGTGCGATGCAGGCTTGCAGGGCCCGCTGCGCACCTGGGCGGCTTGCGCAGTCGCGCCTCCTCCTCTCCCTCCTGCTCCTGCGCCCGGTGCAGCCGGTAGGAGAAGTCGGTGAGGCCGTACAGCTCTGCGGGGCGGGGAAGCATGCGGGCTTTGCACGGGGAGGCGTGCCGCAGGGGGCTGAGGTGCCGCAGGGCGGGTGCGCAGAGGGAGAGCCTCCAGGTAGACGAGCGCTGCATGTGGGGCCATGTGGTGGATTGGGCGCTGCTGCTCAGGGTGCACGTACCAACCCATGCCGCAGCTTGCAACGTGTCAGCGTAAGGGCGTTGGGGACAGAGTCCGGTCCGAGCTAACGTGAATCACGATCAGGCTAGCAGCTTCTACCGCCATTCACTTCCATTACAGCCGGCCTAGCACCTGCAATGTCATCTATTCGGTCGTCTTCAGCCTCCTGCCTCGCATCGACGTCCCCTTCATCCCCCTGCTCGCTCTCCGCATCGCTGTCAGAGTCGCTGCTGCTGCTGTCGCCGGCTGCTCCTCCGGCGCCTGCCTGCCCGCCGCCATAGTTGAAGCCCACGGCTGAAAACATGCCCGTCCCTGCGCCTGCGGGCACAGCACATACACCGCCCTTACGATTCACTGCCACCCCAACCGTGGAACGCTGTGTGTTAAAATAACTGAACGCTGTGTGTGCAGGTTATTGCCAAAGGGAAGCATGCACGTCCTGATGCCTCAAGGGGCACGTCCGCATGTGCCTCGGACGCTCGGAGCCCCATAGCAACGCATGCAGCCACATGCGTCAAGGGGAGATGCGGGGCGACACGCCACAGGCTTTCACCGGGACCCACTGCTCAGGACATGTTAAGTAGTGCTGCTTGTGCCTAACAACTATTTGCAGCATTAACAATGTAGCGCAACACCCACCCGCTGTCGCAGCCATGCTCAATGACTGTGGGTTGCGCTGACCCGCAGCCGCAACTGCCGCAGCTGTTGCTGCCGCCCGCATGGCCGCGCGGATCTCAATGTTCTCCTGCCGGGCAAACGCCAGCCCCTCCTCCTCGCCCAAACCCTTCGCCGTCAGCCGCACCACATCGCGAAAGCTCTCGAAGCGCAGCGACTGTACGGCAAGAACCCGTCAGCAGCGGCATGCAACAGGGACAGGGTGTGAACGAAGGAGACGGAAAGGTGGGACAGTGGCTGGTGCGGCAGTGATGGCGGGAGTTGTTGCTTCGGCAGCCGCACTTGAACCCCTTCCGAGTTCCGACATGTCTTATGAGGTTGGCCATGCCCCCTCCAAGTTGCCAAGGAACACCGGTGGATGCAAGTCCCCAGCCCACAATTGGTCAGCTGGTAGGAAACCCGCTCCCCCGCCACCGTTCCTCTCCAGTCCCGGACTCCATGGGGTCGCGCCTCGACAACAACTGACAGCACCTGATCGAGTTTTTCTTCCTGTGCAGATTTTGGTCGTGACCATGCGGATGGGTCGGGCTCACGATAGAAGTCCAGCAGCGCGCGCCCGTCGAACCGGTCGATGAGGGAGCCTCCATTTCCCCACGGGATAAGGCCAGCCCCGCTTTCAAGATTCTGGTGTTGCTCAGTATTTCGGTGTGTTCTGCAAGCCCGCCCCTCAACAAAAAGGTAATTCAACGGGTGCTCAACCTGCGTGAACGCACGGCCGGTCGCTTTCGTATCCACCAAAACAAACAACGATGTTGTGTGGCATGCTAGATGTGCACCTGCGTCTCTGCAATTTCCGCTTTGCGCTCTGCACGGCGCTTATTGTCCTCGGACATCTCCTTGAGCTTACGGGCGTGCGCCCTTGCGTCATGGTAGTAACTAGCCATCGCTGTGCCTGCTACCAAACTGTGGACGACGCTGCCCACGAGGCCACTAAGGCAGAGCTATTTACTTCGCCGTGACGGGCATTCAGGGGCTTACGAGTACCAAGACATACGTTGTCCGTATAGGACAGTAGATAGCATGCAGCTCATCCAGATGTTCGCGGAAGGAGAAACTTGGGCGTCGCGACAGCTGTTGTAAGACGCCGTACACTCATGCTGGGGCATGCCTTCGGTTCATTGCCCACAATACTAGCGTAATTTGTCGTTTCCCTTGTGGCTTGTCAGCCAAAATCGTGTGCACTGTGGTAACTACCCCTCGCGCTTGCGGGGGCACTGAAAGGCACGGAGTTTATCCACAATTCCCCTGCAGCGACAGGATCACTGCTGCATTTATACCTTAAAATGGAAGCTCGGGATAAGCTGCGGTCACGGGCGTAGAGCATCGTATGCCCCAGTGCTCAGGGATTGCTGGATATATAATAGACCCGTGGTCCACCTGCCCCCAAACCAGTACAAACTGCTTTTGTGAAACTCCTACACCCCACTAGCAGGCTACGGACGATGAGCAGCACCCATGGAAGATTGCTTAAGGGGCATGTGATTGCAAGAGCCTACCAATGTAAGCCCGTAGTCTCATGTGATTGGTATAGACAAATACCGGTAGGTAAGCGTTCCTGCGCATGCCGGACCTGCCGTCATATACCCACTTTGCTAGCTACCCTACGCGTACGGCTATGCTACCTTCTTGTAGAGAAGCAGACGGAAAGACGAGCAAAATTCCAAGGCTTTTCTTACAGCCTGAGCGAATCCTTTCAGAAGATAAGTTTATTGCCCTTTACACAAAGTTGGGCCCGCGTTTCAATCGTTTTATCCATGTCAGCGGAATCTATGCAGCCGGTACCCAAAGTACCTGATTGGGCATATGATAGTGACGAAGATCACAAGTATGATGCCTTGTGCGATCAGGCTTGGACACTTATACATGCCGGGTTGTCATCACCGTCGGTCAACCTTCAAGGCGGTAAGCAAAGACAAAAATTAACGTCTCCTTTTGCATCCATGTTCATCTGAATAACCGGTTGCCACAGGAGCTGGGTCTCTCCTCGCTGTCAACCGAGAGCAGCAGCATCCCGTTGCCGATGCATCCGCGACAGCTGCGGTGGTGATCACAATTGCAGAAATGGCCGAGCCCGATGCGAAACGGGCCGCCACCCTCGGAGCCACTAACGTTGACAAGTCGGCGGGGCTTGCACCCGAATCCCACAGCGGCAAGGATTACAGGGGTTTGGGGCCGTCACCAGTCCTACTGCGCCAGATCCAGCACTACAACTTGCGACCAGGCAGATACGCCTGCAACCCCGAGAACAGTGTAGGTGACAGCCTTTCAGTCGACAACTTGGGGTTTGGCGACCCGCGGCCAGAACCGGAACATGGATCTGGTGAGACCTGTTACCATCGTTAGCCTACCGACTTGCCCCTTATACCTCTCCTTAACCGTCGCGCAACTCTGATGTGTAGGCATGGACAGCGAAGCCCAGGCCGCTCCGTCCCAGGACCTTCCCAAGAAGCCAACAGGGCTTGAGCCGCTGGTTGCTGAAAAGAACGCTCGTACTCCGTCAAGGCGCTGCGGCCCATCGCCCGTCCTGAAGCGCCACATCCAGCGCTACAGCCTACGGCCGGGCAGCAGCGGCGGTAGCAAGGAAAACAACCCGGGTCCAGACGACGGTTCACTGGTAGCTGGAACAAGCATGGGCCTCCGGCTTGCAGGTCCTGCGGCTGGGCCGTCGCGGTCGGTACGGCCCCCAAGCAGGGTACGGCATCAACAAACTTCCCACGCCGCCGCCACCGCCGGCGAGCGCAACGCCAGGGCTCACGGGCCGAGCGGTGTGCAGGCCGCAACGCCAGCAAGAAATGCCACAGTCACCCCCACACGCCCCTCCCGGACCCACAACACCGCCTCGAACTGCACCGCACAGCTGCAGCGCACGCCACCGCCAGCCGCCCAGCGCACGCCTCCCTCACAGCGCAGGCTAGACGCCACACAGGCAGCGGCGGCCCAGCAGCAGCCGCAACTGCGCCCGCGCGGGCTAGCGCTGGTGCGCCAGGCGGCGACCTACAGTGCGGCGGGGTCCTGCCCGGGTGCCGCTGACGAGGCCTACGCGGACATCGTGGCCCGGTCTGACCCGGATATGGCTCGGCGGCTGGAGGCGGTGCTGCTGGTGCAAGACCTCCTGCTCGCTCTGGTGGATGGGGTGGTGGAGAGCACCGAGCAGGGCGGCGGACCGCACCGCGTCGCACAGGCTGCGGAGCGCGGAGCCGGACGGCTGCAGCATGTGGAGAGACGGGCGGCGGCGGTTGCGAGCGGTGTGGTGAAGGAGAGCGAGGGCATGGTGGAGGGGCGGCAACCGGGTTGCCGTTGTGTCATCATGTGAGGATGGCCAGCTGCAGTCCGCGGTGTGGGTACCTGTGGCTGGGTACCGGTAGCTGGGTATGGTGTATAGTTATAATGCTGATGGTTCTTCGAGTAGGTATCCGGTGTGTCCTGTTTGAAATGAATGTGGGTACGACTCTCCGGACAGTATGTTCCCGTACAGGATTACAGTACGGCCATCATGCATGCTTACGCAAGGCTAACGGCCATCATGCATGCTTACGCAAGGCTAGCTCCTGAGTACGCCTGTTCCTATTCATGAGACCTTACACAAGGTTCGTTCGTGTCATGTGTATGTGCTACTGTGCTGCAATGTGGATGCGCGGCAGTGTTTTATTAGCTAAGTGCCTTGCAGGTATCTTTATTCCGGGGGGATCTGACCGTGTAGGCAGGCAGAACGTTAGGAGGTTGTCAGCTGGTATCCCAGCAATGTGCGAACCGTACCTTGAGGGTACGCAGAGCGGAAAGGTGTGTACGGATGACGTGCACGTGTTGGCTAGCCATTCATGCGGCGTGCGGGTTTCCACCACACCTTTTCTTTAGCATGGCATCTTGCCTGACTATCACACGTTAAGATGTATCCATGAGGGGCCGGATTGGTTCGGTGCGCCCGCGGTCCCAGCGAGGACATGGGAAGTGTATTCATGGCTATGTACGCAGGAAACTTGGCAGGCAATGCTGAATGGCGTTAGGAGTGTAGCATGTATGTTAAGGAAAGGAGGCGGCTATAGGTTTAGGCACTGACACATGCGTTACCACCGGGACCGTGTGCGCGTGGAAGGTTTTGGGGTCCAGGTAGTATGCGATTATACAGGGGAGTTAGGACGTCCAGGTAGGGTGCAGTGACGGAGAGGCAAGGGTGCGGTGTACGACACATGGCAGTGGCAATGGGGAGTACTATATCAGACAATGTTTGCATTGTCGAGGGCTTTTAGGTGGATTGGAAAGAGCGGGCTTGTAGGGACTTGTAGGTGGACTGGAAAGAGCGGGTCTGTAGGGGCTTGCGGGCGGATTGGAAAGAGCGGGCATATGGGCCACGGAACGGACGTTAGCTATCCTGGAAAGCGTAGCTTAGCTGACTTCAGTGTTAAGATGTCTAATCCTAGCACGAAGGCAAAACCTGGTTGCAAGGGTATCCTCTGGACTGTTGCCAAGTTCAACACTCCCATGCCTACACCTCGACCAACCATGCGACACAAACACTCACTGCATAGCAGACCGTACCAGCGCCGTCTTGGGTTGCGGCGTGCTACTAAAAGTGAATTGTCCCCTCCCAGGGGCGGCCTACCAATCCTGCCATGCATCGCTCAATTCCTCACACCCAAAAGTAGCTCATCCCCTCATACCGGTAACACATGACTCTCTCCTCCCCAGCTGCATGCAAGCGAGCACCGCCCCGGCCCAGGGGCCATCTAGCCTGCCAACTGTGCTAAAGGGTTTAGATCTGCCCCCGCAGCTGCGCATACCCTTCCTAGACATAATTGCTACGAGGCTTCCGCGCTTTCAGCCTCCAAAGCAAATTTTGCGCTTAGGACACCAAGCATGCGCTACCAAATGTTTTCTTACTTTGTGCATGGAGTACATATGACATTCATCATGACAAAGACCAGCCTCTAACCTACATACATATCTGTAATTCTGTACACATGGGTCATTTGAAGTCATACATGCGTTCGAGGGAGTCGAGGGTACACACGACCTACAGCACCGTGCCTCAAACCCATCCTACTGGCTTTCAAAATACACATCAATGGTGGGGCCCTGCCGAGCATCCCCGGCCCGCGCACCCCGTCCTGCGCCAGGCCTAGGCGGGTACGGCTGCCCCCGGCCGCCATACCCAGGCGGGTACCCCTGCCGGTAGCCCCGCGGGTCCGCGGCAGGGCCGGCGGAGAAGCCTCCCACGTCGCCATAGCCGCTGTAGCCGCCTTGCCCGAACTGACGCGGATCCGCTTGACCGGGGCCGCTGAAAGGTGGCGCTGCGGGGACACAGAGCAGGAGCCAGCATTACTGCATTAGTAAGGCCGGCTAGACTGCTGGACAGATCTGGACAAAACCTCCTACAGCTACCGTATATGCACTTTGCGAGGCATCGTAGGCTTTGTAGGCTGTAGCATGAGTGCACACACGGCAAAACCGCTTCATAACGACCAGCCCCATCCGCGGTGGTACACAGCCACAAGCGACAACTCATGCAATGCACTGCGGCTACTGCCTCCCTGGCCATGTGCCAGTTCCCCGCACTCCAGCCGCCCCAGCCTTGCCTGTCTGCGCTGCTCCGCGGCCGGCGACGCTGGCGGGCAGGAAGGGCAGGTGCACGCCGAACACCTGGTTCGCCGCGTACACCGCCAGCACCAGGGTGCCCACCGTGAGCACCAACTGGCGGGGGGGGGGGGAGGGGGAGGCGGCAGCAGGCGGGGGCAGAAGCTGGTGCGGAAGGGAGGCCAAGTGGGCAAGGATGAGAGCCCCAAACACATCATGTTCCTATGCGCGTCGGTGAGCGGCTGATCTCCCCCTGCCTGCCTGTTGACAGTTCCAGGTGCTCATGCAGCCTCCAAATCTCACACCTCTTAATACATAGTACAGTATGCCAAGGGGCCAACTGTGTCATCCGCGCAGCAGGTGCTTACCGCCAGGACGCTTTGCAGCAGCGCCAGACCAAGCAGCGCCAGCGCACCCTTGACGCTGTTCTCAACCTGGGGCACGAGGAGGATGTGCAGCATGCAACCCCGTTAGGCCACAGCAAACGAGTCAGCACCAGCCCGGCACTATGAGCGAAACCACTGGCTAAGTGCCTGGACGCGCTGCAGTGGCAAGGTGTGCCGAGGGCAACACGGAACCAGCCGCCGGCTCCTCACCTAATCCAGGCAAACGTCACGTTACGAAGTTAGCTTATCTTTTTGGATTTGCATCCCGGCCCAGGTATTCCATGCCCCAGCCCGGTGCATGCATTGGGCGCACGCAATCGCAAGCCCCCTGCCAGCCCCGCCACCCAACCCACCGCTCTCCGCTTGACATGTGCCGGTAAGAGGGACAGCGCAGTGTCAGACAGCATGGCGACCACGAACCCCAGGCCGCCGTTCACGGCGTCCACTGCGGTGCGAACTATCTCCGACAGGGGATCACCATCCTGCACAACCCATAAGCCAAGAAAGCAGTGCAGCATAGTAAAGCGTTCAGATTAGCACGAAAAGCCCTGTTTAGCCGCAAGCCGCGGATACACCCGCACGTTTACTATGGTCACATGCCAATGAATGGAAGCAAAACACAAGCCCAATGCGGTCCATTAGGATCCAGACATTAAACGGCGTCTTGCCCCTAGTTGACATCGACCATGACAAGAAGCCCACCTGGTCATAGCTAGTGCTGGGGCCCTCGGGGGCTCCGCCCTGTTGGGGATGGTGCCTGCGAGGCCCAGCTGCGGTCGCCCGTGGGTCGGCATATGGCCCCGATCCTACACTCCATTCAGGGGCCGCCTGATAACCTCCGTAGCTCCATTCTGGCGCTGCAGCCGCACATCCCCGCTTGCAAGAGCAAAGGTTTGGCACACCATGCAGCATGGGCTGGTGCACTACCAGCCTGTCCCTACGCGATCCAGTCCTAATTATTCCCCATACATGCGAGCCTCTGCCACTCCTACTAGTAGTGCAAATGCTGGGTGCTGTTGGTGGCTGAAAGAGTCCAAATGTCCCCATGGAAACGCGTTTCAGGCTAATCTACAAGTGCTTTGCACAGCCTTCGTTTTATGCATCTAGCTCAAAGCATAGAAACGTAAGAACAGATAGCAAAACGGACTGGATTGAATGTCCTCCCTCCCTCCCTGGAAAGTACGGCATCGCCAGCCTCCCGCATGCTGCAAAACTTTCAGAGTTGCACCTCGCTCTCCCTCTTCCTCTGCCCCGTGACCGTGAGGTTAGCGACATTTGCCAAAAATGGTGAGCATATACAGCGGCGGCGTTGCACAGTCGGCGGCGCATGCTTTGGCGCGACTAAGCATACTTAACCTAGAAATGCCTATTTACCTGCTAAGATACTAGAAGATGTATATGGCTGGCATAGTAATGGTTTTGCGGCTGCCAACAGGGTCGTGTTCGCACCAAGACCGTCAAGAAGGCCTCTCGTGTCATTATCGAGAAGTACTATGGCCGCCTCACGATGGACTTCGACACCAACAAGCGTGTGTGCGAGGAGGTGGCGCTGATTGCCACCAAGCGGCTCCGCAACAAGATTGCCGGCTTCACCACGGTGGGAAATGGAGAGTGTCCGGCGCAGTGCACGCGACGAATTACTGATCACTGTTTTCTCTTACTCGCAGCATCTGATGAAGCGCATTCAGCGCGGCCCTGTCCGGGGTATCTCCCTGAAGCTCCAGGTGCGAAGCATCGTGTTGCCTCTTTCAGTAGGGCATGTCTGCAGTTTAAAAGCTTGAAGGGCAAAGCTTCTTATGTGAAGAAGCTTAAGGCTGGCAAGCCGGGGCTTTACGGAGTACAGCGGCTTTGGCAGCAGCTCGAGGACCTTTACTGAATCGCTAAGAACGCAGCCGCATGATACCCGGCGGCCGAAGCAGGAACAGCAGTTTGACAACTCACTGGCGCATGGGTTCCAGCCCCGCAGTCAGCCGCAGGGGAGAGGGCCAGGCTTGCAGTTGCCAACCGGAGGACCTAGGGTTACCCCGCCATCCAGTGCACCAGGATGTTGACGAGCATGGACCCATCTCGGATGGGTATTGTTTCACCTGAACGGGTTATCGTGCAGTGTGATACTCTCCACCTCCTCATTGTCAATGCTGAACCGGGAGGATATGTCCCTCTCGCAGGAGGAGGAGCGCGAGCGGCGCATGGACTTCGTGCCCGAGGAGTCGGCCATCAACACCCTGGCCATTGAGGTGGGCGCATTCGGGGTGGGATTCAGCATGGGAGTTTGTGTAAAAAAGAAGGGGGCGGATTGGGGGGGGGGGCAACAGGGTGGGGGTGTTACTAGGAGGTGAAGGGCCTAGAAATAGGAGTAGGAGCGCCTTACTGGGCGCCAATATCTTGGTTATGGATATCCGTTGCGCTTCACGGCAACCGCGGCGTGACTGGTGATGAGCTGCCATTGGGTCCCGGCTTCAAACCAACATTCAAACGCATGCTGGGTCGTTTGGTTTCAGCGAATAGGGTCCCGTCAGAGATCGCCTTGGGGATGGTGGGCTTTGTAATGGATTTGGAGGAGATCAACTGTAGAGCTCGCGAGCGACCGGCGCAGCTTGATTGATGGGGTACTGTTTGCAGCGCCATGCACCCATTGCATCCTTGCTCGGGTATGCATGTGCCCGCCGCTGCACGTTTTTCCCATTGCTTCACTGATATACCGTACGGCACAACGCTATGCAGGTCGACAAGGACACCCTGGACATGCTCAAGTCCATGAACATGGGCACCCTGTCGGGCGTCCAGCTGGCGCAGGTATGGGCGGCATAGTAAAGGGGCTGGTGGGGGAGACGTGTTGCGTAGCTTAGTCTGCACCGCCCCAAGGACGGGCACGGGCCAGAGCCGTGCATGCACTCCGCGTGGAGGTGCTAGTCCAGCGCCTTAACTGGTACCTGGTAACAGTCTTGCTCCACATCGCGCTAATCCGTGTGTCTTTCCACTTGTTTCTCCCTTTTCCCAACAGCCCCAGACCGGCTACAAGCCCTATGGCGGCAACCGCGACCGCGGCAACAAGCAGTAAATGGTCTCCTTGGGGCAGGCTGTAACTACTCGCGCGTGCTTTGGATGAATCGTCCGCAGCGTTCTTGGGCATATCGCATGCGTCAGCCCATCTTATCGCACACTTGACACCAGAACCACGTCCAGCGCAGCCATGTATGTTCAGCACTGTCAGCTCCTTAGTGGAAACCCTTTCAATCGCCCCCCTATTGACCAGTGGTGTCGCTTGAGCGTACATGAGAATGGCTGCAAGAACACTTTTTGTCCGCTTGTGGGGCAAGACGCATAGAGGATTAAACATCAGGAGCTACTCTATTAGTTGCAGTAATTGGTGCATGGTTAGGGCCGACGCTGTTGACCCATGCGTACGCGTATCCCAAAGTATAGCTGGGGCTCGACATGCACCTACGACAGCTATACGTCGTACAGGGTGCCTGATGCTTGCAGATCAACCACCTTTCAAAACATACGCTGCATGCAGAGCTATGCCCTTGCTGTGAGGCAAATTTGTAACGGGCATCGTCAGACCGGGGAGAGAGGCTGATATGGTAAAGTATTGCCGCACTTGTTGGTTTGTCCATGCACAAGTGCAACATACCGTGGCCTGTTGCTGTGTCCTACACACACAGTGTCCATAGCTATTTGTAAACAGATTTTATTAGGTACCAGTTATGTGCGTTCCTGGTTAGAGCAGGATTCTGTCCATTACCAACCCACACGTCGAAGGGTTATCGAAACTGCCGTTCATGCATCTTCTCCCAATATATAGAAGTACACACTAATTACTACCAGGACCACACTTACCGGCAATATATATACTCAAGCCTTTGGGACGCTCTCTTCTGGGACCCAGCATCACACACGCTCGTTTTGCCTAGGGGCAAACTTGTCATATTATCTCTTTAAGTAACTCCGCTACCCTTACTAGCACACACGTCTTGCGGTTATAACTACGCATAGAAAATGTCGTCTGTAGACCGCGTCGCTTACATGGACAACACAAGGAGCAGTCAGATCACAGAACAGATTCTACGAGAGAAAGGCATACAACGAAAATACTTTCAGGAGCAGGAGGCAGCCGGACGCATCGTGCCTAAGCCGCCCACACCCCCACCTGTTCACAAGTCCCTGCTGGAGACGGTGGGCATCCCAGAGCACGTGAAGACCATTAGGCAAGACCCTGAACAGGTGAGGCGAAGCTGGCGTTTCGCCTAGCTGTAAGGGGTCCTTGCTCTTGCCAACCAACCTACCAAAACTGCAGGCCTTGAGCTTGAGTATCAGCAAACACACGTGGAAGGCGAACCCGGGGTATATCGTCCGCGACGGGGCGACAACTGCCTCGGTTATGAAGAAGGACTACGTGTGGGATGAGGAGGAGGTAAGCTTCGGTCAGCCCGCAAGTGTGGAGAAGGGTTGGTGCCGTGCTCTCGTCGTACAGCACCAGCCTTTCGCTGTGGGAAAAGCAGCTTACTTCCCCTTTGGTTCCTCTGCTGCCCCCTCCTGTGCGTTTGTCCAAGTCGAGCATACAAATTTCATCGTACCCCCGTGCTGAACGGTCCCACAGGTGCAGCTCATGAAGGAGCAGGGCTACCTGGATAAGAAGTTCAACCGGCGGCGTGATGACTTCGTGGACTACTGCGAGGCCTCCGCCCGCATGACCCACCTCATGAAGGGGCCCGCTGTGTCCAAGTAAATGGGCAGCAGAGCATTTAGGTGTTTTGGAACTGGGCATGATTATAGCTTAGCAGGCGGGCCCTTCCCTGCTGGGGGAGAGCATGCAGTTCAATGCGTAAGGGGCAATATGAGGAGGCTGCGCATTGACTGCTGGAACCCAACTTTCGTAGGTGGATATCTTTTTCTTCGACCGCGTAGGTCTTTCCTGGGATAGCAGGGTAGGCTGTCAACGAAACACACGACAGCACGTGGGCAGCTGTGCAGGTAGATCGTGCGGGTCTGCGGGTAGCTGTGTATATACTACTTTCTTCCTTCTGTGAGCTGGCCAAGAGCGGATGTGCCTTCACTGCTTGTGCATTATTCATTAGGTAGCAAGGCTGCGGCGGTGATTATTGATCAAATGTAGGCAGATGACGTGAAGGCCACTCATGCTGTACTAGGGCTGCTAATCTATGTGTGTGGAGACATCGAAGTTTAGGGGCTCTTTAGTGGATACGATTAGCATCCCAAACCATGTCCTCCCCTCTTATGTGGTCGCATCACCCCGGGGTAGACTCGCTAAATAGTGTGACGGAATAAGTGCCTCCTCAGCATTATGAGGCATGATTGGCACCAGACAAGCTAAGAAGCCTCACCAGTGAGGCTTTCGGCTATGGTCAGCTGCGTGCCGGAGTGTAAGATGTACGGAGCGTGCTGTACATCATCGGTCCATGTAACCCATCATGTGCAATAGTGCATTAGTCTTCTTGCACCCAAGCATGCTTACAGCTAATACTCTTTTTTTGTAAGACCGCAACCTGGACCGCACCACGGATGTAGCCCACAGTCGTCAGCTTCTTACCCTCAACAAGCCGAAGGAAACAAGCCTTCCTAGGTTTAATATGGCCACCAAGCGGAAGTTAACGGAGGATGTCACTGTGGAGGGTGGCGAGCTTGATACATCTAACCATGCCCACATCATTCCTTTGGGAGCGGGATCGGAAGTGGGGCGCTCGTGTATCATCTTTAAATATCAGTAAGCTATTCCGCGGTTGGCTCTGCGTATGGAATACGTGTTGATCGCCGGCTTCTCGCGCACAGGGACAAAACGGTGATGTTCGACTGCGGCATCCACCCCGCCTTTAAGGGTATGGACAGCCTGCCCTTGCTGGACACTATCGACATCGATACTGTTGATGTTGCTCTGATCACACACTTCCATCTGGACCACTGTGCGGCCGTACCATACCTCCTCCGCAAGACCCGCTTCAAGGTGCGATGCTAGCGCATATCTTTTTACTACCAGCAACATGCGCGAAGCCTCAGTCTGGCAACCACACACCTCTCAGGCTCGCATAGCTCCGTCCCAACCATGTTGACTGCTCCCCATCCATCCATGGCGCACGCAGGGTCGCATCTTCATGACCCACCCCACCAAGGCCATCTACTACTCCCTGCTGCGCGACCTGGCCAAGGGCGCCAAGCACAGCAGCGACGAGGCGCTGTTCAACGAGGACGACCTGGACGCCTCCATGGAGCGCATCGAGGTGGTGGACTTCTACCAGACCATCGAGGTGGCGGGCATGCAGGTGAGGCACGCAAGCACCCAGTCGGGCAGCAGCAGCGGAGCACCCCGGACCTGGGATCCGACTGACGTGGTGCCCCTGGCGCCTTGTTGCCGGGCAGACCCACATGACACGGTTAGCGGGGTAGCACTCACAGCTTCCGTAACAGCCGAACGGGCTGCCTATCCGCGGCTCCCTACTGCATGCCAGCCATTTGCACACATCCAAAGCACTGCGAAGCAACTGCTTTATCCTCCATGCACTCCATGTCCTCCCCTTCCACGCCCCCCCCCCCCGCTCTCCCTCTCCCCTACCGCCTACCTACCCACCCCTACCTACGACGCCTTATCACACGGTCAGTTAGTTGCCTCCTCTTTACCCCTACCTACCCCTACCTACCTCCCCCCTCCCCCTACCACCCCGCCCCTAGATCACCCCCTACCGGGCCGGCCATGTGATCGGCGCCGCCATGTTCCTAGTGGAGGTGGCGGGGCTGCGCTGCCTCTACACAGGCGACTACTCGCGACTGCCGGACCGCCACCTGCCAGCGGCGGACATTCCGCCCGTCACCCCGCACATAGGTGCGTCGCGGCGCGTAATGGGGAGACGTGGGTCGCCGGGTGTGAGGGTGTGACGGCCCAGCAAGCTGGACAGGCCAGGCCACCGTCTGCCCTTAAGCCCTCCTGCTCCTGCTCCGGCTACTTTAGCAGTCCTATAACCCGCTACTCGCACGCGGATACCACTTCCTTGGCATCAACTTCTTCTTCTTTTCCTGTTCGTTTCCTGACATGCAGACACGCCGCGCTCCCTTTTGACCCTCCCTGCGCCCCGCATCACCCCACCCCTGTGTTTTACACGCCCCCCGCTCCCCTCCCCCGCAGTGATCGTTGAGAGCACGTACGGCACCAGCCGCCACCTGCCCCGGCAGCAGCGCGAGCAGCTGCTGCTGGACACCATCCGCACCACCCTCAACCGGGGCGGCAGGGTGCTGATGCCGGTGGTGGCGCTGGGCAGGGCGCAGGTGAGGGAGGAGGTGGCAGTGGGAGGGGGGTCAGGGATTGGGAGGTGGGGAAGGGGAGGCGTTATGGCGATCCGGGGCTTGGGATGCTTGCGTGCCATGCCAAGCGGTGAGCAGGCGGGGGTTAGCGAGAGGGTGGGCGGGGGTTGCGAAGCATGCGTGAACGCGCATGCATGGGGAAGGTGGCGGCCCGATGATGATCTTACATTTAATGTCCAATTGCTGTCAGACACACAGCCATGGTGACGCTATAACACAGATCTGAGGGTACCGATTTATTGACAGGGTTTACTGACAGGGTTTACCTTTTGGGGCGGCTGAGGTTTTCAACACATGCTCAGAAACGCACGCATGGTTCACGTGGCAATCCTATGATGATCCTACATTTTATGTTTAATTGCTGTCAGACACACAGCCATGGTGACGCTATAACACAGATCTGAGGGTACCGATTTATTGACAGGGTTTACTGACAGGGTTTACCTTTTGGGGCGGCTGAGGTTTTCAACACATGCTCAGAAACGCACGCATGGTTCACGTGGCAATCCTATGATGATCCTACATTTTATGTCCAATTGCTGTCAGACACACAGCCATGGTGACGCTATAACACAGATCTGAGGGTACCGATTTATTGACAGGGTTTACTGACAGGGTTTACCTTTTGGGGCGGCTGAGGTTTTCAACACATGCTCAGAAACGCACGCATGGTTCACGTGGCAATCCTATGATGATCCTACATTTTATGTCCAATTGCTGTCAGACACACAGCCATGGTGACGCTATAACACAGATCTGAGGTTTCAACACTACACGGTTGCTGTAGCTGCATGTCAGCATGTGTTCCCGGGGCGGCCCCCGCAGCCCCGGCATCCGGGGGGCGGGGGGGTCCGCTGCTGCGGGAAAGCGCGCAGGGATGCGGGGGCCGGGGTGGGGCTGGCTGACGGGTGGCCATCCGCTGATGATCCCACACACTTTTATGTCCAATTGCTGTCAGACGACACACAGCCATGGTGAAGTTATACGGATCTGAGGATGCGCTCTTACGCCAGCGGGTGACGTGTGCGGTGCCTCGCTCCTTTCCTAGCCTTCCATGCACTCTGTGCGCAGTCCGCTGATGACGTCACACGAGTGTCGTATTGTCCAATTGCTGTCAGACACACAGCCATGGTGACACGCTCCGTATCTGAGGACCCTACCTATCTAAGGACCATGCTGGCGTCCATCCTTGCATGACCTGCATTGCCGGCTCTGCATGTCGGGCTCCGTTTCGGGCTCCATGTCCGTTTCCACACACTGCCCTACGGTACTGCTTCTTATCACCTGCGGCACCCCCGCAAAGACGAGCACCTGAATCCACTGTACCGCCCAACATCGCTCCCGGGATGACTCAACATGCCTTTCCTGTCCAATTGCTGTCAGACCCAAATCGCTTATGGTGACACAGCTAAAGAAGTCTGAGGAGCGGCACTCCCCCCCTGCACCTGCTTCCCCCCTGCACCTGCTGCTGGTGCCCGCATGCTCGCCCAAGGCAGCTGGCACCTCACCCGCCTACTGCTCTCTTTTAGGCATCATTCTGATGCTACCTACCAACCGTCGTCTGGTCTGCATTCTCATTCAACGCATTGGGATTCCCTCCCCCCTGGCGCCCTTCCCAGGAGCTGCTGCTGCTGTTGGATGAGTTCTGGGAGGCCCACAAGGGCGAGCTGGGCGGCATCCCCATCTACCAGGCCTCCTCCATGATGAGCAAGGCGCTGGGGGTGTACCAGACGTACGTGGAGTCGCTCAACGACGACATCAAGCGGGTCTTCCATGTGGGTCGGGGGGGGAGGGGGGGAGAGGGAGGGGGTGAGGAGGGGGATAAAGTAAGGAAACTGACGAAATGTAGGGGGTGATGAGGGGGGGGGGGAGAAGGTGGTGAGGCATCCAGGAATGGGGAAAGGGGAAAAGAAGAGTACTCAATTGGTTGAATGATGGAAGGAGTGGGGAGAGGGGAGGTAGAAGCAGGGTTCGGTTGCGTGCATGGTGAAGGGGACGGGGCAGAGCATGTGACGGGGCAGAGCATGTGAAGGTGATACCGGCCTTACCGGTATGGGGGCTTTTCCTACATGTTGGCAGCACCCTCTTCTTTGCAGGCCCAGCTCGACCTCCAACATCCCTCCTTGCACCGTGCACACTGCCATGTAAGCGCCCCTCCACGTTCGCCCCGGCCCCCCCCGCAGGACCGCAACCCCTTCAAATTCCGCCACGTGCAGACGTTGAAGAGCCCCGCGCACTTCATCTCCGACTACTCCGGCCCCTGCGTCATCATGGCCACCCCCTCGGGGCTGCAGTCGGGCGCCTCGCGGGACTTCTTCGAGGCCTGGTGCGAGGACGCGCGCAACACCTGCATCATATGCGACTTTGCGGTGCAGGTGGGGGCGGTGGGAGGTGGCGGGGGGGGCCGGGGTCGGTTTCAACGGGTGGGGAGATCGAGATGAAGATGGAGCTTTTGGTGGGGTTGATAGGAACGAACATTCCGCATGAGGCTGGATGGCCATGCATGGAATAGCGGGTGATGGGTGGCGGTGAGGTTGCAGCGCGGTCAGCAGGTTGGATGGGGCATGACCGCAAGAGTGCGCCTGCGGGCTGCTTGCAGCAAGGCACGAACAGCGGGTGAAAAGCTAGGCCCTAGGATCGTTTAGTGAAGAGATGCCCGACCAGGGCAGTTGATGTAGGAACGCCCAAGCGGAAGCGTTGATTGTAGGAGAAGCGCACCAAAATAGGAGGTGGTGGGCGATCAGGTTCAGAAAACTTCCTATTTTGGTGCGCTTCTCCTACAATCAACGCTTCCGCTTAGGCGTTCCTACAGCCGGAACAACACCTAGCTTGGTGCTACAACAGTGGGTGCTCCAGTAGGCACGCCATGTGTCCGTATTGGGAGGGTGAACACCTCTATTAACCCCCCCGCGCCGCTGCCTGTGTGCGTGCAGGGCACTCTGGCCAAGGAGATCCTGGGGGGGCCAACCTCCATCACGACGAGAGAGGGACGCAGGGTAAGTGCTGTGTCCTTTGGACGCGGAACACCAAAGCTCAGAGCAAGGAACGCCCGAGTATGTCACGCCTCAGCCATCCGCACACGTCCTATTCTTCCCTTCATACCTACTAGGACCCACTACCACCGCCTGGCTCTCATTCACCCGCCTGACCCCCCCCCCTGCTCCAGCGCTCCAGCCCAATTCATCCAACTGGGCCTTTCATCCCCCGCCCTTACGCCACCACCCCCGCCCCGCCCCCGGCCCCCCAGGTCCCCCTCCGCATGTCCGTCCACAACATCTCCTTCTCCGCGCACGCCGACTTCGAGCAGACCTCCACCTTCTTAGACACCGTACGGCCGCCCCACGTGGTGCTCGTGCACGGGGAGTACAACGAGATGCGCAAGCTGGCGAAGGCGCTCAAGGACGGAGCCAAGGCGGCGGGGGTGGCGAGGGAGGTGTACACACCCGTGCTGGAGCAGACAGTGGCGGTGAGCTGGGGGGCTGCTGCTGGGGTGTGTGCATGGCGGCTGTCTTGGAATGAGGGGCTTACTTGGACGGGGGGTAAGGCGGGTGGAGAGAAGCGGTAGTAAACGGTACACTGGGGAGGACAGTCAGGTCAGTCACCGTGCTGCTGGCACACCGTACTGAGGGAGAGGAGGCCCTTGGGGAGTTCGTGTGGTGGGCTTTGCTATGCTGCTTGCAGCACGCAGCCCTGTTCAGATCGCCAGCGACTTTGCGTGTTTGCTGCACACGCGCCCGCTAGACACACCAGCTACCCTTGCCACCTCTCCCTCTTCCCACCCCCTGCCCCCCACCCCACCCCCTTGTGCCCTCCACAGATCCAGCACACACCCGACCGCAGCGTGCGGCTGCAGGGCCGGCTGGGCGAGAAGCCGCCTCGCGAGGGCGCGGTGGTGCGCGGTGTGCTTGTACGGCAGGCGGGCGGCTTCAGCCAGCAGCTGCTGCACCCGGACGACCTGCCGGCCTACACCAAGCTGCTCAAGGGGCGCGTCACGCAGCGGCAGGCGCTCAGCGTGGGCGTGCCCTTCTCCGTGATCCGGCTGGCGCTGGAGGTGATGTTCGAGGGCGTGGAGGGCGCGGGTACGCTGCCGGTGACGTCGGTGGCGGGTGCGGCCGGCAAGGTGAGGAGGGGAGGCGGGTGCAGGCGGAGAGGGAAGGGGGATATGCTGCTGTGCGCTGTTCTTGGCGGGGCCGGCCATGTGCTCAGCGTGCAAGTTCGGACGTAAGTTGCTTTTGGTGTATTTTGGTATCCTTCGTGTTTCCCACGGCGACTGTACCCGGTTTTGTCCCTTCGATGCCTCCCCACCGCCCCCTGCTCCCGCTCCCCACCGCCCCCTGCTCCCAGGGCGGGGAGGTGCTTGCAGTGGTGGTGGGTGACACGGTGACGGTGCGCTACGTGCCGGCGGACGACGCCGCGGGGGTGGACTCGCATGTGGTGCTGGAATGGGAGGGCGGGCGGCAGGGGGACATGGTGGCGGATGCGGTGATTGCGGTGGTGCTGCAGGTGGGGCAGCAGGCGGGGAGGGGGGAAGGGGGAGTGCCGCTGTGGGTGTTCACAGCAGGGAGGGAGGGTTTGGGAGCAGGCGAACAGCTGACTCATGCATGCTTGCATGTAGGATTTGGTTAGGGTGTCATGGACGCTTAGGGGCGGCATGGATGTACTGTTAACCCGTGTGTCGATTGGCTGGTAAGGTTTGTGTGATTTTGAACTGCATTACCTCTTGACCCACTGACACGCTGACCCGTGGGTCGTACCCCGCCCCTGCAGACCGCGGGCGAGCCCCCAGCGGCCGCCAGCGCCGAGTCAGCCATGCTGGCGGCTCGTGCCGCGGGCGACGAGGCGGCCGCCAGCGCCGCGGAGCTGCACCTGATCGCCGCACTGCTCCGGAGCCAGTACGGCCCGGCGGCGGTGGACGAGGCCCGCGGCGTCATCAACCTCACGGTGGACGGGGCGGCTGCGGTGGTGGACCACCGGGAGGGGAAGGTGCTGTGCGGGGAGGCGGGGCTGAGGGGGCGCATTGAGAAGAGCCTGGACCGGCTGGCGGCGGCCATTCGTCCCGTGGCGGTGGACCGGCCGCAGCGGTGAGAGGAGTGGTATGAGGGAGGGGTGCGGTGTGCTTGGGAGGACGGATACACTCGGCGATCAAACCTTGGCACGTACGACGGCGTGGTAATGGGTTGTTAGGTTAGTTGGTAGCTTGTACACTATGGTTGAGCTCATAGATAGGTGTCATAGGGCAGGTTCGGCAGGTTGGGTCTGGGTGCAGTGTCATTGCGGTTAGGAGCATGCAGGTTGGTTGACTGGCTGTTGTTTCTGGCTCCTTTCCCTGAAAGGATAGGGGTGTTGGCTGACGTGCATGGGGCTCACCTAGGGCTGGCCTGGACTGTACGATCAAGACAGCTGTGCTAAAGGGCGCAACAAAGGGCACAGCACTGGGTAACGAACCCCCGCACGTAACACTGTACACCAATTCTTAGTTGATTGCGTCCGTACAATCAATCTCATCGTGTACTTTCATACGTATGTTTCAGAGGAAACTCTTACACGACACCACAAAACACTGCGTCATCGGTTAGATGCACAACGGCAACGGGGAGTTCCAGCTTTGACAAAGAAAGGACAAGTCAGGAATACCGAAAGCAGCATCGCCGCCATCCAAGCGCAAGCAACATTGCTGTACGATAAAAATGCGTTGCGCAGGACAACAACTCCATGTAACCGTTGGTGGTCTATTAACGCCACAATCCGTTCTAACCAGAGCCCGGCTGTTGTCTGTAAGGGGATGGCAGCCATGCTGCCGCCCCACATCTGGACTCCCACTGATGTACCTAACCCCACTGCACCTGTCAGTCAGATATCTACCCGCTACACCCATTAAGCTGCCATCTGGCGCACCCTCCTCCGCCAAGCACCTGCAAAGCCTTCTACGACGTCTAAAATGTTTCTGGGTCAGCGGACGGCTCCTGCTATATGGCCCGTTGCGGCAGCAGTGCACAACCGGCTTGCGTTCTCCACACCACACACGCACTCGTTCACTAGATGCAATTGCACCCGCCATTCCTCCCTTTCTCTCCCCCTCCCGTTCCAACAACCCGGGCCAACCCAGCCCTTCCCGTACACATCCCCTCGCCCATGCAAAGCGCCCTCTTTGCAGTCCCCTCCCCTCATCCCCCCACGGCATTACGCACCCGCCGCCTCCTCCAATCCGACGCTTCCTACGAAGCTCCCTGCTACCCTCCCTGCCTTGTGCTTACGCTTGCTGACGATCCGCCCCCCGCACTGCCGCTCTCCCGGCGGACCTCCTCGCGGCTAGCTTACGGCTTTGCGCTACCCACAACGGTGTTTGCGAGCACGTAGGTGCGGACGGAAAGCACCTTGGCCTTCTCGATCAGCTGCTCGTGCACCGACTGCGACTGCGTGCCCATGACCACGGTCCCCGACTTGGAGTCAATCTTAGCGTTCAGCTTAGCGTTCAGGATGAGGTTGGCGATCCACTTCTCCGCCGCCTCCTGGTCCATGCCCAGCCGCTCTGCCAGCAGCGCAATGGAGATGGACTGGTGTATCCGGCAGTACGTCTCAAAGATGAACAGCCGCGCGTTCTCAATGAACTCGTCCTTGTAGGCTGCGAGGAAGAAGTCGTTGTCCAGCACCGCCTCGCACTCCTTGAGCTTCTGCTGCGCACCGTCAAAGTCGTAGTGCACAAACACGCACTCCAGGAACTGCGTGACGGGGTCGCTGTACTCGTACGACTCCTGCTGGATGGCGCGGATGAGGTCCTTGAGCACGCTGCGCTGCTTCTTCTTGTTGATCACCACCCCCACGGCCACGTAGCGCAGCAGGTGCGGAGCGTTGATCTGGATGGCTGAGAGGTAGGCGGGCGACAGGAAGAGGTCGATGATGTCGTTGCGGCCGTTCTCGTGGTTCCAGAACACGTACAGGGACCAGTGCAGCAGCCACGTGCGCTGCTGCAGCTGCGCAAGCGGGGGGGCAAAGGTCTGGTTGTCGATGGCCTCCTTCAGCTTGAACACGTCCTCCCGGGCCTCCTGGATGTTGACCGCCTCGTGCATGAGGATCTCCGCTGCGAGCTTGCCCCAAAGCGCGCTCATGTTGCGCTCGCTGTTGGTGCACAGCGTGCGGTAGGACTGCAGCAGCTCAGCCGCCAGCGAGTAGTTGCCGCAGTTGAACTGGAAGCGCGCGTACTGGTACAGCGCCTCCACGTGCTCCGCGCCAATCTGGAACTCCTCCTGCAGGAACTGCAGGTTGAAGCTCTTGTCCTGGCGGAACTTCTCCACGACGTGCCTGTTCTGCAGGCACTTGATAATGGGGTCCACATCCGCTTGCAGCTGCCGCAGACGCGCCACAACCTGCGTGCGGCGCTCCTTCATTTCCTGCGGAACGTCGTCCACGCCGTTCAGACCCTTGTAGATGTCCATGGCGAAGTCCACCTGCGCGCGAAAAGGGCAGCCCGATGAGGACGTTTTGAAGCAGCCCGGCCATGCAAACAATGTAGTATGCATAGATCTAAAATATCTTATTGTGTGTGCAATTTTAAGGCCCGCACCATGTTTGTCTTATCAAGCAGCGCCAGCTTCGCCCGCAAGATGTCCTCCTCATTGTAAAGCCCGCGCTCCTGTAGGTACTCCATGATTGGCAGCGTCAAATGGAGGTCTAGATACTGCACTAGCTTCGAGGACAGCTCATAGTTCTGTGCCGCCGCCATCTTTGCGGGCTGCGCACTAGCGCGATAAAGCAAATAGTCGGCCAATTGAAAGCAGTGGTAAGGGATAGTAAGCTGTGCAAGCACAGCAACGAAAAGGAAGGAAGAGGTGCGGTCGTGAGACGACAATTCCGCCAGTTTGTACGGCGGAAATAGTTTCTATGCACTGTTAACATCATTCCGTGTTAACGGTATCTTAACTTAGATAGTATCGCATATCTACATGATCGGTGCTAATTGAATACCCCTCTGCCACCAAAGTTGTGGATCAATCCGGGCAAGCCATCCGCTGCAAATATCCTTTTCACTTCCAGCAGCGAGCATGGCAAACATCCTCGTAATTACGCCTATGCTGCCTTGTCATTAGCTACAAAACAATGGCATCCTCTGTGGTGGTATTGCCGCCGTCACCCAACTGGTCAGTACAGTGCTGGAACACCCCGCTGATGCCCTGGTCCACAGAGTTTCGACAAACTTGCCCCGCCACATGTGCACATGGTTACCAACCTCTTTCGGGAACTTCCCATTAGGTCCGGCCTTAAAGGCAGCTTGCGCAATCCCGCAACCCAGCCACCTTCCCGTCCCCATTCCCCCTCCCTTCGCCTGCTAAATCCCAGGTTTTGCAGCCAGGTGGTTTCGGTGCTGCCCAGTCATGAGCTGGTGGCGTACGGCGGCCACAACTGTGTCGTACTCGTGTGCGCCCGCACGCGCACCGTGCAGCGGCTGCTATCATGCGGTACCGCCAGGTGGGTGCGGAGGAGGGCCAGGTGACGGACGGGCGGACGGGGTATTCTTCTTTTCCCCACTGGCCCTGTAAATTGCCAGCGAATCTGCCAGGCCGTGCCGTGAGGAGTATCGTACGGGCACATCGTACGTGCGCAAGGAGCAGCGCCCGCCGGTTACATGGGTTTCAGACATCAGCCATGCCCTTCCCACGCTCCAAGCACGTGGGCCGACCTACATGCACTCCCAGGACCCTCATATCAACAGGAAGCCTGTGCAGCCACAGCATCTGCTTTCCTGCCTTAGAGCCACTCCTCTCAACTCCTTCACCGCCCACCACCGCCCCATCAACCTCCGCTCCCGCTACTCCCCCCCGTAGAGCCATCATTAATAGGCCCATTATTCTACCCTAATTTGCGGTTTCCTATGAGCCGTTTTTTACCCCCCGCAGAGCCACCGCAGTGGCCCTCGCCGCTCCCGAGACCCGGGGCCGGCCGCTGGTTGCCGCGGGCTGCGAGGACGGCTCCCTGCGCTGCTGGGAGGGCGGCAGCGGGGAGGTGGTGCGCAGCCACCGCAAGAGAGCGCCCGAGGTGACGGCGCTAGCGGCGCTGAGCGGGTAAGGCGGGAAGGCAGCAGGAGGCAGGGGATGAAAGAGGAAGAAGCACAACTAATCGCGGACAGGGGAGGGAAGGGAGGTAGGGAAGGAGGCGGGTGCAGCGGCTGCGGAGGAGGGAGTCAGGGAGAGGTGGTGAGTTGGTAGGGGTGCGTCACGTAGGCACAACTGCCGTATTCATGCAGAGACACACTGCTCGGTACGATCAAGCTGCGTTGCGTTTGCCTGAGGCTTCCCCTTCCCCTCCCCCCCGTTCCTTCCCCCCTCCCCTCCCCCTCCCGCAGCACCCCGCAGGAGTTCCTAGCGGGTGACGCGCAGGGCGGCATCACGCTGTGGAGCCCCACCTCGGGCAGCCGCCGCGCGTTGGGGCAGGGGCCGCGCCTGCTGCCGGGCAGGGTCACATGTCTGGCGGAGGGCAGCACAGCACAGCCTCACGGCCCCACCGCCGGTGCCGCATGCGAAGGGGCCGCAGCGGGGGGCCGCCGGGTGGTGGTGGCGGGTGTGGCGGACGGCAGCATGCACGTGCTGGATGTGACAGCGGGTGTCGTACTGCTGTCCGTACAGCAGGCGCATCGCGGTGCCGTACATTCGCTGCAGCTGGCGGGATTGCCGTACCTTTCCAGTGCTGTTGCTGCTGTGACAGCCGGCAGCTGTACGGGGGGGCTGGGCGAGGCACATGAGGAGTTACGAGGCATTGGCGAGGCGTGTGAGGGCGGCTCGGAGCATGCGGTGGTGGCTGCGGCGCCTGGGGCGGCGGCTCCTGGCAGCGGCTGCAGCGGTAGCGGCAGTGACCCTGAGCCTCCTCCGGCGACTGGTGAAGGGGAGCGGGGCGGTACCAGGCCGGCCGAGCAGCAGCAGCAGCGGCAGCAGCAGCAGCGGGACCCCCGGGAGGAGGAGACTCAGGCGGCTGGAGGGGCTGCGCAGATGGATTCCCCAGCGGGCTCGGAGGCCGGAGTGCAGGGGGCCGGGTTGACACCTGGTGCCCCGGCGCCCTCCACTGCTGCTACTGCTGCTGCTGGCGCTGCTGCTGCTGCGGTGGCGGCTCCGGACTTGTGGTTGCTGAGCAGTGGAGAGGACGGGCTGGCAAAGGTGGGAGCAGGGTCGGGGTACCGGTCAGCAGCAGCAGCAGACGCGCGAGCAACACATTTGTAACACTTGTTAGCGCTAGCTTAGGCCTGTTGCCATGTCCCCCTGCCTACATGGGAGCAGTCTAGGAGGGGTCAGCACATACGCTTGCTTGGTGAGCAAAGGCCCCTTGGCACTCGGCACGTCAAATCGGCCCAACGCCACTGCCGGGCCGACCCGCCCACAACCCCCTGCCCGCTACCCGCTGCCGTGCACCGTGCAACAGGTATGGAGCTTCCCAGCCCTGGTAGCCGCGGCGGCGCTGGCCGCAGCCACTGCCGCAGCCACAGCCGCCACCGGCACAGCGCCATCCAGGCACGCGCCGCAGCCGCAGCCGCTGGCTGTCGTCCGTCTGCCTCCGCCGCCGCCGTCACCCGGCCATCAAGCAGGTAGCGGCCCCGGCGGCGGCAGTGCGGCGCTGCGGCGGCCGTGGCTGCCTGCCGCGCTGCTGCCCGGGTGCGACGTGCAGTGCGGGGGCAGCGGGGAGCTGTGTGTGGCGCTGGGGGCGCCCTGGGGCCACGTGCTGCTGTACCACGTGTCGCTAGGTGAGAGGCGGGCTGGGCTGGACTTTGTAGGGTTGGGTGGGACCGGGCTGCGCGTGGGATTGGGGGCCCGTGTGTAAAGTGAGGGGGAGTCGGTGTATCAGCTGTCGCGCTTTCTGGCGTAGGGTTGGCGCGTAAGGTGCTTGGCGCCAACGCCCGGCCCCTTTCCGGTGGTCCCCATGTTCCACGTACTCCGCTTCTACAGTGCTGAGCCTCGCCCCTGCCTCCCCCACCAACAACCCTCAACCCAACTCCAATCCCACACCCCCCAACCTCCCATCTCCTCTCTGCCCAGCCACCGGCAAGGTGGCCCTGGCCGCCCGCCTCAAGCCGCACAACCGCACCATCTTCACCCTGCACGCCATGCGGGTGCCCCCGGACGCAGCCGCCTGCCGGACTGCCGCAGCGGCCGCAGCAGCAGCCCCACCCGGGATGCAAGCAGGCCTGACGCCCCCGCCGCAGGTGCGGCTGGTGAGCTCCTCCCAGGACCGCAGCCTGGTGCTCTCAGAGCTGCACTTCCACGTCAACACCGCCCCCGCCGCCTGTGCTCCTGCCGCCCTCCCCACCGGCGCCGCACCTGCCGTACCGGCAACAGCCACCACCACAGCCGCCACGGCCCCATCTGCCGCTGCAGCTCCCACTCCAAAGCTAGCTCCCCCTGGCATACCACTTGGCGGCGGCGGTGGTGATGATGATGGTGATGCGGTGAGCAGCAGCGGGGCGGAGTCGTCCTCCGGCTCTCCTCCTGCGGTACCGGACAGCAGCCAGCCGCCGCCGCCCCAGCAGCAGCAGGGGCCCGAGGCAGCCCAAGAGCCCCGACCTCCCCCCGGCCAGCCGGCCCTGGCGGAGGCGGAAGAGGAGGGGAGGCCGCCGAACAGCCGACCTGCCGACACCTCGTTGAACTGGAGGTCCAAGCCCCCGCCTCAGCAGCAGCAGCGGCCCCTGCAGGGTGCTGGGGGGGAGGAGCCGCAGGGGGGCGGTGCGGGGCTGCTGCTGCTTCCGCGCGGGGGGGCCACCTGGTGGCGGCTGGTGGGGCTGGGGGGCTACCCGCACTGCCTGGAGATGAGGGGTGGGTGCGGGAGGGGGCTGGGAGGGAGGGGGAGGGGGAGGAAGGGGGAGGAAGGGGGAGGAAGACGGGCAAGATGTGCTACGCCGCATGCTACTGGCGCTGCAACCTTGCATGATACCGGCGACATGGGCGTCCTCGGGGGCTATGTGCTGCTGGCCTGCCGGTGTTTGAAACTGCCGGCATGCAGGTTCATTGCCATTGTGCCTTATCGAACCCTGGTTAACCTGGCGCCGGACTTGCACCACTCCCCCTGCAGGGCCCTACCCGGGTACGCTGGCGGTGGGGTGCGGCGACCGAACGCTGCGCACCGTGGCCGTCACACCCGGGCAACTGCTGCCCAGACGGGTGCAGCAGCAGCAGCAGCAGCAGCAGGCGGTCCCTGCCTCCCCTGGCAAGGCAACGTCCTGGGCTGAAGGGCCGCAACCGGCATGCAGGTCGGAGGCTGAGGGAGAGGCTGCTCCCCAGGCGCCGCAGCAGGAGGGGGGCAGCTCGGCAGCCGAGGTAGCAGCGGAGCCTTCAGAGGTGCCGGCGGTGGCGCAGAGCGACGGCGGCAGCGTCGCGGGCAGCAGCGAGTCAGGGAGGGCTTCCCACGCGGCGGCTCGAGGGCGTGCCAAGGGGCGGGGCGGTGGTGGTCAGGGTGGTGAGGGCGAGGTGGGGCCCGAGGGGCCGTGGCCTAGCGCCCTGCTGTGGAAGGATATACGAGATCAGGTGGGGACAGCTGGCAGGGGGGCCCATGGGTCGGCAGTGCTCCTTGTGGGCCCGTTGTGTACGGAGTATGACCGGTGTGATTTTTGCGGCGGCCTGCGCACGCCTTGCCAAGCTTGCGTAATGTTGTTGTCAGTTAAGGGATTATGTCCTTATGCGGCAACGCCCTGGCATCATTGACAACATGGCCACCACCACTCTCTGGCAATGCACCCGCCCTATCCGCAGGTCACCCGCGTGG